GGTGTTTGGCCCTTTCCCAGGAGGCTGGTCCCAGCTGTACACCCCTTGAGGAGGCTCTTGGATATGACCTGCCTCCTCAGTGACCCATTCCTGCAGGCTTGAGGTTGAATTCCACACCTGAGACTTCAAGAATTCTAGTCCTTTTCCAGATCCATCATCAGGCCCAAGTGCTGAAAGTGAGGTCCCACCACCAGCCTCTTGCCCTCAGGCCCCGCATGAGCTAAGGAGCTCAGTCCTGCTTCCCATCCCACCCACACCACAGGCAAGTGGGACCCACTCTGATTTACAAGCCCAGAAACCCTAATATCAGCTCCAACTACTGATGGAGACCCCAAGGAGATGCAGCTCCATGGTTGGAGGCCACTGGTGCCTCAAAGGGCCTCTCGTGGTTGCGTTGGACTGAGTGTGGCCAACTGGCTCTGGGTTTGCTGGCTGACCCTTCTGTAAATGTTTTCCTATGGGTCCTGTGGGCTGATGAGAGGTTCAGAGAGGTCTGATCCTCCCAGTGCTGGCCATGCTCCGCACTCGGTTACACCAGGGTGTAACAGAGCCACAAGTTCCTCTGTGGGAGCTGGGCTTTACCAAGAAGTAGGGTTACACACAGGGACAAGCCTGATGCTCAGGAGTTACCAACATGGCTTCTGCTACAAGAGGGAAAGTGCTGACTCTGAAATCCCCTTTATGGGCACTGACGTGACGTTTTCTAACCCAGGATGTTGCTTCCTCTCCGTGTGGGGCCTCAACGAGGTACCCACTTCCTGGAGAGGCAGAAGATCCCCACCACATCCTGTGCCCAGTCATGGGTCAGTACCGGTCCCCAGCCGCCGTGACATCTCCATACGATGCCTGCATCAGCAGTGCTGGCTGCTGGCCCGTGTCCCTGGCTTTATCCACATGCAGCCCCACAGCAGTGAGCTTAAAGCCAGGCTGAATCCCCACAACCACCCCTGGGCCAGCCCCACTGCCGGGGTGCATCACCCCATCACCTTGTTCTCCATGCCCTGGCATTGCTGGCACCCTGGGGGAGCAGCCAGTTCCCAACAAACAGCCTGGGACCAGCTTTCCCACTCTGCCCCCGCTCACTGTGCTGGTACAGAGCATTTATTCTGGTCTCCAGGGGGGTAGCTGGTGGCCGGTGTGATGGATCGGTGATGAGTGATCGTTCTCCTCCCTTCTTCACCTGATCTTCTCTCCCTTTTCCTCCAAACCACCTCATCTTTCTGGCTCCATCCCCAGCCAAACACAGACCCAGCAGTGCCGTTCGCTGCTGGGGCAGGCAGAGCCAGAGGGGAATGGGTTTCTTCTCAGGAAAACTGCCCGTAAGTGTCACCCCAGTCCCCTTTCTCTGTGGATGGCTCTGGGTGGTGTCACACCGTGGGTTTCCTTGCTGTGCCACGTTCCTGATCTCTGGGCACAGCGTTGTGTGAAGGGGCAGCATCCATCCCTCTTTCTGGAGCAAAGCCACTGTACCCACCGGGGTCTGTGGTATGAGCCACCTCACATTGTCCAGCCCTGCCACCATCCAGGCCCTGCCCACAGCCCCTCCATGGAGGCAAAGCCAGGCTTGAGACACCCCCTCCTCTCCCGTCCTGCGAGGAGCTGCAGGGGACACCGGCCGGAGAGGAGCAGGGGAGCCCGGGATCATCTCCTTAACAAAGTTCCCCAGGCACCGCAGCGGAAAGGGAAGAGGCTCCCCTCCCTCCTCTTCCTCCCTCCTGTGCGAGGATTTTGCAGCCAGGTAAACACAGGATGTTGATGAAACAGGCTTGGGCTCAGCAGATTGGGCAACCCGGGAGGTGCCAGGAGCTCCCAGCAGCTCTCAGCATCTGACACTGCAGCCCAGGGGTGGCCGTACGGACGGGAAGGGTGATTCCAGAGCTCACTGCACCCTCCTCTGCCAGTCCCCAGGGTCACAAAACTCCCCTGCGTGGTGGACAAGGCAGCGTGGGCTGGTGGTCAAACCTTGGGCAGGGTGGGCTCCCTCCCACCCACTGCTGTGCATCCTCAGATGAGCCACCACACACCCTTGGGGTCTCCTTGCAAGCCGGGCTGATGCTCACAGCGTGTAGCACCGAGCACCCTGCTTTGACACCCAACCAACAGCAAGCACATGGACATCTCCTGCGTCCCTCAACACCGGGGAGATGCAGGGCACAGGGAGGGGGCTACGGACCCCCCAGGATCCCACCCTGCCAGGCACCAGCTCCGCACCCACCGCTCACGGCTGGCACTGCAGGGACAGGCTCTTCCCTGCTTCGGTACAGCGTGTGCCGTACAAAACATGGCTGCTTGACAAGGCACAAGAGGGAAGATGGGGGGAAAAAAACCCAACAAGCTTGTTTTGATTTTCCTTGGATGCCTCAGCCGTTGGCTCCCGGGCTGAGCCTGGCAGGGCTCTGCAGTACAGCCTCATGGCTGGCAGCTGGGTATCAGGGGGTTCCCAGGCTTCTTCTGAGGGCTCTGCTGAGCACGGGATGGGAAGGGGCAGATTTTGGGCTGCTCATGAGCAGGCAGAAGGGTTTTCCCAAGGAATAAAGCAACTAGAGGACAGGAGGTGACAGGCACCTCCAGTTTTGCGGTACCAGGATGGCCCCTTCGAGGGGTTCCCTGGAAGCAGCATAATGCTGTTTGGGTTCCTCCTGGGATCAGGGCACCCCATCCCGTCCATGGCAGAGAGTTGGGATGGGACATCCAGAAACTGGCTGAATGCAGGAGCGTTTGGCTCCCAACCCAGAAATGGGGCTGCAACCTGCTCCAGCATCCAGCCCAGCTCACTCCTGGGGTGTGGGTGTTGCTGTCACCCCTGCGTGGTGACCACCTCTCCTCAGCCAGAAGCCAGGAACAGCAAAACACCAGTGTGAGCGAGCTGCTAGCAAGCAGAAGGGACCCAGCCCCTGGGCAGGGATGGTGGCCAAGGCAGCAGGAAGGAGCCAGGCAAGGGAAGGGGTGATGAGGAGTAGGATGTGGTGCTGGAGGTGGCCGGGCAGGGATGCCACAGGGACTGCTGGCATGTGGCACTGTCCCCAGTGTCCCCCGTGTCCCCCTGGGCACTGCTGCCATCTGCTGGCAGGACCCAATCCTGCTCCGGTCCTGAGTCTGGCCACTGCACCACGGCCTGGGGACACTGTCCTGCACCCCACTCTCTGGCACACAAGACAGCGTGTCACCACGCGTGGCTTCGAGCTCCCAAGGAGCTCCCCAAGCCTCCCTGCCGTGAGCCCAAGGATGCTGGGCCCCAAAACTGTTCACAGTATCCATCTGAGTCACAGCAGGTTGTCACCCCACGCTAACCTGCTTCCTGGGCTGCAGATGTCTCCCATCCCGACCCCCTCCCAGTGCTCAGACACCTCCGTGCCCAGCTCACCCCACCACCGCCTTGTTCTATGCCCATTGCAAGCAGGACCCCTGCCTGGGAGCCCAGCATCGTCCAGTTTGTGCTGGTGGACGCAGGGACAGGATCAGTCCCTTGGCTGGCAGCAAGCTGAGAGCTGGAGGTTTCTCCAGGGAGTGTCCAGCTCCGCTTCTCGCCAAGGCTGCCGAGCAGCAGAGGAAGCTCACCCCAAGACAGTCATCTTCCTGCTGCAGTCCTGTCCCCTGGGTCTGGCCAGGCTGCAGAGATTTGCTGAGTCCCATCCTCCTCGTGACAGGCGTGCACATACCGAGCCTATTCCCACGCCCCCCCCTGCCCTCCCCGCCATTCCCAGCATTTCCTCTTCCCCTGGGACCAGCAAGTCCCGGGGCTGTGCTGGGGATAACCGTTGGGAACTGGGGCATCACTGGGTGTGGGGCCACCCGGGGCCACCCTGCACGTCCCTCTCCTTTTTCCATGGGCACCGAGACCCTGAAAATGGCCTCAGTGGGGTGATACATGGCGTTTGCTTTTCGGATTCACTCGGGAAGCAGGGTTAAGGTTTGGAGGAGGTGATTCACGGAGCCAGTGTCCCCCCAGAGGGCCTTTGAGCGCTCCAGCTCGTCCCATCCTGGGGCAGATGGCAGTGGCGTCCTGCTCCTCGCTGGAAAATGCCCAAGTCCATGGGCAGGGATTGAGCTGCAGCTGTCACTGGTTTAATTCCTCGCAGCGAAGCAAAACCAGCATCCGGCGGATTTTGTGTGTGCTTCATGCCACGGCCCACACACACGATGAGAAGGCTGCACAGCACTGGGGACCTTCCCATTGGGAACGAATCCCTGTGTGTGAGCCCTGCAGACTTAGTGCCCAACGCCCACAAGGGCTGCAGGAAGTTGTTTTAAGTCTAAAAGGGATTTTTTTTTTCCCCTTAGCTTTACAAAAAACCAAAAAGATGGAAAAAACCAACACCCAAAGGGCTACAATGCAAATAGCAGGGAACAGCTATGCTGACACCACGCTGTTGGGAGCTTGGACCTTGCAGGTGGCTTTTGGTCTGATTTCCAAAGAAACCAGGTGTGTGCATCCACCCCACCTCCCTGCGCCTCCAGCCATCCCACCCTCCGTGATTTATTTCTGTCGAAACGACCATTCCCACCAGGCCTCCTTTTGATGGCTGTGCCAGCAGCTCAGCCTTTACAAGACATCAGAGACTCCCCCATCAGCACAACTGACCTTCTCGTGCTCTCTGGGCACCCTTTGCCCACATCCTCAACCTGTGCGTTCCATCCCATCGCCATCCTGCTTCCTTCCAAAACCCCGTGGCCACCTGCTGCTGCTGCCCACCGTGAAGGTGATGCCGAATGGGGCCACCAGCCGATGGGTCCCTGGCATCCAGGTGGGCTGGCACAGCTCCCTCCCCCTCCCAGCACATCTGGGCAGCTGTGCCCTCCGGCAGCCTCCTGCGTGGTGCTCACCGTTTCGCCCCGGCAGCGCACTGACATCAGTGCAGCTTCCTGCCCTCCAGCACCGCTGCGCCGTGCACTCGCCCCATACCCACACAGCCCCACAGCCGTGGGGCGGCGAGCCCCAGGCAACCCCGTGCCCCTGGCACAGTGAGCCCCCCCGGGACCCCTGGGGGACAGCCAGCGCCATGGAGTCGGTGGCTCTGTACAGCTTCCAGGCGACGGAGAAGGACGAGCTGCCCTTCCAGAAAGGGGACACCCTGAAGGTACGGGGGGCAGGGGTGTCACCAGCTATGGGGGTCACCAGCCGTAGGGGGGTTAGATGTTGCTGCTTTGGGGGACAGAGTCAACACATGGCATGGGGTGACACTGTCATTTTCGTTGCCCCTGGCTTTGTTGCCTCTTTGGGGCTTTCCTGGGGGGAGAAGGAGGCATCTTTGAGGTTTTTGAGGTGTGGAGCTGCGTCCCCAGCAGTGGTGGGTTCCGCTTGTCTGTGCCACCAGCCACATCTCCAGAGAGATCCCAGCTGGGATGAGGCATGGGGACGTCAGTGCCACCAGCTGTGCTTTGTGCCATCCTCCTGGGGCCGGAACACATTTTCCCTGCCCCACAGAGACATTGGGGACCTCAGGGATATGACAGGAGGGGGCATGTGCCCAAATCCCCACCGAGTCACTGGCATCAGGACGGGCTCTTGGATGCCACCCTGGCATCCCAAAAAGCTTCTGAGGGGTGGGAGGGGACTCAAAACTGGGGGTTGCCACCCTGCCACATGGGGACCAGGGCACCCTGCCACTCTGCCTGGCCACTCGCCCTTCTCTGACGATGCTGGCAGCTCCTCTCGGACCCCCAGCACCCAGCGGTGCCCCCCTCACCCCCAGTGGGTGCAGCCAGCCCTGGGGAGGGCAGGGGCACGGCCCAGCTGTAACCCAGGGCCCCAGACTCGCCGTTCCTGTCCCTGGCGTGTTTTCCCCGCGTCCCCGGCGCCGTGCCCCCGGGGTTTCGGATCCTGTTTGCACAGCTGTGCTGGCCCCCCCCCGGGCCCCTGCGTGGGAGGCTGGAAAATGGTGTTGCACGGAAGCGGGTGTCAGCACCCCCGCTCGCACCAGGGCGCTTCCTCCCACGGAGCAACCCGGCTGCCACCTCCCCGCAGGGACACGGCGGGTCTGGCTGCCACCTCGGCTCCTCCACGGACAGATTTTACCCTTTTCCCTGGTTGGGGGGTGTGGGGCACCCCCCCCAGCTTCCAGCACCCGCAGTGAGCCAGGCCCACCATGAGCTGAGGAGGGAGCAGCCAGCTCTGTTGCTCCCAAACACCCCCAAAGCATGTCAGAGTCCCCTTTTCCCCAGGTTTTGGTGGGGGACAAGGGGGTCTGTGGGTCACACTAAACCCCTCTCCCAGGGAAATGGTGGCCGGGCTGATGCCTCCCTGCTCCTCTCCCACTGTAGATCCTCAACATGGAAGATGACCAGAACTGGTACAAGGCTGAGCTGTTTGGCTGCGAGGGCTTCGTCCCCAAAAACTACATCAAAGTCAAGCCACACCCGTAAGTACCATCCCACCACAGGGAGAAGAGGGGCTCAAAGCCCCTCTCTTTGGGCAGCATCCACCAGCACCAGGACATCCTCTCCCACCACCCAGGCAGTGATCCCAAGGGTGCATCCCAAAGGTCCTCCACGAGCCAGGGTAGTCCCACGCATGGGGAAACTGAGTCACAGAGTGATGGGGCCTGCCTGCTGGGCCAGTCTGCCCTTACCACCCCAGCCAGATGGCACGGGAGGCAGCAGCATGCCCACGTACCCCCAACACACAGAAATTCATCCCTCACACCGGGCTGCCCGCTAAATAAATGATAATTGGGGAACAACAAAGCATTATGGGATTACGCTTTAGACATTACGCATTAGACACAATCCTATTACCGTGTTATTAAAGCCCAGCCTAATCCATCCCTGTTTTAACCTGTGTTTTATGTATCATTATCCCCTGGTAAATCACATTTAAATGCCATAGCAAAACCTGCTCGGGGCTGTGGCTGGGGAGCAGGAACGCGTGGGCTCAGGGCAGCCTGGGGCTGATCCCGTGGCCTCTCCGGCTTCGGTTAAACCGGGACGGGTGAGACGCAGCCTCTTCCAAGCAGCACCTGGGAGATGCTCTGTGCTAAAATCCATGGCTCATCATTAGTGGGGCAATTATAACAGGTGGCAGAGGGTCTCCGTTGCCTGGGGATCCCAAATTCGCAGACGGAGCCTCGGCAGGGATGGGAGATGGGGACTCCTCCAACTCCTTTCAGCAGCTGCTGGCAATGCAGGCAGGAAGGGTTTCATCCTGGCACGGGGGGGTTTTCTGCTCTGCAAACACCCGCCCCCGTAGCACCTGGCAGGGCTGTTCCCATGGGGGGGCCACGGGACGCGGGGGTGAGCAGTAGGGACAGGCAGCAAAGTGGAGGAGGAGGAGGAGGAGGCACGTGACGTGACAGGATGCGGTCGTGGCTGTCGGCGACGCTGCACGAACCCTGCATGGAAGAAAGAGGCAGTGCACGGGGACACCTCTGCACCCACAGCACCCTGTGCTCCCTTCCTCTGCAAAAGTGCTGTGACAGATCGGGGTTGGGGGGGGAGGAAACCAAAGGGAGAAACTAATGGTGGTGGTGGGTCCCAGCCCTATGAGGAGCTCAATGGGGACCCTGCTCCTGGTGGCAAGCGGGGCTCTCGCTGCCTCCATCCTGTGGGGTGGGATGCGGTGCTGGGGTGTCCCCGGGTCTTGAGGGGTGCCCACGCAGCTGAACCCGGTGCCCCTCGCAGGTGGTACGCAGGGAGGATCTCCCGGCACCTGGCAGAGGAGCGGCTCCTCAAGTGCAAGCACCCGGGAGCTTTCCTGATCCGCGACAGCGAGAGCTCTCCGGGGGAGTTCTCCATCTCCGTCAAGTAAGTGGCAGCAGGATGGGCAGAGGTCCCACACAGCCCCCTGCTTTGGGGACTGAGAGCATCAGGCCACCCTCCCCACCGTGGTACTGGAGAAGGGGTGAGCACCCTGCCCTGCCCAGGACACCCCAAAGGGGCTGGGGGCTGTTGAGCTGTACTCACCCTGCATCCAGGAGCAGCTTCACACAGGGTCTTCCTCCTTCCTCCCCTCTGCAGCCTCGTGCTCTGCCATGGTCCCTGCTCCTCTCTGCTCCCTCCCTGCACCGCTGCCTCGCCCAGGGTCCCTCACTGGGGTGCCCCTAAATACAGCCGTGTGGGTGATGGCAGTGCTGGGACCAAGCGGCAAGCACAGCCCGGGTGACGTGACCTGGAGGAAGAAGTTGCCCAGAGCATCCCCACAGATGAAGGGCAGCAGCATCTCGATGCTGTGGGGCCAACGGTTTCGGCACTGGCAGCCAGGGCTGTGTGAAGGCAGCGTGCCAACGGGCAGAGCCTGCCCCCGGGACACTCACCCCATCGCTGCCCCTTCCCTGCCCGGGGCCAGGGTAGCAGGAGCCAGCCCCAGGCCAGCCAGGCACTTTCTCACGCTGCTAAACTCTAATTAAGCATTTAAGGAGTTTCTTGCCCATAATGAAAGGGAGCTGTGTTCTGCCATGCGTCACCAGCGTGGCCAAGGCCCTGCCCCTGCCTGGGGGACCTGGCAGTGGTAGGTCCCTGCAGCAGCCCCATGCCAGCCCTGTGGTGTGGGCACCCCAACCTGCCATCCCCCAGGTCCTCACCGAGGGGGTGACAACATGCAGGGCTGGTGAGGGAAGCCCCAGCCTGCCATGTCCTCCCATGGCTTGGGTGTCCCTGGGGGCACAGAGGATTTGGGAGCCCGAGCCCAGCCTTTGCAGTCTCCTCCTGGTATGTGCTGAGCTGAGCCAGCGAGACCAGGAGTGACCCCGGTGCCACTGTCACCCCTGGCCATGGCAGGATGGTTGTGGTGGGACCCACGGGTGCAGCCACATCCTGCACAGCCTGACCAGCCCAACAAGCAGCCCATGATGCCAGGAGGGGGTCTGGGTGCTGCCAGTGTCCCAGGGCCAGGGTAACATCTATTCTTCTCCCACAGCTATGGGCAGCACGTCCAGCACTTCAAGGTGCTCAGGGAGAGGAACGGCAAATATTTCCTCTGGGAGGAAAAATTCAACTCCCTCAACGAGCTGGTGGATTTCTACAGGACGACCACCATTGCCAAAAAGCAGCAGATCTTCCTCCGGGATGAGGACCAGACCCAGGAGGTACCTTCAGGGGATGGGGACATGGGGATGTGCAGGGCTGGGGTGTGGAGTGACAGCACAGTGAGCAGTAGGGACAGGTTGGGAGCTGTGTCTGACCCGCTTTGGGATCCCCCATCACTCCTCTGGTAGCAGGGCTGCCACTCCCTGGCTATGACCCATGGGGAAACTGAGGCACAGGGTGGGCCCATGCTCTTGCTTCACCCCAGACTGTGCTCATGAGGAGGCGTCCTGGTGGACGGGGATTTCCTCCTGCCTGAACTTCTGCTCCTCCCTTGCTGCCATGGGACACTGGCAACGGCCAGGAAACAGTAGAGAAAGACAAAACCGAGGAAAGCAAACCGAGGTTGTGGAGGTGGCGAAACTGGTCCCTGCAAGCTGGGCTGGGGGCAGCTCTGCCACCCAGAGGGCCTCGGGAGGGAGAGGGGTGCCAGCTGCCTCCGAGGTGTAATGTCCCCTGGGCACCCATCTCAGCTCTCCCAGGAAGCAGGAACAGGGAGCTCTGTGCCCTGGGGTGCTCCCCTGCACCCCAGACTCTTCCCTGCATCCTAAGGTGCTCCCTGCACCCCAGGCTCTGGCTGCAGCCTGGGGTGGTCCCCAGCTTCCCAGGCTCTGCTCCCCCAAGCTGGGGAGCTTCCCCAGCTCCCATGCACCCGGAGCTGCCCCCAGTACTCCAGCTCTTCCCATGGCAGGATTTCCCTAGCTCCCATCCCTTGTCCTCAAAGTGGACACCCCAGGTACCCCCATAACCCATATGCTCTGGACCCCCAGGCTGGTCCTCACCACGTGGTGGCATGGGGGCTCAGGCAGTACAACCCAGTGGAGAGGGGCTGGCAGATGGGGGGGGCACCTCTCCCCCCACCCACCCCTTCCCCTCGACTTTCCTCCAGGTGAGGAGACCCAAATTTGTGCAAGCCCAGTTCGACTTCTCAGCCCACGACGGCTCCCAGCTGCCCTTCCTCCGCGGGGACATCATCGAGGTCCTGGACTGCCCAGACCCCAACTGGTGGCAGGGGAAGATCTACGGCCGCGTCGGCCTCTTCCCCCGCAACTACGTCCACCCCATCCGCAAGTGAGCTGCTGCGGGCGAGCGGGGAGGACTGTGGCCCCCGCTGCCCCCCACTCACCGGAGCTGCTTTGTGCCTGCTTCGTCCCCACGGATGGTGCCTGTCCCCTTGGATGGTGCCTGTCCCCACAGATGGTGCCTGTCCCCACGCTGGGCTGCCAACACATGACATCCCAGTGCCACACGTGCTGTGGTGAAGGTAGAGGCCAGGCTGGCGGTGATCCCCATCCAGGAGCTGCCCTGAAACATCTGCCATGGTTCTCCCTGCTCCCCCGACCCAGGAGACCTTCATCACCCCCAGCCTGGACATCGCCTCTCGCTGCGGGCTGGCAGTGGTGGTCCCCCAGGAGTACCAGGGCCATAAAAACTTCTCCAGAGCCACAACCTGGTGGGGTGACAGCAACGGGGGGAAAGAGCACGTGTGCCCCAAACCTTCACTCCTCTCCAGACCCTGTAAGCGAAGCCCCGACTCCAAGGAGGGCTGGGATGCGGCCAGGTAATGCCATGGAGGGTGCCAGGGCTCGGGGTGCCAGGGAAGGCTGGGCTGGGGGGGGTTCAGTCCCGTAGGTGCTGTTCATAGCTGCAAAATGGGGCTTCTTTTTTATTTTTTTAATTATTGTTTTATTTAGAGATAGTAAAATGTGTTTGGGTGACACCCTTCAGTGTGGACGTGCCTTTTCCACCACCACCACAGTGGCCCCACGGCCACATTCGTGTGCCCACTGTCTCCCTGTGGTTTTTCTTCCCCTGCAGCCCCAACTCACCCACCCCAATACCTCTAACCAGACCCCCTCCCCAGATACTTGCTGCCCCCACAAACAAGCCCCTGTGGTTTTTCTTCCCCTGCAGCCCCAACTCGCCCACCCCAATACCTCTCCCAGACACCCTCCCCAGATACTCGCTGCCCCCACAAACGAGCCCCTCACCTCACAGCCCCCCCCGGGATGCACTCAGGGTCCACGGTGCTGAGAACGCCCACCTCATTGCACCTGTGGCCCTAAAGATCCCATGTCCCAAATACAACAAATAAAAAATATCACCTGAATCCTCATTTCTGCCCACCCCCCCTGCCCCAAGCCCTTGTTCCCCCCCAACCCCGGGGGCTGGCAGGCCCCTAGGCAAAATAGGCATAGCAGAAAATATTAATGCACATCAGGATGATGGCGTTGACGCCGCAGACACGGGCCCAGAAGGGGGGCTCCATGGCATCCCTGAGGGCTGCGGACGGGGATCCCTCGGCCTTTGCTGGCTGCTGGGTGCCTGAGGTGGCTGAGGGGGAACCTGGCACAGAAAGATGGTGAGCGTGGAGGACAGGGTGCCCTGGGGACTGGCCACCTCCTGGCAGGTGGCCTGACCCTGGGGAAACTGAGGCACGGGGCATCCACGCCATCCTGCTGCTCATTACGAGCAGGGAGCGCTGAAGGTGCCTCCACTGCCAGACACCCCCAAAGACACACTCACCATCAAGGTGTCCCCGGGATGGGAGGTCCACAGAGGGCTGAGGGGGCTCCCGTGAGAGGGTCCACCAGGTGAGATCCTTTAGCTGGAAAGCAGAGCGAGATTTGGTGAGAAAACACCCCTGGGGCCAGACTCCCCCCACGGGGACCCCCCGGGCCGAGCTCGGGGTGCACTTGGGTGACACCAACGTCTCTGGCCAAGGAGGTCCGGTGGGTGGCCGCAGCCGTGGGGGCTGGGGTGAGGGGTCCCGGGTGCTCTGCTCACCCGTGCTGGAGGTGGAGGGGGAGTCAGCAGGCTGCCCCCCACCACGACAGCCCCCGTGGCAGCACAGAGCAGTATGGCGAAGTGCAGGTAGTGGATGTCAGCGAGCAGCCAGGGCCGACGGTCGGGGACCCCGCAGTGGGGCACGGGGTACGCCAGCTCCAGCCCCATCCTGGCCAGCCCCAGCGCCAGCCCCACCATCAGACCCCAGAAAGCTCCCTGCAAAGCAAAGGTCCACAGGGGGTGGCCAGAAAGGGACAGATGCCCCACAATGGGGACAGTCACCCCTGGAGAGCCACTCTCTCTGGCCAGCCCTGGGAGAGGGTTGAGCAGCCACTCGCACCCCAGCCAGCCAAGCCAGGGTGCCCAAACCTGCCCAAACCTGCACCCCCTCGGCAGGGGATGTCCTCTGCCAGCCCCATTGGCTGTGCCACATGTAGCAGGCCGTGTATGGCAACATCTGCCTCCTCTTCCTCTTCCTCTTCATACCATCCACCCACCATTTCCCCAGGAAAACACCGGTGAGGCTCAGTTCCTTTCTCCAGCCCCTCCAACGTTGCCTCCCTCTTTCCTCCTCCCGACCCCCCAAGCCCCTCTGGGTCTCCAGGAACAGGACATGCAGGGAGGTGTTGGCATCAGCCCGTGTCCCCAAGCCATCCCCAGGCATGTACCTGCTCATTAGCTCGAGGCCAGAAGACAGCCAGGACGAAGACGGCGGTGACGGGGGGTGCCAGGTAGCTGGTGACAGCCTGGATGTAGACGTAGAGCTGGCCACCACTGGAGCTCTGCAGGATGGGGATCCAGACCACGCTGAGGGCCACCAGCACCACCGTGACCACCCTGCGAGCGGCAGCAACGTGGTGTGGGGTGATGCTTCTGTCCCACCTACACCTCTTTGTACCGGTGGCATCAGTAGGGTGTCCCCAGAGTCAAGGGTTGGGTCACAACACCCGTGCAGGAGAGCTGCCCGGGGGATGCTGGAGGATCAGTGGGAGGATGCTTATCTCCAGGTGACACCCCTGGGGCCACAGAGGATGTTAATTGTGCCAGTGCTGGCTCTATCCTGGGCAGGTAAGCACTTCCCAGGCCACTGCCCAGCTCCAGGGGCTGCTAAGTTGGACACCCCCATGGGGAAACACTGGGCAATGAGCACTTTTGCTATGAAAACCCCCCCAGCCATGGAGGCTGGGTGCTCTGGGTGCTCTGCAGATCTGGGTGATGTTCTTGGCACCCTTGAATCCATCCAAAGCACCAAGCTGAGAGCCAGGGACATGGGCTGAGCTGCAACAGAGGGGTACATCTTTCCCCCAGCACCACTCTGTCCCCACATCCCAAAAGGTGCCATATTTATAGCTCAGCCCAGCTTTGCAGAATTACCTACATCTCCATCTCGAAAAGTGGAAGTAGGAAAAAATGAAAGGAAAACAAGCAATGAAAGCATCTCTAGATGGACTCTGCCCTGCCTGCCTGGCACACTGGAAAGAGAAAGCAGCCCCGGGCACAAAACACAGACCCTGGCCCACGGGGTAGGAGGAAAAACCCCACGTTCGGTACATCTTTAAGCAACAGATGATGCTAAAAGGTCACGGGAAACATGGAGGAGGGTCTGAGCGTGGAGGTGAGCTGGGGGGCACCGGGTGGCTGTGGCCCCCTCCCCAGATTGGGGTCCAGGTGGAGGGGAGGATCGAGTGTTCTCGTCACCGCAGCATCACCTGGGCACAGAGCACCCATCACACACCAGCGGGGATTTCCAGCCAGGCAGCACAGCCACAGCAAGAGCTCAAACCCCCAGGTCCAGGAACTGGGAGCTTTCCCTTGTCCCACAAGGAAATCCCTTCCCACCCCATGCTGAGCCAGATGGGGCATCCAGGGGGTGGCTGAGACCCCCCAGTATCTGCTCAGAAGCAGCCCCGAGCCTCATGTGCTGACAGGCAGGAAAACCTCAAACTCGCAGCTTAAAGAGCTGCTTTTTTTTTTTCTCTCTCCAAAACGTTTATTATTTGCTATATCCCCGTGGGGCTGTACGGCGGCGGCGATTTGCAGCGCCCTGCTCCCACTAATTGCCCCATGCGCTAACGAATTGCCCGGGATCAACTGCAGCAGCGACTCCCGCCCTGGGCGGGCAAAGCCCTTCAACAAACACTCATTAACTGTCCTCGGGAAAGCTCTCGGGTGTTATTACACCCCTTGTCACCGGCACCAAAGCCAGTGTCAGAGAAGGGCGAGGCAGTCCCGAGACAAGCACCCCGGTTCCTATAGGGGAGCCGTGCGGGACTGCGGTTCCCCGGGATCATACCCATCCCCTTTCCACCCTCCGGAGATGGAGGATGCTAAGAAAGAGCTTGCTCCCGGAGCTGTGGGACCAGCCAACCATCCCTGCAGCCCCACAGCAGCCCAGCCAGAGCCCTGACCCAGATTCCCTCCTTGTTATTGTCTGCCCTGAGCCCGAGACACTCCCTCGCACCCCGGCACCGCGCCGGGGCATTCCCCAGCACTGACTCTGCCGCCCCAAGCACTGCACCGCCGGCAGGTTCCGGGGCTCCCCGCTGTCCCCCGTCATCTCCCCAGGGCAGCTGGGGCATGTGCTCCCCTTTACTGCCCAGAGAAGGTCCCTCATGCACTTTGCTTGGGACCTCAGCAGGGAGCAGCCACCGGCTTTTCCCGGGGAACGGGTTGCGGGCAGCGAGGGAGAGGATTCACACCGGGCACAGCCCTGCCCCTCCAAACGCCCCGAACGCCCCGTCTGCCTTTCCGGTGCTTTCATACATAAAATAATCCAAGGGCTTGTTTTCCTTTCATAAACCAGGCTGAAGGCAGGCACTTTGATGGCTTCCAGGCACTAAAGGCAGATCACAGAGGGCCAGACCAGCCCCACCGGTCTCCTCCCCGAAACCCATGGTCCCTACCTGCCCACCAAGAGCAGCTCTCGCTCGCCAGCCCCCGGCCTCAGCTTCCTCCAGATGTCCATGGTGAAGAGGGTGCTGCTGCTGTTGAATATGGAGGTCAGGGATGACATGAGTGCAGCCATCATCACCGCAATCATCAGACCCCGCAGCCCTGGGGAAGAGAGGGACCATCAGGGAGCAGCTGAGCCAGAGGGGATGGGATGGGATGGGATGGGATGGGATGGGATGGGATGGCCCCAATGCTTCACCCAGGGGTAATGCCTCCCCCTCTGCAAGCACATGCTGGGGTCTCCCCTGGGGCAAAGATGAGGTTTGGGGACACCCAGCTGTACCCCAGGATGCTGGGACCCTGCGCTGCCCCAGGGTTACCCACATCCCCTGACCTCACTTCTGGAGTCACCCTCGGAGGGGCTACATGGGCCGTCCCACACACGAACCCACCCAGACCATCCATGGGGACCCCCCCAACATCCAACACATGATGCAGCCCCGGGGTACAGCAAATCCCGGTGGAGATGGAGGTGCACCCTCCCACCCACCTACCGCTGGGCATCAGCTCGACCACCAGCTTGGGGTAGGCGATGTTGGAGCAGCCCACAGCAGCCCCACACACACGGGTGCACTCCTCAGGGTCCACGCAGGCCACAGCATCTGGGGGACAGAGAAGGTGATATGCCAGGACCCCTTGTGGGGCAGGGTCCAGCTGAGAACCCCTTCCCTCCCCCAGCAACCCCCCTCACCAGGCTGGATATTGGCCCTTCCCTACGGCCACGGTGCCCAGACCTCAGCAGAGAACCAGGTGGAGAAGCAGAGAGCACAACCCACATGGAGATCCACCCATGCTTCCCTCCAGCCTTGCTCCCCACCATCAGCCTCAACGCTGGTAGGACCTGTCCCAGCATCATCACCCTCACCTCCCGCTGCCCTGCACCCAGCCCAGCTCCGTTGGAGGTACCCCCACTGAGCCCTCCCCGCATCAAAGGCAGCAACAGCCACCCCGAGGGGGGACCTCCAGAGCTGGGATGGGACCCACCAGGACCTGAGGCTTTGGATGGAGGCAGCAGAGCCCAGCAGGCAGGCGCTGCCCATCCCCGTGCGTGGGGCCAGGCGGGTTCATGCACCGTTGTGGCAATTACCTCGGCATGGGCAGCTCCCCGGGACGCGTGTGGCAGCTCGCCAGGACCATCAACACCCAATTACTCCTCTGTCTCAACGAGCGCTCAACCCTTTTTGTTTTTTTTTATTGTCACGCTCATAAAATATTGAAATGGATGGAAATTAACGTCAGCCATAAATATGGATGGGCTGCCTGGCTCTCCGGTCTGCATCCACAGGGAGGAGCACCAGTGATTCCCACACAAAACTGGGAGCATCACCCTGGTCCTCCTCCACGGTGACCCCCACCGAAGCCCCCCAGCAACAGCGGCTGGGGAAGGGACGTACCAGCTGGTGACACCTTGGGGCTTCCAGTAGAGGACTGTGGGGCACAATGTGGGTTGCAATGGGGATGTGCAACACGGGGTGTGGGCAACGAACCACAGGCAACGCTCCACACGTCCCAAGGACGCTGAAAAAGCCCAGCCTGGGCCACTTTTCCCCAGGGTTAGAGTCAGCGCCAGGGCTCCAGTGACTCTGTCCTCCAGCAGCTGTGAGTAAAGCTGCTGTCACCTTCCCCCCCCCCCCTCTAAAACACCACGTTGTGCGCGGCTCCATGCAAATGGCTGGCGGGTGGAAGACACTCCAGAGGGCAAAGCAGCGTCTGGGTGTCACAGCCCAACCAAAACATCAGCCTGAGGGCTCAGCTCTGCTGCCAAACCCCTCGGTGGGACCCAGGAATATGTGGAAAGCGGGAGCCAAGCCCAGCGGGGCAACCAGAGCCCCCAAGCCGGGAGCAGAGCCCAGCATCATACCCCGCTTCCTCGCTTTATCATTAGGCCCTCTGCTAGAGATGGGAAATTAATTAGGAGCTTGTAATTAACGCTTCCATCTGCAGCCGGGAGGAGCCGGTGCCTGGGCTGGGCACTGCCTGTTCAGCTGGGTCAGCCCGGGGCAGCCAAACGGGGACACCTGTAATGGTGGGGACCAACCTGCTCGGCCACAGTGACCTGTCCCTGCAAGCAGGCAGGGGATTAAAAAGAAGATGCAATTCAGGTGGTGAATTCCCCATACGGAGTGAACACACCTGGGTCCCAGGACTGGGAATGGGGGATTCAGGCATCTTTGCCCCACCTGGGGGTCTGTGGATGCTCCAGGTGTGGGGCTCTGTGGTCCCAATTCCCCCCCTCCAACGTGGCTGTAGGAGCCAGCACATTGCACCGCCAGTGGGATGCTGTGTTTACACCGCTGTGTAATAAATCATAAGCACACACACACCCCGCTAAAGAGACCATAAATCTCCTTGCACAATAAAAACGGAGCCAGGGCAGCAGGCGGTGGCTGAGGTGGGTACAACCACAGCACACTCCACACGCCACGCCACGCCATGCTCGGCTCTGTCACATTTGCAGTCCCAAGTGCAACTCCATCAGCAAAGGGGCCACCACTGCTTGTTCAGCAGGGCTGGGTTTTCACCCAAAATACCCAGTTTTGCTTCCAGCATCCTCAGCCTCCCCTGCGCCCCTCACTGCCCAGGTCACAGCACGGAGGTGATGTCCCACCACTGGGAAATCACCACAGGGTCGGTGCAGCCTTTCCATAAAGCCATCAGCTCCATCTGAAATACCTCCTAAGTCAATATTTGGTGGGAGCTGAATGCTTCCTTCCTCCTCATGTCCTGATCCCAACACACGGCTGTCACATCCCTGCATCCCCACATCCCCTGTCCCCATTTGCCACCTCCTGCACACGACAGACCAGAGCTGAGCACAACCCAGCTTTGAGAAAGCCCCACTGCAGTTTCTCCCTTTTCTGCTTGTTTCCAACTCATTTTTCCTCCCAAATCCTCCCTGAGCTCAGCATTTTGCCACAACGCAAGCCCTGGCTGGGGCGAGGACATCCAGGATGTGGCACGGCCACTCTGGCTACAGAAAGGAGCGCTTTGATGGCCAAGCACTTTGATGGCAGACGGGTGGCTTCGCCTTGGGAGATTGACTCAAGCGGGGCTCTCATTTACCCGGCTGCAAATCCAGATGAGCTGCTCCAACGCGAGGGAGCGAGACGCAGCCCCTGGCACTTTCCTTTTTTGCATCGGCGCAAGAATCTGACCCCGATTCTTGAAATTCACCTTTTATCCGAGTTTCCACGTAGAAAGCTCTGGGCTTCTGGCTTGGGAGCACCAACTGATGAATTCAGGGTGTGGTTTTTTGCCCATCTGCCAGTTATTAAGGCAATCTGCCAGAGCAAGGTCAAGTGCCACGACCATGTCCCTGCTGCAAACCTCATCCAGAGAAGGGGATAGGATAGGATAGGATAGGATAGGATAGGATAGGATAGGATAGGATAGGATAGGATAGGATATTTCAGTTGGAAGAGACAACAAGATAGGATAGGATATTTCAGTTGGAAGAGACTTACAACAATCATCTAGTCCAACTCCCCGACCACTTCAGGGCTGACCAAAAGTTAAAGCATGTTATTAAGGGCACTGTCCAAATGCCTCTTAAACACTGACAGGTTTTGGGGCATCGACCACCTCTCCAGGAAGCCTGTTCCAGTGTCTGACCACCCTCTGGGTAAATAAATGCTTCCTAATGTCCAGTCCAAACGCCTTGGTGCAGCTTTGAACCAGTGCTGCCCCCCAGGACCCACCTGGGCTCCGAGTTCCCACACTCAGCGCAGAAGGGGTTAACCACAAGGCAGAGCTGCTCTCCTGGAAAATATTGATTTACCAGCCGGAAAACTGGGAAAGGGGGAGATTTCAGGGGAGATCAGATATTTTTTAAGACAAACACCCAAACCGTTGCCCGGCCACCCACCCACCTCCCGCACCCCACGGTCCCGGGGGGACTCTGGGGCCGGGCAGAGGTGTGAGGACAAAATCAGCCGAAAGAGTTAAGCGCAGGCAGGGCCGGGAATGTTTGAAGGCAGCATGTGACTGCAGGTGGGGCAGGGCGGAGCCATGAATCACTCTTTTGCTTTTCCTCTTTTCACTTCTTGCTGTTACCTGTCCGGTCCCGGCACTGCTCGCTGGCAGGAGCCCCAAATAATCGCCCTGCCAGCCAGGGCGATGCGCCGGAGCCTGGCGGAGACATTTTCTGCCGCAAAACCCACCGGCTGACCCAGTTCTCCAGGAACGATAACCAGGGAGGGCATTGGGGGGGCCCAGAAATCCGGGGACACCTGTAATGGTGGGGACCAACCTGCTCGGCCACAGTGACCTGTCCCTGCAAGCAGGCAGGGGATTAAAAAGAAGATGCAATTCAGGTGGTGAATTCCCCATACGGAGTGAACACACCTGGGTCCCAGGACTGGGAATGGGGGATTCAGGCATCTTTGCCCCACCTGGGGGTCTGTGGATGCTCCAGGTGTGGGGCTCTGTGGTCCCAATTCCCCCCCTCCAACGTGGCTGTAGGAGCCAGCACATTGCACCGCCAGTGGGATGCTGTGTTTACACCGCTGTGTAATAAATCATAAGCACACACACACCCCGCTAAAGAGACCATAAATCTCCTTGCACAATAAAAACGGAGCCAGGGCAGCAGGCGGTGGCTGAGGTGGGTACAACCACAGCACACTCCACACGCCACGCCACGCCATGCTCGGCTCTGTCACATTTGCAGTCCCAAGTGCAACTCCATCAGCAAAGGGGCCACCACTGCTTGTTCAGCAGGGCTGGGTTTTCACCCAAAATACCCAGTTTTGCTTCCAGCATCCTCAGCCTCCCCTGCGCCCCTCACTGCCCAGGTCACAGCACGGAGGTGATGTCCCACCACTGGGAAATCACCACAGGGTCGGTGCAGCCTTTCCATAAAGCCATCAGCTCCATCTGAAATACCTCCTAAGTCAATATTTGGTGGGAGCTGAATGCTTCCTTCCTCCTCATGTCCTGATCCCAACACACGGCTGTCACATCCCTGCATCCCCACGTCCCCTGTCCCCATTTGCCACCTCCTGCACACGACAGACCAGAGCTGAGCACAACCCAGCTTTGAGAAAGCCCCACTGCAGTTTCTCCCTTTTCTGCTTGTTTCCAACTCATTTTTCCTCCCAAATCCTCCCTGAGCTCAGCATTTTGCCACAACGCAAGCCCTGGCTGGGGCGAGGACATCCAGGATGTGGCACGGCCACTCTGGCTACAGAAAGGAGCGCTTTGATGGCCAAGCACTTTGATGGCAGACGGGTGGCTTCGCCTTGGGAGATTGACTCAAGCGGGGCTCTCATTTACCCGGCTGCAAATCCAGATGAGCTGCTCCAACGCGAGGGAGCGAGACGCAGCCCCTGGCACTTTCCTTTTTTGCATCGGCGCAAGAATCTGACCCCGATTCTTGAAATTCACCTTTTATCCGAGTTTCCACGTAGAAAGCTCTGGGCTTCTGGCTTGGGAGCACCAACTGATGAATTCAGGGTGTGGTTTTTTGCCCATCTGCCAGTTATTAAGGCAATCTGCCAGAGCAAGGTCAAGTGCCACGACCATGTCCCTGCTGCAAACCTCATCCAGAGAAGGGAAGGGGATGGGATGGGATGGGATGGGATGGGATAGGATAGGATAGGATAGGATAGGATAGGATAGGATAGGATATTTCAGTTGGAAGAGACTTACAACAATCATCTAGTCCAACTCCCCGACCACTTCAGGGCTGACCAAAAGTTAAAGCATGTTATTAAGGGCACTGTCCAAATGCCTCTTAAACACTGACAGGTTTTGGGGCATCGACCACCTCTCCAGGAAGCCTGTTCCAGTGTCTGACCACCCTCTGGGTAAATAAATGCTTCCTAATGTCCAGTCCAAACGCCTTGGTGCAGCTTTGAACCAGTGCTGCCCCCCAGGACCCACCTGGGCTCCGAGTTCCCACACTCAGCGCAGAAGGGGTTAACCACAAGGCAGAGCTGCTCTCCTGGAAAATATTGATTTACCAGCCGGAAAACTGGGAAAGGGGGAGATTTCAGGGGAGATCAGATATTTTTTAAGACAAACACCCAAACTGTTGCCCGGCCGCCCACCCACATCCCGCACCCCACGGTCCCGGGGGGACTCTGGGGCCGGGCAGAGGTGTGAGGACAAAATCAGCCGAAAGAGTTAAGCGCAGGCAGGGCCGGGAATGTTTGAAGGCAGCATGTGACTGCAGGTGGGGCAGGGCGGAGCCATGAATCACTCTTTTGCTTTTCCTCTTTTCACTTCTTGCTGTTACCTGTCCGGTCCCGGCACTGCTCGCTGGCAGGAGCCCCAAATAATCGCCCTGCCAGCCAGGGCGATGCGCCGGAGCCTGGCGGAGACATTTTCTGCCGCAAAACCCACCGGCTGACCCAGTTCTCCAGGAACGATAACCAGGGAGGGCATTGGGGGGGCCCAGAAATCCTGCCTTTTTTCTCTGCCTTTTTTTTTTTTGGTTTGTTTGTTTTTTGGGCTGCTCTTTTCATTCATTCGTTTCCCACTTTTCCTTCTACCCGGTATTATCGTCGCCTTGAAAGGGTGGAGGATGAGAAGAGCGTGGACCCGGAGGTAGAGGACCTTCCTGGTGGTGCACGTGTTCCCGGGGCCGTGTCGCAGCCAGCCCCGGCCGTGGGAAGCTCCGGGTTTTCCTTGCCCGGAGCCCTCTCTCCACGCAGAGCCGGGAGCAAACAAGAAACCGAATCCTCCTCCCTGGCGGAGAAGATCTCCAGCCCGGCAGGAGCCGGCGGAGAAGGGAGCGGCGTGTTTCCTGCGCGTTGAGCCAGGGAAGGCGAAACGAAGCGAATCGTGCGTTTAAAGACTGGGGAATAATTAATTCCGTATTTATTGCCGACATCCGGCGCTCGCTGGGGGCACAGAGCTCCCTTCGGAGAGGCTAGCGGCGCGCCTGGTCACCATGGCTTTCTCCCAGGTGCAGTGTCTGGACGACAGCCACGTCAACTGGAGGTCCAGCGAGTCCAAGCCAGAGTTCTTCTACAGCGAGGAGCAACGCCTGGCCCTGGAGGCACTGGCCTCCCGCGGCCCTGATGCCTTCTACGAGGTCCTGAAGAAGGAGAACATCAGGGATTTCCTTTCTGAGCTGGAGCTAAAGAAGATCCTGGACACGTTGGAGACCTACGACCCCGGTTCTGAGTACATCCCGCGCCACGGCAGCAGCACGGGAGAGAGTGAAGGTGATCACAACAGCCAAGGGGATGAGCAGGACGTGGCCCCCTCCCTGGAGTACTGGCCCCAGAGGTCTGACCGCTCCATCCCCCAGCTGGACCTCGGCTGGCCCGAGACCATCGCCTACCGCGGGGTCACCCGCGCCACCGTCTACATGCAGCCACCCATCGAGGGGCAAGCGCACGTCAAGGAGGTGGTGCGGAAGATGATCTGCCAGGCTCAGAAGGTGAGGTGCGCCGCGGGGACAGGACAGGATTTGCCCCGGGGCTGTTCTGCCGAGGGTAGATCCTAAAGTCCTGTGGGGAACCCTGCCAAAGCAAAGGCTGTGGGGTCAAGCGTTGGGGTTTTTCCATGTTCGTTCAGTGTAACCGGTATTTGGTGATCAGATGTCACTGAGGATGCTGTTAGCCTTGGTCCAACATTCCCTGGGAGCAACACGATCCTTCCCATGATCCGTATGGCAGCATCATTAACAAACATTAACAAACCCCTTCAGGGCTGTGGGGAAAAACACCAGGGAGAAAAATGGGTTCAGCTGCTTCCCAGCTCATGGTCCCAGGCATCCCGCCATCGTTATTCCCAGAGCCCTGTGTGACTGCATGTGGCAACACGCAGGAACCGGAGGAGCCAAACGCAGCCCTGGGGCAAAGCAGCCAAAGCCACCGGTCTGGCGCTGACGTATACGAAGGTCAAGCTTGGCCTGAGCTTGCCATGGCACTCCAAGCCGGTCTCCTCCTGGCTTTAAGAGGAAAACGATGAGCTGATGTGCAGGACAAGGCTGGGGAGATGCCAAGGGGTAGCACAGCTAAGGGCAGCCCACCCTCGTTGGGGTTGGGGTTTGGGTTGAGACTTGTCCTCCCTGTGGCATGAAACCAAGGAGTTGGAGCAGATGAGCAGTGGGGTCAGGCTGGTGTTGTGAGGAGGAGGACGAGGGAAGGAGGGAGATGATGGTGTGTGTTGAAGGCTCGTGGTGGTGGGCAGAGGTTGCTGGTATTTCCCAGTCATTCAGCTCCAGCTGGAAAAAGCACAGGACAGGTCAGTACCTGCTGGTTTCGTGGTGCTGGTTGTTGAAGTCCTTTTAGCTCTGCGTGTCCACTCCCTTGAGAAATCCAGCTCCAAGGGAGCAACATCCCAATCCCTGGGATGCTCCAGCTGGAAAATGGAAACTCTGCCCAGGTGGCTGTGGAGCATGGAGAGACAGGCTGGGATGCGTCATGTCCACCTGGCTCTGGAGACCTCTCTGCTGGGACCAGGGGTGGTGCTGGGGTTCACAGACCCTGGCAGGAGAGAGGGAAACCTGGTGGCAACAACGAGCCCCATCTCAGGCAGGAAAACTGATCTCCCAGTGCATCCAAGCCACCTGGCTCACAGCGATGGCCAATGCTGGGAACCGGGGCTGCCTGGTGCAGATGGGAGTCATCTTTGGCCACTGCCAAAAGCCAAGGTGACTTGTCCGTACCTGTGATGTTTTCCCCACCAAAGGGCTTTGCAGTGAGGGCAAAGCGAAGGGAGGGCTGAAATCCCACGGGATGGAGGATGGGAGAACTCCCCCACTACAAATAATGTCTCATCTTCGGGTCTTTCCGGCTGTGTCTCACCCCGGGCTTGCAGCTCCTGCCTGGCTTTGCCTACTCATCGCTTCCCGCCTGCTCCCCCCCCAAAAAACCCAGCATCTCCTGAGTCATCCTGCCACCCCCCTCCTGTTCAGCAGAGCCAGGCGGTTGAGTCAGGCAGCTGCCAGGCCCTGCTGCCTGCACCATCCCCACCTCTCCTTGGAGCCTCTCCAAGCCGCAGGGATGTGGCCGCGGTTGATGCTGCCACGCTTGTCACTCCTCCCTTGATGTCCCATGAGTAGGGCTGGGCTCCGCCTCCTGGTCTGAGTTGTCCTTGCCGGTGGGATGAGATGCGGTGACACCACTGGTGACATGCAGGAGCCTGCTTGGAGCTTATGGCACACTGGGAAACGTAGAGATGGGCACATCCTTCAAACCTGCAGTCTGCAGGGTCTGGGGATAGCAGGAGTTAGAAGATCTGACAAGTTGGCTTCCTCCAGAGGTCTCCCACCCCGTACACGAGGACCACAGTTACTGCAGCTGAACCTGCTATCACGCAGCTGAGCCCAGGTGACCACTGGTGACCACTGCTCCTAAGCATGGGGGTGCTGGGCTAGACCACCCTCCTCTGCACCTGGAGATTTCAGCCGAGGCTTAAGGTCTTCACAGCAGCTCGGAGGTGAAAGAGTTTGGCTGAGGAAGCCAAGAGTGGACAGAGGGATGGTCTGGCAGCTACTTCATCAGATGTCATGTAGGTTAGCCACATGGCTGTCCTTCCTGCAGTGTCCCTTGGGCCACCCTGTGGAAATCCTGGCCAAATTGTCCCATGCATGTCCCGTTGCCATGCAACGGTGGTGCTCTTCATCTGCTTGTGAAGGAGCATGGGCTCGGGAGAGCTTCAGTAGTGGATCCTGAAGGATGACCCTTGCTCCTGCTGTTGTCAGAGACACTTGGGCTGAAATGCTCCCAGACGTCAAACACCAAACACCGCCACGTGGCTTGCTATCTCATCCCCAGAAGAGCAAAGTCCACCCAAGAGACAGTATGTCTGAGGAAAGTTCAGAGCCCGTGTGAGCGTTGCTGATGCTGGGTGGGCTCAGGACAGCTCAGAGCTGGGGCGAGGAAGCCAAGAGCTGAGATACAAGGTCCCTTTGACGGGGCAGATAAATGTACTTGCTTGCAGGAACAAGGCCAAATGCTCCTGAGTTCAGAGATTTTGCTTTGCTCCGTAGAGAGGAAAACCCAGGCGAGGTGGAACAGGGGATGCAAATGATCCCCTCCTCTTTCTGGGAATAAATGGGAGAGAAGAGAGGCAGGATCCCGCAGCCATGTCCCTGCTTTTCCAGAATATCCCCACCTTTGTGACCAATGAACGGTGGTGATCAGGGTCATGGTGCACCACCAGGCTTCACCATAGAGACCTTCTCCAGGTCTGGCCATGACACGGCCGACTCCCCCTCGCTGCAGATCCCCTCAGGCTGCAAAGCTCACAGGATGGGTAGGGAGGAAGACATCCCTCCTCTCTTCTTCTCTAGATTTTGGCTCTTTCTGACCCGGAACCAGAGCAAGCTGAAAACATTGACCTTGGCCAAAAGCCACGGGAGACAGCAGTGAGTCTGACCTCCTCTCTGCACTTGAGGTTCCACATTGGGATTGTGGTGATATAATTACCCTAAGGAACTTCCAGCAAAGGTTGGGAGGCCCTATTAATTATTGTTTACAAAACCTTCTGCCATTCCTGGATGAAAGGGTCGACAGGGGAGAGCAATTATTAATGTTACTTGTCCCACCTCTCCCTCATCCCAACACGCTTCCTCTAATTGTGCCTTGGTGCCTGCCTAATTTATTAAATGCCCACGTGGGGTGCCCCAAAAGTCATTATCTGATGATTCAGAGTGAGCTAATAAAGAGCTGTAATTTCCTCTATAAAACATGATCCTGCAGTTTACGTACCCATCAAAGCCATTCAGAAGGATCCCAACACCATTTGCCCAGTGTCCGAGGGGACGCGATGCTCACCGCTCCAAGGGGCGTCGGGATCGGGCACCTGCACATCCGCGGCATCCAAGGGATCTTGGCAGCTCCTGGGATCCAGGGAAGAAAAGCATCACCTGCTCGGGCACTGGGAGCACCTGGCTGTAGATTTGGGGCTGTTCTTCTCTGCACCCTCCAGATGAACAGCAAAGGGATGGCGAAGCTCCCTGGGATGTCGCGGCGGCAAAGCAGCTATGGGAAGAGGTACCCTCCTTGGCACCAAACATGATGGCACCGCCCTGGTAGAGGTGATGGGGACAAGGATGCCAAGCTCGCTTCCCAGAGCAGGACAGCATGGTTTGCTCCAGACCCTCCCATTCCCCGGGCTGGGAAGTAAATAGCTCACAGGATTTTGCCTCTCTGGGGCAGACAGACCTCCATTCTTTGCAGATTAAACCCTGCACCTGGGTTTGGCAGGGACCCAACTGGTCCCAGCTGAGGTTTGAGTGTGGGCAGCCCAGCAGCAGGTTTCGCTCCTGCCATCCCTGGGCAGTCACCACGTCGGGAGCACTGCCAGCGCAGTCCTTGTTCTCCCAGCCCATTTCATGCCAGGGTAGCACGTTTGGCATGCTGGCATGAGATCCCGGTGACAAACTGAGGCCAAGCCTGTCCTGCAGGCAAGACGCAGTGGGGAGGGAAGCAGAAGTGCTGAGTGGCGACAGGATGCACCAGCCGAGCAGGAGGAATCGGGTTGAAAATGTGGGCAAGCGGGTGAGAGCCGGGCTGCCTCCCCGCTGCCTGAGCCAGCCGCCCTGGGCGACTGTCTGCAGTGTGCTGCCTGCTCACCAACCCTGAGTGAGCAGTGCTGGGGATGGAGGACATCTCTGTGCCCTGCCCACGTCCCTGCAAAACCTCTTCCCTGGGGATGGAGGACATCTCTGTGCCCTGCCCCGTGTCCCTGCAAAACCCCTTCCTGTCATCAGAGCCACGAAGCAGCGAGCCAAGGCCTTGGGAATGCTGGGACCACAGTGGGAAAATGCTGTTTTCCTCCTCAAATGAAGGCCAGTACTATTGTCATCTCCATTTCACAAGTCCTCAACCTTCCCTGGAGAAAACAAGGTGCAGGCAAAGTGACATGACCATGGCTAAATGGAGAATTAGTGTCAGAGACAGGAGCAAAGCATCTGCCACTAAACCCACCTCCTTGAGCCAGAGAGACGCCGTCCTGGCTTAGGTGTCCCTCACCCGGGACTCGCGGCAGACAGCACAGCTCCTCCTCAATTACTTGCTGTAAATGGAAAAGCCAAGCCCTGAGCTTTAAGAAGCAGCTTTGAACTTGTCCCACTTTACATTGTCGGCGAGACGAGCACAGCCCTCGCTGGGCAGCCCATGCAAAGTGGACACCCAGTTTTCTGCCTCAGTTTCCCCACTGGTATGACAAGGATGTGCGAAACACAAGGGCGGGTGGCACAAGGGAGTGAGGATTTGTCCTTTCATGGCAAAGCCTGTTGGTGGGCTTTCAGGTGAGGATAAATGGGAATTCGGTTAAAATCAAGTGGCAGAGTCATAATGTCCCCTCTCTCTCAGCTCGCTGGCACCTCCCAAAAAACTCGTGCACGGCCAGGGCTGGGGAGGTCGGGGCAGCATTGGAGACAACACGGGCTGGGTCTCCCCACACAGCCTTACTTCTCGCCCCATTGCCTGCAGAAAGGGAAGGGAAGAGTGTCATAATGCACGATCCTGCTCTTAATTAGAGCTCTCCATCTCCTGTAGCACAAAACTAATTAAAAGGCAGCTTCGTGCTTTGAGAGCCCAAGACTGGACGTGCCTGAGTGTGCAAGCGCCCGGCACCATCCTGATGCTTCCCTCCGGAGGGAGGAGCATCTCAGGGTCTCCCTGTGTCACCCCGCGGTGCTCTGGTGTCCTCCCCTGGCTCGGCCACGAGCCATGGCCAGCAGAGCCCTCCTGGAAGGGCTGAGAGGTGGAAGGGGTCAGAGCAAACCCCCATCTCCCCCCAACCCAGGGCACCTTCCAAGAGCAGCCACGGCTTTCCAAGCATGGGACAATGACATTCCAGTGTCCCAGTCACAAGTCGCTTTCCTGAGTGGCTGTTGCCACCCAGTTGTAGGATGAGAGGGGTCAGAGGCAGCTGTGGGGGGCTGTTGCAACCCCAGGGACTGCACCGAGATGCTCGGCTGGGCTGCAGGCAGCTGCCTCCACGACTCGTGCTGCGCTGTGGCTGCTCCCCGTTGTGCCATGGGCGATGCAATCTCCAGGAAGGCAAAATCCATGGGCGTGGGGTGAACTTTGTTGCTTAGGCAGCCGTCCCGGCAAAATCCCGGCATGGCTGAACACGGCAGAGATGCACCCTCCTGCCGCATGCAGGACTCACCCCAGCCCCGTCACTGCAGCAAACGCCCTGGGTACAAAGGCAGCTCCGGCTCGCAAAGAATGGTGACGCTGCCCCGTGCTAATCCCTACTGTCACTGCACAGGGCGCTGGCACCGTCCTCCCAGCTCTGTTCCGCTGCCGTACGGCCTGGGAGGAAGGAGGGATGCTCGGGCAGCAAGAGATAGGCGTCAGCAGAACCAGTGACAGAAACATCACCTGGCTCCAACGCTCTGGGCTCACAATGAAGAGCTCAGGAGCTGGGAGCTGCAAACTCCTGGCTGCTTTCAAGCAACCCCACCAGCTCACAGGGTTTTAAAAGGTATTAAAAGTTATTTCAGCTCTTGAATATGCCTCAGGGGTGTCCCGATATTTTCTACCAAGCTCAGAGCCACTTTTAGTTATTTTTTGTACTGTTTCTCTCCATACAAGCATGCATGGTAGCCCCAGAGACAGCAAGCACCCCGTGCAGTGTGCCCTCGGACAGATGGACACAGCATTGTGGTGCAGCTTTGTGTGCCTGGGGCTGCAGGTGATGCCAACAGCAAAGGGACAGCAAACTTCTCAGCCAGAAACCGGACTTAGAAATAGGTGATATTTGTTAAAGGCAAGAAAGTTAAATTCACCCTCAGAAACCAATTTTTCATAAGTGTACCACCACCAGAGACCAAACCTCCCATAGTGACAGCAAAGGAATGGGACAGGGGGCTCCTGCTTTCCACCCCCAGGCTGGCTGGACAAATCCCACCCTTCTAGAGAGAGAGAGCACTTTGCTTCAGTTCTCACCCAAGCACCAGCTACATCTCAGGGCTGTCACCTGGCCGTGCTACCAAGACTCATCTCTCTTCTCCCCTCTCCAGGTCATTGCGGTGGTCATGGACATGTTCACCGATGTAGACATCTTCAAGGACCTCCTGGACGCAGGATTCAAGAGGAAAGTGGGAGTCTACATCATTTTAGATGAGACCAACGTGAAGCACTTCCTTCAGATGTGCGAGCGAGCCCAGATGCACGCTGGACACTTGAAGGTAAGGATGACCCAAAGGTTGGGTGACCTCCTCCAACACAGAGAAATAATCAGAGCTGTCAGCTCTGCTCCCTCCTGTCTTTGGGTGATCACAACCCCCAAACTTTGGGCACTGCTGGATGAGTTTAGCCCATTTTTGCTGAAGCTGAAGGTGATGTCCAAATCCAGGAGCAGCAGGATGGAGGGGGAGGGGGAGGACATGGATTTTCCCCCAGCAAAGCTGGATGCAGAAAGCCCAGGGGAGCTGCTGGTACCCAGCCAGAGCTCACTTTGGGGCAGAGGGGTGTTTGGGGAGCTGTGATCCTGCAGGGTTGGACATGACTGGTGCAAAACCCAGGGCAAGCCTACGTGCTCAGCTCCTCCAGGTGAAGAAGCTGGTGAGAGAGAAGGTGTGAGAGGCAGGACGCTCTGCCAGGGCAAGATCCGTGCCGTCACCAGCCCCACGCCTGCTCCTGCCCCAGAGGCAGGACTGGCAGGAGCAACCACTGGCCAGTTCCCTTGCTTTCAGGCTTTCCCACAAGTCAGAGCCTGGAATTAAAAGGAACAAAAAAAATAAAAAAAATCAATTTTCCCCTTTTCCAGGGCCTCCGCCCCAACACGGGGCTGGGAGTGGAGCAGGGAGGCACCCACACTGCCCGCGGCCCCGGCAGCTGCCAAGGATGCCCTCACCACTCTCGCCCAAACTGGGGGGCCGTGACACTGGCCCCAGCTGGCAACACACTGGTGGGACTGATCTGCCCACACATGCTGTTGGAGGTGCTGGCATCAATCGGTGACATTGCTCCAGCCCACGAATCCTGTCTGAAATGAGGGAAGATCAAGTGGCATCGGGGATGCCTGGCAGCGCAGGGGCTTGGTCTCCAGCCCAAAGTGCCCCAAATCCCTTACACACCCCTGTGTGTGTATAGGGGGCAGAGAAAACCACCTTGCACGGTGCTTGTGCAAAGGTGGAGGTGGATGAAGGGTGAGAGGAGAGGACAGGGGGTTCTGTCAGCCTCAGGAGCGGGGACCCTCGCTCCAGCCACAGGACAGAGTCCCGGGATCTCCGCTGGGCACAACACCCCCATCGCCAGCATTGGATGCAAACAGGCTGGAGCAGCCCCACAATTTCACTTCAGGGCTCGCAGACACCCCTCTCCGGGCTGTACTTCACTCTCCCCCCAGCTGTGAGTCGCTCGGCCTCGCCTGTTGCTTGGCAGAGAAGGGATGTTTCTGCCCCTGACGTCACCGGGCCTTGCGCCTTGGTTGCCAAATGGCTGGCGGGGAGGCCCGTGCCCGGGCAGGCTCGCCAAATTTGCTTACGGTGACGGCAAACCCCGGGCTGAGCAGGAACACGTAGGAGCCACAACACCCTCACACGGGGCTGGGATGCAAGGGGGAGCTCAGGGACCCCGATCCCAGGTAGCCAAAAGCACCGGCCAACCGAGGCTTCCACCTTCCCCAGCCACCAAGCCCGCCAGCCCTGCTTAATTGCTGCTCACGACAATTAAAGCAGACTTAGCCAAGCTTTTACCTAAGTCCAAACTTCCCGGAGAGTCTGGTATCCTGCAGACTGCTGCTGCTCCGAGACCAGAAAAGCCAGAGCTGACGCAGAACCGGTGTTTTCATGCATTAGCAGCCCCGGTGGCAGGACTGGAAAAGCAGGAGAACATCTGCAGAGCTCGGCAAATGCCTAGAAGTTGGGATTTGCCCACATAATGGCAGCCGGTTTGCTGGCACGGGACGCAGCGGGGCAGGAGGCTGCGAGGAAAGTAGGGCAGTGTCTGGGAGCTGCTGCGCGAGGCGGGAGATGCTAACGAGACGTCCGTTGTTATCTCGGTGCCTTCCGCGCTTCGCAATTAGCTTGGGCAAGGCGGTCGCTTCGTTGAGCAATGGCAGAGTGTTTGGGGAGTGATTCACCCCGTCCCCGGGCTGGGCAGCCGGCCACGGAGCTGGCTGCTCACTTACTGCGCGCTCGCTCTTGGGAGTGATTAAATAAACAGATCTTACTTAACAGCAGCGATACGCCGGGAGCCAGGAGGGAAGGGAAAGACAGGCGGCACCTTGCTGCTGGGGAGCTTCGTTCCCCGTGGGTGTTACCTGAGAAAAAACCCACGGCTGCCTTGTGCCTTTTGTGCAAAAGTTTGGCTCCGAGCGGGAGAGATCCGACGCCCTGGGAGAGCTGTGAGCCAGGGGATGGCCGGGCTGGCGATGGGCAGAGGGGGCAAGCGTTAGCCAGCAGTGGGCAAGTGTGTAACCTGGGCACTCCCGGTCTCTGCAACCCCATGTGTAGGGACAACATGGGACAGGGATGGGAATTGCCACCCTCACCTGCTCACCAGCACCCCCAGTACTGCCCACTGCCAGATACTGGGGTGCCCAGCACCGGTCTCCCCCCAGCCATACAATGCAAGAAGGAAAATGCTAGGAAAAAAAATAAAAAATCAAATGGACCAAAAAGACTGAACAAAACCTCAAATTTCTCTATTCAGTGCGTAAAACTTGCCTGGAAACTCAGTCAGGGAAGCCTTTGCTTTTGCATCACACTAAAACCAGCACTGAATCAGCATCCCTCCTGCCAGGTGTGCAACCTGCTCACCAGCACCCCCAGTACTGCCCAAATGGACCAAAAAGACTGAACAAAACCTCAAATTTCTCTATTCAGAGCGTAAAACTTGCCTGGAAACTCCGTCAGGGAAGCCTTTGCTTTTGCATCACACTAAAACCAGCACTGAATCAGCATCCCACCTGCCAGGCATGCGGGAACGGGGACAAGGGGTCCCCAAGCTCAGCTTGCACTCGGGCTTAGACCAGGTCATGGTCTTCAGGGAGAGAGGAGATCCCGGGGACAAGGGGTCCCCAAGCTCAGCTTGCACTCGGGCTTAGGCCTATACCCGGTCATGGTCTTCAGGGAGAGAGGAGACCCTAGGGAAGCAGAGGATGAAGGCTGGAAGTGGGGAAGATAAATACTTTTGGTGCTTTTTTATTTTTTTAAAAGAAGAAAACAACCATAGAGGGCATGACCTAGTGACGACACTGTGCCTTTAGCAATGGCATTACCGGTCATCCCAGCAGGAACAGGAGGAACGCAGATGCTTTCATAAGAAAATATTTTCTCCCCACCCAAAGGAGACCATTTGCAGTGAAAGATGCTATCTCCTCACTGCAAAAATGTGCTTGGTGCCCTCCACGGAGAGGCACAAAGGCATGAGCCAGACTGAAGAGAAAAAACATTTTCTCAGAGCCAGGGCTGCCTTTCCATGCCCAGGTTCCCGGGCAGAGGGCACCCCACTCCCTTGCCACCTCTGCAGGGACCTGCTGCAGGACATACCCTTTGGCCCAGGTCCCCAGGTTTTGTTTTCTGGGGTTGAAAAGGTGTTGCCCCATCGTCTTTTTTCCTCACTCACCCTGAAAAACACGGCTAGATGCTCAGACATAGGAGCACAGCAAGGGGGGAGCCTGGTGGAAGACAAGCCCACTGCCACCAGGTCCGTGTGTGCTGTCCCTGGGTCAGAACCTCCCCCTAAATCTTGTACATCTCCTGCTGGGGAGGAGGTGAAGAATCACCTCTCCCATAATGGCATTTGCATAGATCGCAGGAGATGGAAAGTGTTTGACAGCAGCATGACACGCTGCTCACCCACGGACATGGGCAGCGCCGAGTTCAAGAGGCAGAAAATGCTGCCCGACACATGTGCAAAGCAGGAAATTCTTGAAGGCAAGTCCATGATTTGCTGCGTTACCTCGGGCAAGTTATTTTATCTTCCCATCTCTGTGGCTTCCTCTGAGCTGGCCATGAAGAGCATTTCCCACTCCTCAGAGGGGCTGTGGGTCATCCATGGGGGCATCAGTAGATGGGTGAACTGAAGACCGGTCCTTTGCTCCTGCTCATGCCTCTGCCTTTGCTTTGCAGAACCTGCGAGTCCGGAGCACAGGGGGCACAGAGTTTTTCACCCGCTCAGCCACCAAATTCAAAGGGGCTTTGGCACAGAAGTTCATGTTTGTGGACGGGGACCGGGCTGTATGCGGATCCTACAGGTAATCAGTGGTGTCTCCTCTTGCCCACCCCATGGAGGTGTTGGTCAAAAGACCAACACAGACCCACATGGTCCCAGGACCAGGGGACTTGCTCCCCTCCTCCTAAACTGGGAGATGATTTTGCAACATCAGCCTGAGATTTGGAGTGGGACCTAAGGGGTCCCACTCCATCACCCCAGAGCCAGGTCTAGGACACCCCTCCTTCTTGGAGATGGTGGGACACATCAAGTGCTTCTGCAATCACAATGGATGTGATGAGCACAAGGAAAGACAAAAGCACCAAACTGCAGCTGGTCCTAGCTCTCACGTTGACCTCAGCTTTTCCAGTTAAACATTTCCTACCCAAAGTATTTTCCAATTTGTTCAAGTCAAAACTTACTTAGGTAGAAATAGATCAGTCTCGGTAAGTTTTTCAGCTCTAAAAGTTTCGTAAACACAGAACTGAAACACTTCCTGCCTTCTGGCCACAACAAAAAAATACATGTTTTTTTGAGTTGCTTTTTTAACTAACCCAAACTGAAAGAGTAAAAGCAGCCAAAACTAAAGTGAAAAACTCACTGGCCCACAACAAATACCTTTTATTTTTACTTCAATTTCCAGAGCGCTCAATACTCCAACCCTCCATTCTCATTTGGGATGAGAGCTATTTCTTCAGTCTCATTATTAATGTTTACAGTGAGATCATGTCACTGCCAGCACCATCAGTCCCCCGGGGAAAGCCAGGGTTGGGGAGAGGCGTGTTATTTACCAGCAAACGCTCAGAGAGTTTCCAATGTGTTTCTGTTCCAGCTTCACTTGGTCCGCAGCAAGGACGGACCGAAACGTCATCACGGTCCTCTCAGGTCAAGTGGTGGAGGCATTCGACAAGCAGTTCCAGGAGCTCTACCTCATGTCCAAGGGGGTGAGCCTCAAGTCCATCTCCATGGGTGAAGAGCCCGAACCTGAGCCCGTAACGCTGCCCACTGTCGTCCCGGTGACCCCCGCCAATGCCGTGGTGAAGAAACTGATAAACCCTAAATACGCCCTGGTGAAGGCCAAGAGCGCTGACCAGATCAGCAAGACTTCATCCGAGAACCAGGACAAAAACCAGAAGACAGAAAACAAAGGCAAAGCCCTGCCCGAGGGCCAAGCAGGTGACAGGCACGGGGATGTGGCAGACCTCTCCCTGCTCATCCATCCTGGCCTCCTGAATCTGGAGAAAGCCAACATGTTTGACTATCTGCCCACCTGGGTCGAGCCCGACCCCGAGCCTGGGAGCGAAGTCTTGGGTTACATCAACATTATTGACCCCAAGATTAAGAATGTGAAGCTCTCGCAGATGAATCGCATCAAAGTCTGTGATGTCTCCCAGGCCAGTGCCCAGCACCGGCAGATGCTGAAGAACAGAGAGATGGAGATCAAGAAAAACTTAGACCAAGAGCCACCTCTGGTGTCACCCTGCCAAAGACAGACCTCACAAACTCCCATGGAAGCTCCTGCAGCCCCCGCTACCAGCCCCATTGAAGGTGCCAGCTGGACAACGAAGCAAGCAGGAATGTTTTCCCCTTCACCACTGGGCCACCGCTTGAAGCCAGAGGAGACATTGGAGGACTTCAAGCCCCCAGCTCCAAAGCCAAGGACCATCCCCGTTGGTGTCCTCGTGACCAAAGTCATTACGTCCTGTGACAGCGGCACTGCCCTGGAGGGTGACACACAACCACCACTGGCCGACCAAGTGGGTGTGAAGCGGGAACCAGAAGAGAACCCCAATGGAGCTTCAATGGAGACTTGCCATCTCCAGCCAGACCGGCTGGTGGCAGGGCCACAGGAAGACAAAGGGCCTCCCTGTGCCCACAATGGGCTGGGAGAGGAGGAAGAAGAGGAGGAAGAGGAGTACATCACCCTCAGTGACCAGGAAAGCTACTCCAGCAGCTCTGCTGACCACAGCTACCGCCGGTCCAACGCCTCTTCCATCTCAGATGAGTATTTTGAGGTGAGGGATCGCTACGGGCCGCTCCGGCGAACCAACTCAGATGTCACCCACAACGGTGAGATCCTTCCCATACAGAGGAAGCTCAGTGACCCCCACATCAGCCGGGGCACCTTCATCAGCCCCCTGGGAAGCCTCCCATCCCTGAAGCATGTCCGCGTGGATGACGTGACGAAGAGGAGGAGCAATGCTGTGGAGATTAGGTGTGTGCTGCCCCGCACCATCCTGGACGGCAACAGCTCCTACCCCAGCAGTGCTGCACAGGTAGGACTTTTTGTTATAACCATCCCTGTGCTTCTCCACCCTACAAAGGTTGCAAACCTGGAGGTGACCCAGCCACCTCAGCCAAGGTGTGGTGTCATCCCTAGCTTTGGTGTCGCGTCTTAGATGCTGAGATCAGACTTCCCATATGGGAGAATAAAGCCCTACACGCGCGATGGTTGGAGTCACCTGAGAGGTGCTCTTGGTCAGGAAGGTGGTGGCCATGCCCCAGCTCTCGGTGTCTGGGAGTGCAATAGGAACAGCTGGTAAATGGGAGGTTTTCAGGAATTAAATATTATTTCATGGCATTGGGCTGTCCCACAGCCATCAGCAGCAGCATCATGCCCAGCCAAGGACAGACTGTATGTGCAGGCGTGTCCTTCTCAGGCTTGTTTTCTAGTTCCTTACAAAGGTGATTAGCATCAAAGCAAAGGCACTCGGACACATAATTAGGTAGAGCAAGACAGCGGAGAAACAGGGACGGCAACCTCTGCGGGTGAGGGCTGCAGTCAGCAGCTTCATGGCTGATCCACGGGTGACGCCAGACCTTGTCACCCCATGGTGTGCACGCCAGCATCCCCACTGCTGGAGCACGGGGTGCACGCCAGCACCCCTGCCACGGCAGGAGGGAGCATCACCCTACCCAGGCAGGGTGTTTGCAACAAAATTCCCTATTTTCTACCCAAGCTCTGCAACCTCTCGCACCCCTACCAAGCATTTTGGTTTCTCAAGGCTCCCCACCCACTGTTTTTGGGGCATTCAAACTCCTCAGGGCTAAACCAGCAGCTGAAATCACTGAAGCCACCTGAGGTTACCCCATCTGAGTATCTAATCTGTGTTTACAGGGAATTAAATTTACTAGCCCAGAGTCCACTTGCTTCTCCCCTCCCAGCCACAGAGCTCGGAGCAGGGCTTTACTCCTCTCACATCAAATATCCCCTCACGCCCTGCAGAGCTGTGCAGGACGAGGAGCACTGAGCCCTTTGATGGTCTGTGACCCAGGTCCCACCTTGCCCAGAGTGGCCAGGTACGCTGGAGTTCCTGCAGTAACTTGTTCTGGCCCTTTGATGAAAGGCAGATAATTAACAAGCCATCTGGGTTAGGAAAGCCAGCGCTCAGGTGGTGGAAATGTGCAGAGAATAGTTTCTCCCATGCATAAAAGTAGTGAACCAAAGCAACCCATGATTAACTCTCCAGAAACCTCAAATCTGACAGGAATCACCATCGACCCCCACCAAACATTTTTATTCCGAGTCCACGATTTTTATGTGCTGGCCCGGCGTAGCCCAAAACACAGGTGGAGGCTCACTCGGGGCAAACATCATGTGTTCCATCACATGGAGAACACAGCACTCAAGTTATCCCTGGAGCATTGCCTTGCCTAAATGCATACAACCCTGTTCACACCCAGCTGCACGGTGAGTAGAGGACAGTAGCATTGGATGATACACAGCAGGCACAAGGAGAGGACACTGAGGTCCTCTCCTGTCCCTCTGCCTCCTGCAGAGCCCCCAGGTCTGCTCAGAGCAGAGGTTTCCAGACACATCCCACTCCCTTTCATTGCTTAGTGACAGGTAAAATACCCCCCCTGCCAGCTCCACGTCCACATGGGACCCTTACCTGGGTACAGGACCCTGCTGATCATCCCTGGCATGATGATAACGAACAAGGGCAGCATCTTCAGGTAGCTGGCTAAGATGGAGCCGGCCTTGGCGTGACTCAGGTTCTTGGCAGAGAGCGACCGCTGGACGATGACCTGTGGGAGAGCCGGGATGGATGGCTGAGCAGCCACCAACACCTCCTAGTCCACATCAGCCTCCTCCTCCCCAGACTGCAGCCCAAGCATCCCCAAACACTAGAACCATTAGGCACCGGACCCAAGCACAGTGTAGATGTGTACTCAACCCACAGGATGGGTTTCTCTCCAGACCAGCAATGGGTTAGTGTTATGCCATAGCACCACAAAAGCCCAGTGCAACCACAAAAACACATTCTCCTTCCAGTATCAACCATTCCCGACCACCATCCTCTCCCCTTTTGCCCCTTCCATTCAATCTCCTCCCCAAAGAATGCCCACAATAAAAGGGACACCATGTCCAGCTTCCTCCTGCCACAACTCCACCACCCACTCTGCTCAAACCATTACACCTCAAAGCTCTGGCCAAGCCATGTCCATGATACAGCCAGCCCTTGGGCTTTGAGGTTCTCTCTATTAAATAGGCAATATCCATCAGAAATGCTGACTTTAAAAGAGCCCAGATTCTCCCCAGGGACTTACAGAAAAGCACTCAGCATCCAGGATTCAACCACTCCTCACAAGCACTGGCTTACGCCATGGCAGACAGGAGGGACCAGGTGGCAGTTCTTAGGGTGGGATCCTCAGGGAAGCTGGGGTTTAACTTCTACCCAAGAGCCAGAGCATGTCAGGAGCCACAGAACCCACCACCCAGCTCAGTCACCATGTGCATCACATCAGGCACATGATGACCTCAAAGGGAGAGGGGCTAAGTCAGCCCCAGATTCTCCCCAGGGACTTACAGAAAAGCACTCAGCATCCAGGATTCAACCACTCCTCACAAGCACTGGCTTACGCCATGGCAGACAGGAGGGACCAGGTGGCAGTTCTTAGGGTGGGATCCTCAGGGAAGCTGGGGTTTAACTTCTACCCAAGAGTCAGAGCATGTCAGGAACCACAGAACCCACCACTCAGCTCAGTCACCATGTGCACCGCATCAGGCACATGATGACTTCAAAGGGAGAGGGGCTAAGTCACCCTTGGTCCTCCTCACCTGAAGACATTTCACACCTTAGCACTGATTTTAAGCAATATAGTTAAATCCATCTAGCATTACCCAAGCTCAACTGCTACAATGCAGTCCTCCTGGTCAAAGCAGGAGGTGTCTGCCTAAGGACCAGAGAGTCCATTGGGGTATTTGGACTAAATGACTGAACACTGAGATGATGCCAGCAGCTCGGTGGAGGTGCAGTGCTGGCGGGGGTCGTGGCAGAGGCAGGGCAGGTCGGTGCAGCCGGCTCTGCAGCCTCCCAGCCCCAGCTCGTCCTGCCATCAGCACCTGCGCTGGCTAGATCCAATCTCACCCGGGTACGTCTGCACGGGGTGCAATCACACCTCCAGATTGCGGCGCAGACACACCCGAAGAGCATGATAAATATCTGGTGACCACAGCCATGCGCTGAGGCCTTACCCAGTCCAGAATTAAAATTAATGGTGCTCAGACCCAATCCAAACGTGTCTCTCAACCCAGCTAATCAGAGCCACTCCCGCAGTGGTGTTTGCAGCTCACTGTTGCCTCCTGATCCCACCTCCTCTCCCAACCCTCCATCCTTTCATCTAATCTTGGTAGCCACCTAATCCCACAGGTTGAGTCTGGGTGACTGAATGCTCTCTGGACCTGAAATTAGCACTTAGGTGATTAAGATGGGTATTCAAGCTGAAGCTGGAAAGAAGGCGTTGAGTTGCCCCAGGCAGCCTTGGTCCTGGATCTCCAGGTGGCCATGACTTGGCTCAGGACAGCCGTCGGGCTGCCAGGGCTGCTCAGGAAGCCAGAGCAAGAAACCAGAGGAGCAGCAATGGTTAAGACTTGAGGCAGTTTTGTGCTGCTGTTGGATCTCAAAAGAATTTGTGCAAGGGACACACCGAGTGGCAAAGAGACTTGTCCGTGAGGACTAAGTCCACGGCACAAATGTGTGAAGGGGTGTCCATACAGGGGAACAGCATCCTCATAGCAGCAGTGGCTCATCTCTTTTTCTGCTCTTTAACAAACAGGGGACACACATCTACCGCTACCGACCCAGGAACCCCGCAGGCAGAGAACGAGGCAAGGAGGTCTCCTGCTCCCCAACACACGAGAAACCCCCCGGGGCCACCAAATACAGAGGGGATGGAGCCGAACCCAAAAAGACCATTGCAGGCAGCCAGCCCTACTGGCAGAACAAAGCCTTCAGCTCCAGCAAGCCCACGCAGCACGGCCACCTCTCACCAGGCAACCCCAGAGCATCAAGCAAACGCTTAACCTCCCTGCCAGAAAGCCAGAAGACAACCGAGGAGATGAGGACACCCCTGGGCATCCCGCTCTCCAAACTGTCCCAGTCCAAGCACCTCAAGAACAGGGTTGCGGGAGCCCCAGGTGCTTCTATTGACTCCAAAAAGAAGCCCCCTGAGACCACCAGCCAGAAGGACCACTAGGCACCGATGCAGGTGGACTTCCAGGGCGAGAGTGGTAGCAGAGCGTGCCTGAACCCCAGGCAACGCCACATTACATGGGGCAGGGGAATCTTGTTTACATTTACCTGGTCGGTGCACCAGTACCACGTGGCCATGATAGACAGCCCGAAGGTCATCCCGGTCCAGGGCAGATCTCCAGAGACTGGGTCTCGGAAGAGATGCATTGCATCCGCTCTGGGCAGGTGGCAGGTAGCGTTGGGAACGATCTTGGATGGCACAGCTCTTAAATAGGCCTCTTCCAGGTTGGAGTAACCTCCGATCTCATTAAAAGCTGGAAAGCATCATTGGGGGAGGCTGGTTAGAGTCAAGCAAAAGCTGGTGGCCTCTGAGATCAGCTAGCAAAACGCTTGCCAACTCGTTAACTCAGAAGCGCTGCCCAGAGAGGGAGGGCTTGTTCGTGTTCGTGTTTTCTTGTAGTTATTTAAGAGACTCTTCTATTAACGTTTTGCACAGCAGGTCCCATTACAGTCCACCCTGCCTTTGGAGGGTGACACGTGTTCGGGGACAAAGGCTCCTCAAGGGACCCACCTCTTTTGACCTCGTACTGTAAAAGCAACCTGTTTGTTAAAGCTCCCCAGTCCTAGAGCAGGGGAAACTCACCTAGGACTATTAAAATGCAAGATTAGCTACCCTTTGACTTGATACACTGCAGTTCAAGGTGCTTTAGCACAACTCTCTGGCCAAATGTTTTCTACCCCTCCGAGTGTTTCCCCAGCAACCCCCCCAGCTCCATCCCCAAACCTCCAGCAACCCGGCGGGAGGGAAAAAAAAAACCCCAAACCAAAACAAAAAACCAAACAAACCCCTCCCCACTGTATTTTTCCTAGGAAACGGGCTCCTCAGCCTGAGCCCTGCTGAGGAGTACGTGCCATCAACAAGCCCTAGCAAGCGAGCCCCCGAGCCCTTGGCAGCCACCTTGGCTCTCCTCCCGCCCACGCCGCAGCCACCAGCCCCCCGGCAGCGGCTGCCAACCCCCCCACCACCACCTCCCCGCTCCTGGGGGGCATGCACAGGCTGAACACTCCTTGCAGCTCCCCCAGTACCTCTGGCAGGAGAATTTTGGAGCCAGAGGCATCGCTTTTTTGGAGGAGGCAGGGATGGGAGGCACCTGCGCTGCTCCCCCCCCACATGGCATGGCCACCCACGCAGCAGCTGTGGAGGAGATAAGCGAGGAGGTGTGTTGGCATCTTCATGCCCACAGCAGTCGCTGATGCTCAGGAGAGGAAGCTCTGGGACCCCCATCAGGCTCATGGAGGGGAGACTCAGAAACCCATGAGCATCCCTTGGTGGATTCCATCCCCCACAGTCTGGTCTAGATCTCACATCCCAGCACCCCTTCAGCCCCCACCCATGGGCTACGGTCAGACCCTCAGCTCAGCACCCTCCAAGGCAGCAGCACAGGGTGGGAACGTGTTCCTGAGAAGTCACCCTCTTGCAGGACCGTGCCCACGAGCGCTGCTGTCTTTAGACCAAAAGCACATCTCTCAGGCATCAGGTGCTGGACACCAGGGTCACCATCAGGAGCCAGGTTGAGCAAATCCCTGTTTCCAAGACACCCACCCAGCTCCATCCTGTTCCTGAGAAGTCACCCTCTTGCAGGACCATGCCCATGAGCGCTGCTGTCTTTAGACCCAAAGCGCATCTCTCAGGCATCAGGTGCTGGACACGAGGATCACCATCAAGAGCCAGGTTGAGCAAATCCCCGTTTCCAAGACACCCACCCTGCTCCATCATCCCCTCCTGCCCGAGCTCAGCCCTCTCCCTTGCAGGCCTGCCATTTCCAACACCAACCCACAGCCCTCTCCCCATCCCAGGGCATCCCCCTGACCTGAGGCTTTTGGGGAGTTCTCAAAGGGGCTTCATCCACCGTGCCCCACCACCACCTGCTTTGCAAATCAACTTCCCCCCAGGTATTTCATGGGGAGTCAGCATTTGTGAACCCCTCCTGCTCTTGTGCAAGCAGCCCTGGCCCCCCTCCAGCGCTTGGTTTATCCAGGCACCGGCTACTCCCAAGCTTTGCATGGGCGTTGAGCACCAACAAAGGCTCTCCAGAGGCAGAGGCTGAAAGCAGAGATTCGCGCCCGGGGGTGCGGGGCTGCTCCCTTCCCAAAGGTGTTCTCCGGCAAGTCGTGACACCTACTCTTGCTGGGACGGAAGAGCAGGGCAAAAAAAAAACCTCAGGGCAGCGGGAGCTCAGCCTGCAGACGCTGGGCCGCAGCCCCTGGGCTCCGACGGGATTAACATCCCTACTGTGAACGCTGGGTGGAGTGCAGGATGGCATCATCTATCTTATCCAGGATGCCGGAGCCAAGCAGGGCCACCGCTGGCTCTTCCACCCACAGAAAAGGCCACCAAGCCCTCTGTTAATTAAAGTGATTCGTCTACAACCCCTCGGTCTGCACCCGCTTGTTGCCTGACTCGAGACTGCTCTGCCCAGCATCGCACCGGGGAGGATTTGCACAACCCTCCTGCTCTCCCCTCAGGAGATGCGACCTCGGAGACTAGTAATAAGCTTTGTCATCCCTTCAGCAGCAGCCAGGGAGGCAATGGGCCAGGCAGAGCTTCACAGATGAGCGCTAGCATCACTGCTACCATGGTCTGAAGATACGAACAAGAAAAAACATGGAAAGTGTCCTTTATTAGAGCTTGACAAGAGCTGGAGAAAACCCTTGACGCCTCCCAACCTCCATACTGGCCTCCAGGTCCTCAGGTCTCCTGAGAACCGTGTTAAAAACTCTGTGACCAGCAGCTTGTCTTCTGGCTCCCCTGGACCAGTCCCTCTCCCAAACACCCTCATCTCACCAGGATTTGCAGGTTGGCAAAGCCAAAAAAAAAGCTGGGATCTGAAGTCTCTGGAGGGGATTTTCCAGACCTTGCCTGCTTGTCCTCCTGCTCTGGCTCCGAGCTGCTGCACCCAGCCAAGTTCTCCAGACACAAGCATGAGAGTGCCCCGTGGTCACCTACAACTTCAGACAACCATCAGCAGCATCTGAGCACCTCGTCTAATGCACAGGCTGCAGCCACCGCTCAGATCTCCCTGGACAGGCAACGTGCTCCCTTTCCTCATGCAGCTCCTTGCTCCCGCTGGGGTATTTGGTATCACTGTTACTTCTCCAGGAAGCATCTGTCCTTTCATTTGGTTTTTGTAAATACACTTTGCTGCCTACAGGGCTGGCCCAGGAGCGGGCTCTGCTTTTGCACAGGGGAGCAGCTGCAGGACCGGGCTGGCTGCAGGTCTGGAGCTGCTCCCACCTCCACAGCAGAGCTCCTGCACAGCGTTGGGTCAAAGCCTTTCCTACACTCCCCCCCCAACCTAAGCAGACTTCTCCAGGAGATGGTGGAAACCCTCTCAGGAGTGCCTCCAGAAATCGTCCTCTGTAGTTAAACGCCTGCCTTTGAAGCTGGGACCTGACTTTTTGCCTCCTACTCCTCAGGGCCAAGAGCCCCAGTGGCAGAGCAAGGCTGATGAAAGCTCCCAGCCTCTGAAGGGTGCTCTGCGGCTAAACGTACGGAGACACAACAGTGCTGAGTGTTCAGAAAGGGCTGGTGATGAACCACGCTGGCTCCAGCCAGGAGGAAGGCACGGCACCATGCTCCTCATCCCCAGGCCATGCCCTGCGGTGGTGCCTCACCACCCTCTGCCATGCACGTCCCCGTGCGGTGGGATCCTGTCTGAAGATCCCACTGCAACTCCACTGCAAGTTTCCCGGAGCAAAACTGGGAATGCTGCTTTGCTGTCAAATGTTCAATCGGTCTCTTGGAGTGCATGGACTAGAGGCAAACACAGGAAGGCCACCAGTGCTGGGGACAGCCCCACATGGGGGATCAGGGGGATGCTTCATGGCATCTTCACCCAGAGGAATGGCACATGGGGGAAGAACAGTGGCAGAGAGAACTGTGGTCCTCTGCCACAGACCCGTGTTTCCCGGAGCAAAACTGGGAATGCTGCTTTGCTGTCAAATGTTCAATCGGTCTCTTGGAGTGCATGGACTAGAGGCAAACACAGGAAGGCCACCAGTGCTGGGGACAGCCCCACATGGGGGATCAGGGGGATGCTTCATGGCATCTTCACCCAGAGGAATGGCACATAGGGGAAGACCAGTGGCAGAGGGGACAGAGGGGGACCACAGACCTGCTGGGCATCTTGGCCACCGGATTGCTCAGATTGAGTCTTTTTATTTATTTCTAAGAAAGCCCGAGTGGGGAGAGAATGTCCCCATGGAAAGGGTGATCTGTGCTGTCCCAGCTCTCACCTTTCACTGCCAGCATGATGGCTCCGAGGACCATGATGAATGTCTGCAGTGCGTCAGTGTAGATGACAGCCGCCAGCCCCCCTGTGCAACAGCAAACACAGCGTCAGGAGTGCCACCGGCTTCGGGCTCAGTCATGAAGTCCCAATAAAGCTGCTCACACCCACGGGGATGTGCCTGTCACCAGCCTCGTCCTGCCCACACGCGGTAATGGGGGGCTCTGGCAGGAGTGTGAAGGGGGAGCAGCTCCTCGGTGGGACCCCTGCAGATGGGGTGGGGGGAGCAACCGATAGCCATGGGGGCTGTGATCCCACCTGGGGCAGGGAAGGGCAGCTGAGGGATGGTGGGATCAGGGAACTGTGGTACCATGTCCCTGCACAGTCAGGAGGACGCCAGCCAGCCCCAGTTCTTTGGATGCTCCAGCAAGCAGACACATTCAGGACATTGATCTCATCATTCATCCCACCTCTCCCTAGTGCCACACCACTCCTCCCCCTTTGCACACCCCTCAGCTCTCCTCCCAACCTTATAGTTTGATTTTTCCAGCACCTGACACATAATGAGGTCCCCTCCTGGCAAGCCAGCAGCATTTCTCCCTTTCCATCCCAACCTCTCCCTCCAGACCTGTTGCCAACCCAGGACCTGCTTCCCTAGCCAGAAAGCAATTACTCAGCAGACGAACAAAAGCATTAAAAAGCAGAGGAGCTAGAGAAAAATGGGTCAAAAATTGAACCGGTTTCAACCCCAGTCACTGACTCACATCCCGGGAATTCAGGGCTGCACCCTCCCTGGGATTCGGAGGGATGTTCTCAGGATGAGGGTGACGCAGCGATCACACCCTCTGCCTGAGCTCACGCCGAAATGCCTTACTTCACAACAAGCCTCGTGGGCAGGAAAAAAAACCTGAGATGGGATTTGCTTAAAACCAAATTCTTGCAAAATCCGCCGTGTTTCGGATAGGCTTAGACTGCTGCCCGTTTTGATGGCTGGGACGAGATAGTGAGGGAGAAATTACTGCCAGGTGTCTCCACGGGCACTACCAGGGGAGGGAACATCCCAACCGAAAGGGCTGGCAGGGATACACGGTCCCATGGTCCGAGAGTGGGGCTGCAGGCCATGAACCCCCAGTTTCCAACTCCAGTTCCAAATCCTCCTTGCCTTCATATCACAAAAGAGCCATATGGACTGAGCCTGCACAAAAAGAGCTGGTCCCAAGAGGGGGAAGAGCAGGCAAAAAATATTCCCGAAAGCTTTGCAGAGGGAGGGCAGCAAGTTCCATCGTGGGCAGGGCAAGTGGTTGGGAAATGAGCTGGATAAAGGGCTCTCAGACTGTAAATGCCACAGTAATAGTCCTGTAATAGGAGAAGCCCTGATTATTGCTGTTACAAATAGGTACACACACAAGAAAGGGTTTAACAACACGACGGAGGAGGAGCTATTACAAATGAGAAGCTCTAATGACAAAGGAGAGGTCACGCACTGAGTCATTGCCTGAGCTGACACTCCAGAAGGATGCTGAGGTGCTGGCTGGCTGGGGCAGGGAATATGAGCCCCATTAGTATAAATCCCCAGAGACCTTCCAGGAGAGAACAAAAATAAAGGAAAATAAAATAAAAGCGGGAGTGTAAGTGGTGTGGTTCAACCAAAGAAGAAAGATGGAGGCCAGGAGATGCTGAGCAACCTACCTGCAATGGTGTAGAGCCCCGTGACCACCAGCATCAGGATGGTGGAGAGGTAAAGGTCCCAGCCCAGGCAGACTTGCACAAAGAGAGCCCCCGAGTACAGGTCCGTCTGTGCGTGGAAGAAGAAACACAGGAGCTGGGACAAGTGACATCCACGTGGCTAAACATGACCCAAGGGCTTTTTCAAGAGTGGCACAGCAGGGAAATGGTAAACACCATGGGTACAGCAAGGACATTGCACTGCACACACCAGGAGGACACCTCCCAAAGCCAGAGCTGGAGCCCAGGGTCCCAACACAGGTGGCAATGTCACCACTGCAGATGGGTGTCATGGGCCACCTTCCCTCAATCCCCAAAGAGCAGAGCAGGCAGCTCCAGCAGTCACTTGCAACTGGGCCCAGTTGGATGCAGACAGTGGGACATAAGGGCCAGAGATGGGATGCTTTGGGGCATTAGCACTGCCACCAACCTTTGAGACAAAAGTAGGGAGCTAGAGACACTCAGCCCTTTACAAGATCAGACCCTGACCTGACCTTCATGCCACCCCAAGTACCTCCAGTTCCCTCCACCAATGGCAATGCCCTGCTCTCCAGGTGGCATCTCACCATGCTTTCTGCAGAGCCCTGGAGATGGGGCACTTTGTACCAACCGAGGGGCTGTACTCCCCCAAAACACCAGCACCCTTGGGTGCCTTCAGAGGCAGCCCAAGCCACCCCCCCAAGCCTAGCACACCCCACCCCCCGTGGGACCGATGCACAGGGGCAGCTGTAGCTGGTATTTCACGTTCTGCTTGGCAGGATTCATCTTCCTGGCACCCGTGCTGCCAGCCAGGAGGCTGCCAAGGACCCGCTTCCTCCTCCCCAGCTGCAGCTCAATGGTCTGGGCCGTCAGACTGGTCAGGAGGGCGGCAGCGAGTCTAAAAAATGCTTCTGGGGACAGGAGGGGATCTCCTCCCAGGTGCAGGGACTTTTCAAGGTGCTTGCTGGTACCTGCAATGCCTTCAGTGATGGATGGAGCTGTTCTGTGCCACGTCGCTCAAGCCCATTAGTGGTGCCCAGATGGGTGCTGGTGGGTCAGAACAAGGTGCTGCCTTGCTCCCTGAGGGCCACAGCAGTGTTTCAACCTCGACAGCCACTCCACAGCAAGAAGCACACATGGGCAACCACAGCACAGAGCACAAGACCTCCAGGACTGCCATTCCTGAGCCTTGCCCCAACACCAGGCCACTTATTTGTGGAGGATCTCTGGGAAAATACCTCCTCCTGGTTTTGCAAATATTGGGAAACCAAGGCATGGGCAAATGGCAGAAGTTGCATTTGGTCCTAAACAAGTAGCAGCAGCCCAGAGGTCCTGCACCCCAACATGGACCAGCATAAGTGTGTCCTCCAACACATCCCCTGACCTTTGCAGCCCCCCCTTGCAAAGCCCATGGAAGACACTCAGGGTTTCTGCTTGGCCATGGAAGGAGAGATCAACTCTGCATCCAACATACTGCCTCTACCAGCCTCAGCATCTCCTGTGCGTGTACCACTTCCCACAGGGACACTGTGAGTGTGCCTCTGCCTGGAGGATGATGTGCAGGCCTGGAGCTCACTCAACTGCCAGACTCAGTTGAGATGACTGACACCCCAAAAGCGACCACCATTTCCCACCCGTGGGAGGGCTGGACTCAAACAGGGAGGAATGGTCATGGTCCCATGGAAATGAGACATAAAGCAGAGACTCAGAGGGACCTGACGCACCCTCCTCCAACAAAGCAGCAATACCGTGGGAGGAGAGGACCAGGCACAGCAGGCAGTGCCCATGTCACCACCACATCCCCACCCACAGCTGAGATCCAGCCATCCCCAGTGCTCAGCTGGGGTATCTTCACAAAAACCTTGTTTGGAGAAAGAACCAAGGCCAGAAGGGGCAGGAAGAGGCAAGACGAGATGACTCCACGCCCTCGCCTGGAGCCTTGATGGCTTCTCACAGCCAAGACATCAGCTCCGGTTTGACATCTGTCTTCACACACCTCCCAGAAACCATCCCCCAAACAACAGCTCTGTCTTGCCTGGTCATGCGGGAGCAGTCACTTGGGATTAGTAACGTGGAGGACTGGTGTTATTTCCCATATCGCACCTCCTTCCCCCGGCTCTGCCCTTCCTCCTCCCTCCCGGCACTGCTCCAGCAAGCTTGCTGCGCAGGAGCTGAGGACCATCATCATGGATGGAGAGGGGCTACGCAGGATCACAGGATGGAAAAACCGAGGCACGTGCCACCCAGCAGGGCTCCATCAGCCATGACATCCAGTAGGTGAGCACTCATCCAGCTTCCGCACAACATGAAAGCCTGTTCCCTAGCAGATGAGCCCACACCGTTAGGCATAATGCTGATTAAATCACAAATCAAACCCACCATGAGACCACTTACACCATCTTTGGTGTAATTGGGATCTTGAGGATCCCAATTCAGGGACTCTTCCACAACATCTGCACCAGGCTTTACACCACAGTCATGCCTGGCATTCCCAAGGGAGGTATTACCTGTCCTCAGCTGCACTTGGGCTTGGCCATATCTCTGGGAGAGCTCTTGCCAGCATCAAGAGGCAATTCCATCCCGGAATGTCCTGCTGAAGAGGAACCAACTCGCAGGCTACCATGCCAAAACCTCTACTAGTGGCTCCTCTGATGCTTTTCCACCACAAATGCAATCCAATCACAGCCTGATACCAAAAAGACCACCGAGAAGCCCTAGAAGAGGACAGCTAAGCTATTCAAGCATCGCAAACTTCAACTACCAGGCAGAAAAGCCCCAACCAAAGGGTCTCAACCACCTCCTCCCATTGAAACCTGGAGACCCAAAATATTTTGAGCCTCCCTACCACAGTGCCAGCCAAGCATCCTTGGTGTCTTCTGGAGCTCCCAGCGTCCCTTGGAGGGATCCATCACTTATCACATCAGCACCTGCCAAGAAAGTCATTCCCCCTGCCCCCATGACCACCTGCTTCTCCAGCAGCCCTTCTCCAGAACCCAGCTGCAAAGGCTCAGACCTGGACAAGGTATTTCATAACTGCTTCTCCTGCCTTTCTCAATGCTTAATCATTTTTGCAGTCGTCTGCAAATGAGTCTAAGCCTTTGCTATGAGGAAGCAGAGGTATCTCCACCTCCCTTCCTGGTAATTCTGCTAGGGTAGGGAAAAATAAAAGTGCATGTGACTTGGTCATTAATAAGACATCCCAAATACAAAAACAAGCTAATTAAAAGCAGGCATGACCTATTCATAAAACAAGTCCTTTCAACTGTAAAAGGAGAGGAGAAGCCTTTGAAGTCAGGCCTCATAATCCAGCAAGATCCCTGCCTCCACCAGTGACCTCACTTGGAAACTCGTTCTTACCCAACATCGTTAATGCCTTCCCAATGAAAGCTGGCTTTAGAGACAGCTTGGATTTAACAATTGGTGAATCTAAAGCCTCAGTAGAACGAGTTACCCAGGGTAGAGAGGAGTCTTCAGGGGCTCTTCGCCAAAGCTAGGACGCCTGTGCAACTCCCCACAAGTTCCTAGACAGGGTGGACGCCATCTCTCAGTAGGACTTTGGGCTGCCCTGCTGCACCCTGCCATGAAACACGGAGGGTTGGGGTCCACCAAAGGGTAAATTCCAGACAAGGAAGGAGACTGTCATCTCCCCTGACCCAAAAGAAGAGCCAAGGAAGCAGCAGTGACACTGTGTCTCAGCTCAGGAGAACATGGAGTGGTGATCCACGCATAAACCTAGCATCTGCAGGGAAAGGAGGCAAGAAAATCCCAGATAGTCGTGAGCTTTGAGGCAGCCCCCAGTGAGGACCAAAGGAAACCCCCACCAGGCGACAGCGCTGCCTAATAGCCCTGAGTTTCATGCCCTCCTCCCACGCTCCCGGCTGCGGACACCACCAAGGACAGGACATGGGACCAGTTTGGCAACACCCGGCATGTCCACAGACATTCATCCCAACCCACTGCTGGAAACAACCATTGTCTGTGAGATTTACCCTGAATGGAGCCAGATGCCAAGATAATCCCCTTATTAGGCTGATTCCTCTTCTATTGCATCCTGCATGACTCAGAGATCAGAGAAGACTCAGCAGACCAAAGAAACTATAGCCCTGGCTGAGAAAAGGCACTGGAAGAGGCATTTGGGAGTGTCCACCAAGCTCCAAACACGAGGTTGTGCTGAGAAAGGCCAGAAGAACCGCAGAGGTTCCCATCACAGAGGTCATCTGCAGGCTCATCTGGTGTTAGGCAAGGTCTCCCAAGCTAAGAATGAACTTGAAGGACATCCATCCCTTCTGGGCAAAGCCATGGAGAGACTGCAAATCAAAAGGATCAAGCACATCCCCATGGCATGGTAGGGCACTGTTTTGTAAGAGAAGAGGGGATGCCTGTGATAGTCTGGAAAGAGACCGAAAGCCAACCAGCCCTCAGACTGCTGGTGATTTCTTGCTTCAAATTCTAACCAGCAAGAACAAACTACCCCACCAGAAATCCTACCCCAGCTTCCAACCTTTCCTTTTAAACACCAGCAGGGACTCGCGCAGATCCCAGGGACCAGCACCACAGACACGGATGCTCCAGCATCTCCCTCAAGCTCCTCCCCAGGTTCTTCATCAGGAGCAGGAGAGATACCTCCTGAGCAGCACACAGGAGTGGGACAGCAGTTCACTGGACATTAGCACAATCAGGGAGCATTCAAAGCATCGCTGACCAAACTTGCAAACTGAACTGGTGCTCCAGGAGCCACCAGGCTGATTTCAGGAGAAATGCCATAGGATTTTCAAAACCATAAGTGTTAGGAGTATAAATATCAGCTTTATGGGAAGAGTGCCCTCCAGCACGACAGGACATGGCTTTGCAGGGGGAAATGCAGGTGGCAGCTGCACTCAGGAATCACCTCATGGGAAGGAGATGGGGTCTCCTGGATCTGGGGACATCACGTCATGCAGTGCTGGGCGTCTGATCTGAGGCAGGGACAGCCTCTCCCTTTGCATTAAGCACTGATTACGTGGTGAGAGCTGTTTGCAGGCTGCTCCATCCTCCGCATCCCTCGGAGGGAGACCCAGAGGATGCCCCCACAGCTCAGCCGGGGGCCCGGGGCTGTGAAGCTGCCGGGGAGGAGGCAGAAACTCCACACAGGGAGGGATGGTGTCTCCAGCCAAGCTGGTGTTCACCAAACACGGAGCTGGGGAGTGCAGGGGCAGGCACTGAGCGCCTCGCCGTGGGGAAACGCTCCAGCATCATCCCTCCTCCTGCACAAACAGCCACTCCTTGCAGCCAGCCACAGGCAAAAGCACAGTTCTTCTAGCCAGCAAAAGGCAGAAACCCCAGCAGACCCCGGGTCAGATCCGCCCGCTCCATCGGAGCCGTGCAGGAACGCTCCCTCCGGTGTGTTTTCTGCTCCAGATCATTTCTGAGCTGTTTGCTCTTGATCTGTGTCTCGCTGTCTCCAGCCCCCCAGGGCTGTCTGTGCCCGGCTCTCTCCTGCTTGCCTGGTGTCACAGGCTCTTTAGCTGTTTTACCTCGGATAAACTCTTCCCCCAGTCACCAAGTGGGCAGCAGGAGCCGGGGCTGCACACAGGGAGCTCTGAGCGAGGCCAAAATGGGGCTAAAACATCCCTGTGGAAAAGTCCCTGAAAAATCGGGCAGTTTTTGTACAAGCTTGGGCATCTTATAGGTACAGCAAGGCTTCTTTTCCTCGGGAAACCCAGGTGCCCTACAGCAACGAATGCATTCCCAATTCAGTTCCGGGTCCCTCGGGGAGCGCTGGAAAGCATCACTGCTGGGGCAGGGAGGAAAAACCCAGACGATGCAACCCAGCCTCCATGCACGTTTCATCCTCAACCTCTGCCACAAGCCAAGTGCACCACGAATTTGGGATTCCTGACACCCACCCACACATCCGTCGGGGCCACCCAGACATGAACATCACTGCTGGATCTACCTGCAAATGCACAGGGTGTTGCAGATGGCATCTGCCCATGAATTCCCACCGTCTGTCCTGCTCCCTCTTGGAGCATCCTACAGCAGCTGCTCTCCCCCTCTCTTGGCTACATGAGTTTTGAACCCCAAAATAACCTTTCCCTTGCTGGAAATCAGTCGTGGAGCTGTCACGGAGTCGAGCAGAAGCTACTCACAGAGATTTTGGTGAAGATGGAGAGGAGGAGCGACAGGCTGGAGAGGTACATCCGGATCCTCTCCCCTCCAAACCTTCTCTGGAGATACTCAGGCATCGTGACAATCTGTCGGAGCAAAAGAGAGTGATCACTGCCCTGTCCATGCCCCCTCCTCTGGGAACAGTCCCAGGGAAGGGAAAGGAGAGCTGTATTCCCAGAGCAGGGTTTGGGATTCTCAAAGGACAACGGTGACAGCTCTCTGAGGAACAGAGGACCTGGCCAGGGCAGACTCAGGGCAGCTCTACGTACCCCAGATGAGATGTAGACGGGCACAAACACCCAGGCCAGCGCCAGAAGAGCATAAGTCGCCTGTTGGGAAGGAGAAACATGCCACAGATGGAAAAACCACTGATCCTGCTGGAGCTCGTCATCAATTGCAATGCTGGAACTCATCCACCACTCCTGACCTGGCCCTGGCCCACCTTCAACTGCACATTTACATCCCCAAATGGCTTCAGATGGCACACATGGGTGCACGAGGTCATGGTGGAGAGTCCCCAGCGTCCCCACCAGCAGGAGCTCACTCCCCCTCAGCCCTTCAGCTCCTGACCAGACATTTCCCACTAACTCCTTGAGCACACAATGAGCCAAACGACGTATTTTTGCTGCAGAACCCAAGGACTTTGGAAGCAATGGGTGGGGGAGCAGGGAATGGGTGACCTATTCAGCTGGACGAGGAAACTGCACTGAAATGTCCTTTTCCCTGAGCACATGGACCTGAGTTGTCTCCAAACTCACTGTACATGCACTAGATGTGAGCTAGAGAAGCCGATTTAGCAGGGTCGCGTTAATTACCCCCTGCACAACTCCTCCCAAGCCTTTCGAGACGTGGCGTGAAGCTGCTGTGAAACGGGCCATCTGCTGTGACGCGGCTCGAGAAACTCATTTTTCTTAATAACCCAACATTTTTCTTACGTTCCACTCGAAGCCGGTGACAGCGATTCCCCCGGCAGCGCCGGTCCCAGCCAGCCCGATGAAGAGCCCCGAGCCTTCGCTGCTGGCGAAGAGAGAGGCACCGATCTGCAGAGGAGCAGAAGAAGTCCTGGACCAGCTTTGGTGCTTCCCCAGCTCCCAAGGGATAATTCAGTGAGAGGAGGCAGCAAAAATAACATCTGAACGGGAGCAGCAGAGCGCAGACCTCCCCAGCGCTTCTAAAAGCAAAGTGTGGCCAAAGATAGACCGTGTGGGATGAGGGACGGGGACGTATTTTGCAAGAAAAACCCTTAACAGACTCCAATCATGAGCCCCAGCAACCAGCATTCCCACGCATTGAGCTCATCTGGGCATCCCCAGTGGGTTTTGGATGGACTTTCTTGTCTTCAGGAGGATAAGAAGGAGCCACACGTTGCTGCATTTGCCACAGTGACCATACATCTTGCCCAGAGGTGGCCCTGTGTCCATGGGAAGGACTTACAACCCGTTTGTCAAGATCATACTGAAATAAGAGGAGGGGAAAAAGAAAGATGGGACCCCCATATCTTGTTGGAGGCACCAGGAGAACACGGGGCTGGTGGAGATAGATGTTTGACTCCAAGAAGCCCTCTCCAAGTTCAGAGCAGCCTAGGAGGAGACCCAACGAGCTGGGTGGGCTCCAGCATCCTTTGTGCAACGAGAACAGAAATGGACACAAGGACACAAATCCTGGCAGAAAGAGGTGTGCAGGGTCAGGGGAAAGTGTGGGCAGGCAGTGGGGAAAGCAGGGGCACAGAAGAGGGAATTTGGTGAGAGGGACAGTGGTGCTGGACATCCCTGCTGCCCAGGGTGTCACACGAGGGACAGAGGTCTCTACTTACTGGCCACCATGCCATGTCTCTGCCAGCAAGGAAATAGCCACTGACGGTGTTCCTGTTCACCCTGCACGAAGACTGGGAGGAGAAAAAATCAGCACAGAGCACCCTTTCCCCACAAAACCCAGACAAGACACCAAGAACCGAGTCTCCCAGACAAGAAGCCAAGAGACGGGAGACTCTGGATAATTAATGGGAACTCTGCAGCTCGAGCTTAATTACACGAAACGGTGGCTGCACCCCGAGTACCTGGAGCCATGAATAGCAAAGGCGGCACCCCGAGAGGGGGAAGCACGGAGGGTGCAGCCATCCCGAGCAGACAGGTTGGCTAATAAGGCCCAGCTTTGGCTATGATTTTTCTGGAAGGCAGACGAAATTGGGCTTTGTCTGAAACCGGGGGTGGCCGAGGGCTTCTGCTGTTTAAAGCAGGACCTTTGTCTCACCACCCTTTAATAGAGGAGCGGCGGAGCTGCTTAGGCCCAGCAGAGCGGGGCTCCAAGGGGAGAGGTTTGTGCCCCAGTGAAATTCCCCCTCCTTCTGGGGCTGTGGGTGTCTTTCCACGGCGGGGGGAGGGTGTGAGGGTTTGTACAACGGAGCAAATGCAGCACAACACACATACACACAAAAGAATGCAAACTACAAGAAGAAATTAATAAAATTAATAGAGGCTTTCAAAATATTCCAGGTGAAAAAGGCAGCCCTGGGAAAAAAAAAAAAAAAAAACAACAAAAAAACAAAAAGGACTATTCAAACAGGAAAAGCAGAAAGGGAAGAAGAGAGAAGACTCTTACCCATATTCCCACTGCAACGTTTAAGGCAAAATAAACCACTACAACGACAAGGTCAGCGACGCTGAACTGCTGCGCGGGGGAGAAGGACCCTGCAGTGGAGTTACCCTCCATCACTCCTCTGCCTCCTTCTTCATCCTCAGCCAAAGCCCCGTCCCTGAATCAGTAACTCATTAGCACCTTGAGGACATTGATAATTAAACAAGCCAGCTGTAGGAGCTTGGCTTCCGAAGGCCTTTGGGTGGGAGCTTGGCTGTCCCTGGCATCCATCCCCTCCCAGTTTCCCCACCGCCCTCCCTGCTGGCACCCGAGGGACACAGGGATCCAGGACAGCACCTTTGATTTCCGTGTCACAAAAGGGAGCAGCTGCTTAATCCCCATTTCCTCAGGGTTTCCTGCTTCTTCTGCATTGATCTGGAAGAAGCCACAGGCTCCAGTCCCAGCTGCTCCCCCAATTAATGCATTTCTGCGGCCCAGACTCCCCAGGCGCAGGATCCCAGCAGCCTCTTGAGGAGGCGCCTCAGATCTAGATATTTCTGGACAAGAAACTGCCACGGCTTTCATCTTCCACAAGCTGGAAACCAAACCCCAGCATTTTTCTTGCAGATCCTACAAAGAATTTGCATGATCTCCTGCCTAGTTAATTACTGTAGAAATTGCTGAACGAAGGAAGGTTTTTAAAGTGCTCTTTACGTTTGAAGGATCTCGGGGAAATACCTCCAAGAATAGTTGGCATTTCTGGTGATCTGGTATTTTTGCTTCTGGGAAAAGCACATAGAGATCAGGCAGCTCCACTGTCATGAAAGGGGCATGAAAATTGTCCAAGTGAAATTGTATGTTCTTTGCTCCCTTGCAACCACTACTACGAAAAGCCAAAGGAGCAGAATCCAGGTTTACGACTACAACTCCTACAACGCTCCCACATTCTTGAGTCCTAATCAATACAGTAATTGCACCACACAAAATTAAGCAAAGCTGGGGGTTTCTACACACTAAAGCAATGAGCAGACACAGGGGTTATGTGAACGTCTGAGGTGGACCCTGAACACACCAGCAAAAACACTTGCGGAAGAGATGAGGTTGTTCCTCTAGAGGCCAAGGGGAAACAAGCAGCAGGAAGCAGCCTCTGAATTGAATGGTTTTGGGTGTTTAGCAATCACACCATTTGCCACGCTGCTTGGCTGGTTGTCACCTGGCACACACTCTCCAGCCCAGCCATCACAAGGTCTCACTAATAAAATAAATACACCACAACTAATATGCCCATCGCCGAGACAGGTCAGCGTTGTCCTCCCCTCCCTGAACTGGCCGCTGACACACGGCAGGAGCAGGTCTGCACGCCTGGGAGAGGAACCCAAGTTCTCCCTCTCCGCTGGAATTTAACCTGCATTAACACATTCCAAGTACGTACAAGTGTTAATACATCCTCAGCTTGGTGTATCTATTAACAGCCCTCAACTGTTCAATAACCTGCTGTCATTAAAGTACACCCAGGTTCAGCCTTGCCTTGTCTCACTTCATAGAGAGAGACGTACCTCTCCAGACAGGACTGCAAAAATCAAACAATCTTATGAAAAAGAAGCTCAGAGAATGAAGGAGAACATTGTTTGAACAGAAACGTGCAGTTGCTTAAATAAAATCACACTGAATGTACCAACAAGACCAAGTACCACAGGTATTTTAGCAATATTTGGGTCTTCCAGCCACAGTCCAGTTTGTGCCCAGTGCTGTGCCAACACAGACAAGGGAAGGGAAAAAAATCTGGTTTTGCCCTTAAAAGCAAATCATAGAGTCAAGTCGTAGAATGGTTAGAGTTGGAAGGGACCTTAAAGATCATCCAGTTCCACCCCCTGCCCTGGGCAGGGACACCTCCCACCAGACCCTCCAACCTGGCCTTGAACCCCTCCAGGGATGGGGCAGCCACAGCTTCTCTGGGCAACCTGTTCCAGGGTCTCACCACCCTCACAGGAAAGAATTTCTTCCTAATATCTAATCTAAATCTCTCCTCTTTCAGTTTATAACCATTACCCCTCGTTATATTCCCAACTTCTCCTAAGTCCCTGTTGTTCCCTGACATCCAGCCACAGATTTAGCTCCCTCCCACGTTCCCCGCAGCAAAGCGGCGCGCTGGAAGCGTTCCCCAAACTGCCAAATTACAAACCCTTGGAAAACCTTTGTGACAGCACCTGCAAGTGGATGGTGAAAGGTTTGATTTTGCCTTTTTATAATGCTGAAAAACAACAGGTATCTAAAAAAGACGGGCTGAAAAAAAATGAGTATCAGCACTGGGGAAAAGCAGCCTCTTCTCCTCAACTGCAGGTGCTTCACTGTAACAACAAGCAAAACACGTTACTCTCCTCACTGCCAAGAAGCCTGAATCCTGTTCATATTCCAAAACGACACATTAGCATAAAAGAATCATTTCACCTCTTGATTTCTTTCAGTAACGTCACACCCACAAATCATTTTTAAAGGGACACACTTTAGAAGACAAGCGACTGGTACGTGAACATTTTTAGAAAGCTCACACAAAACAAAGTCTTTATTTTTCGTCGCAGAAAATAAATACAGGTGCATATTTCATATGCTTTTCTATAAAAGCACTCCTACAAAATCACTTAACTGCGTACAACAGTACAACCTTTTTGGCTTTTAAAATGCAAATATTATACAGTCAACTTTATTTTATTATCTTTTAAAGCACTTGTAGCAAGCAGCTTTGGAAAAGGAACGCTCAATTTAGAAGCCAAATTCTTGCCTCAAGTGTTTTGTGGGGTTTTTTTCCATCACGTATATAGTGCAACTAACCTAAAAGCAACTAGAACAGTTTTTTGTAAAATGTTTATTCCCCACCCACCCACCCCACCCCCAAAAAAAAACCCCCGGCAAAGAAAAAAAAAACCAGCTCTTAAAAACTGTTAAACCTTAAACCAAGAGAAAACAAAAAGTGGCTCAATAGAAATATTAAGGTAAGCACGATGCTTCACAGCTCGTTATCTGTTTGCTTCCAGTTTGGCCCGGGTGCTTCTTTAGAATAAAAAGCATTAATCATCCAGTCCTATATTTCTGAAAAGGTACGACATGGACTCCCCGTTATGGATCCTGCGAATGGCTTCCGAGAGGATCATGCTGATATCCACGGTCTTGATTTTAGGGCACTGGAGTTTCTGTATTTCGTGTGGAATTGTGTTTGTAACAACCACCTACAGAAAGAAAGAACGCTCAGAAAGACGTGGCTCAGTTACGTTTTCTACCTCCCATATAAGAACCGCAACAAGGAATGTCTACCCACCAGATCCTATGAAACCCCCTTGTTCATAAAAGAACAAGATTTTACATCACTGTCAGGGTCAAAACCTTAGGAAGAGCCATGGATTGCTACAAGATTGCACATATCCACGGATACTAATTGCACCATCCTTTCTCCCTTTCATTCTGCCACAAAGGTCAAAGGAAGGGATGAAAATATCCCCCACACCAAAGGGAAATGTCTGCCAATACCAGCAGTCCATCATCTCACTACTTCCCTAATTTCCCATAGTTTAGGGACATGTAGATACTACTATTCAAGCAGACAATTCCAGGGTAAAAAAGCCTGAACCCAGAAACCTCCCAGCTGAATTCTTAATGCCGGTATATTTTAATAATCAAGTCAGGAGAAAATTCCTTGCTTAAAAACCCCCAACTCATTTGATCGGGAATTGAGAATCCCTGCTTACTTCATCGATGGCAGATTCCTCTATCAGCCTGGGAGCATCTGACGACAACAGGCCGTGTGTGGCCATCACAAAGATCTTGTAAGCCCCCCTCTCCTTGAGGGTCTCAGCTGCAGCAAGAAAGCTGTCAACATCATCTATGATGTCATCCTGCCAAAGGAAGATCGAGTCAGTAGAGATTCACCGTGTCCTCAGACAAATCAACAAGGCTCTCCAACCTGGCCAAGCAAAACTAAAATGGAAAAAGCCTTCTCAGATCTGATTTCCAGGTCCAAACCAAGCTGGAAGAGCCTGAGGTAGCAGCCTCCAACTCCTGTAACACCTCACCTTCAGAGGGAAGAACTTAAACAGATTTTTATCTGGCTCTATTCATGGGAACAAGGTCCCAATGTTGCTTTTCAGCATGGATATGACTTCATAGCTCACAGTCAGCTTCAGTAAGTGTGCAGAACATGCCTCAGGATATAAAGAGTGCAGTACCGAAAGCCCACCACCACCCAGCTGCTGATACTGCAGAAAATCTACTTGATTTCTGCAACTTGAATATATTTGATGGAATTTATCGAAAGGTATGGCATCTTACTTACCACGATGATAGCTATTCTTCCTCCTACATCTCCAACAACTGTGATGGGTGGTTTTTCCTTGGGAATCAGCACTGATTAATGGCAATTTTTTTAAGAGGGGTAGAAAGGAGAAAGAACATGTTTATACAATTTACTTCAAATGTGGAGAAGTCTGCTTTTGCAGTCACCACTGTTATAGAGACAAGTGAAGCAACAACCATTTCAACCATGAAAGCATTCCTGAGAAAAACCAGCAGTATTTTAATACATAAATGATTTTTTTCAAGTTTTCAAGTTTTCTAGTTTTCAAAGTATTAACTACATTCATTTAAACCCAAATTCTTAACTAATTCAATGAATTCTTTATTTTAGTACAGAGAACAGAGTGACTTGCAGTCACAACCAGTTCAGTCACCCTACTGAGATCCAAGGTAGGTTTATGCAGTGAAGTTTTGTTGGTGCAGCTGTAGATCCCATCCACCCTCAGCAGGGCCACTCTGTCAAGGCCTGTGACATAGAGCTGTGCTCAAACCCTGTGTCAGCTCAGCTTGTTAGCGCTGTCCCCCAGAAAAATTCCAACAGAAAAAGTAAATGGCAAAAAAGTGGGGCCTCTCTGCCAGGGGACCACCTGTAACAACACAGCCCCTCCTACACAGGGGACAGACCCCATGTACAACCTGGCACTAAAACTACAGACAAAGGGCATCAGAAAGGAATCTCTCCCTCCCTCTACTGTTCTCATAAGAACGACTCCTTTTTGATGGTCCAGCACTGCCAGCCCTCAGACACACAAAAAAAAAGACAGGTTAACACTTCACACAAAAACTTACTTACTGGGTATCTCCAAACTGGGATGAATAGCAGCTACATTTTTGGCTGTAGGTGGTGAGTGTCGACCATCCACCATGTCAGACTCAGCATCTTGAGCTTCTCCATGAATCACAGCAATTCCCAACCGTAAGCGCTCAGCAAATGACTGTGCTCTGTAGGGAAAGGGTTAAAAAAAAAAACAGAAATAGATTAGCATTGTATATTTCCATTTTGTTTCAGAGGAAAAATGGAATGATCCTAAAATTTTAGAAGAACTCATGGAAGAAAACACTTGTCCCTCAGCATCTTTTCACCAGGCTTGTGAGTGTCAGAATAACCTTGAAAGTACCCTTTCTGGCCTCAAAGCAACGGGATAAATGCTGCAAGCCATGTAATTCTGATAACTCCCTTTCTGTTTTGCCCAACAGTCAAAAAAACCCATTTCTTAGCATTCGTCATTCTTGAGATCTCATGCTTTAAGCAGGTCTCACCTAACAGCAAACAAGAACAGCCTAGATGTCTGGAGCATCTACATTTAAGAGGAAAAAAAATATTCACATGAATACAGAAATCAAGTGTTCATCTATTTATTTTTAGCAAGATGTGCTCTAAATAAGATGATATCCCATTCACATGAATACAGAAATCAAGTGTTCATTTGTTTATATAGGACTATATCCATGACCACCTGACCTTAGATATTCTACAGAAAAGAGAATCCAGACAAGCATTTTGCTTGACAAACCACACTTCAAAGTTAAACAGCCTGGATTTTCAGAAGCTTACAAAAAATTCCTTCACCACAGAAATGTAAAGTGAGTTAGGGGAGTGGGGAAAGCAGAGAGTCAGGATAATGGGAATCCCACAGACAGTGCTTGTATCCCAGGTACCGGAAACAGCAAGTAAAAATCAGCAGATTGATCCTAGCTTACCTTGCACACCCAAGAGTTCGGTATCTAGCCTAAGCCAGTCACCTAGTCTCCTGGTCAAACTGAGCCTGGCAGGTCCAGAGTGAATCACTTTGTTCTAACTTTAGCATCTGAGACCTGTGGCCTGAATCACCTCCTTTACACTCAAGCCTTGTTTCACTATCCAAACAACTCAAAGTCCAGAGAAGAATTTTCCCATCGTGACGCTCAGCTCATTAAAAATGAAGAATCTTCTGCTCTGAAGTTATCCTAGTTCGGGTATTTTTTTCAAGTAGCTAACTACAGATAAATTATTATTCCAAATATTAAGAGTTATGACTTACAAGTCATAATTCTATCAACGATAGAAACAATAATAATTACTTTCAAATGCAATATTAAACTGAATGAAGTTCAAAGTAACAGTAAAATGATTCATTCATTTTCCAGTGAGCTCAGAAACCACAGAAACATTCTGAACTTCGTCAAGCAAAGGTTCTCTTTCACAAGCAGACATTCATCTGAAAAGTGTTCTTGATTAGGCTGAAGCATTTGATCACCCTTTTCCAAATAGAGTGCACCTCCTCAAATACCACTCTTAAATGCTCACATGTACATGTGAAGAAGCTAAATAATACAGCTCTGGGATCCTCTCCTACACAAATGGGTTACATGGACAACTTATCTGCCTGATCAGTTCAAGGTATTTATGACTACTCACTGGTACATACAATTACTTGACGAGCATGAAAATGCTTCAACAAACGTCTTGCCTACTCCCAAGAGGCAATACTGACAACAAGTAAAAGAAACAAATGTAAGGTAACTGGCCAAGACAAAAGAAATCATATAAAAAGTACTGCAGGAAAACAAAGGTAACAAAAGTTGTTTCCCTCACTATACTTGTACAAATTAAAGCATTTCTGATTTGCTATATAAAATAACAGAAACCTTTCTTACAAAGCATATCACGATTCCTTGGCATGTAAGTCTGATAACTTTTCAACAAATTATTAGTTTGTCACCACAGCGAATACAGTATCTCTTAAACCATCCACCAACTCTTACACCACCTGCGGAGAGCAGTGTAATTCCAAAGAGTTTAGGAACAGTCAACTGAAAGGCTCATGGATTAAGAACAGTCGTTCAGCCAACAAGGACTTCACAGTTAAAATCATCTCCAACATCAAATCCTGTTTCACCACGCTAGATGGTAAGCCATCTGTACCTGGGATCTGATCAACCATGTTCTAAGTTATGACCACATTAATCAATTACTTTGGATTAACAGTGCTATACTTCCAGCCATTTTTCTTCATTTACAGCAGGAAATTTATAATGTAAATGCACACAAATATAATGATGAAATGCTTCCTTTATCCTAAGTGCTGTATTGATTTACCTTATGCTTTTGTTTATTTAGTTTTTACTCTCCTTAGATCTATTATGATTATAGTGATGATGAAAAACTACACATCTGACATGTAGAATTGGGAGGGATTTGAAGGTTGCACCTTCTAATTATTGGATATCTGTCCTTCACTTAATCCTAAGAACAAAATCACAATAGAGATTTCCTGCTCTAACACAAGAGAGCAGATCTTACCCACCTCTTTGCAGACGCAGGTGATTTGGCCACAATTACAGCATTCCTGTAGTCTGGTATCTGTAGTAAATAACAGATAGCAATGTCTACTTCATATCTTTAGAAAATTTAAACTCAGTAAGAATCAGAGAACTTTAGTTTGCCAGAATTTTAAGCATTGAACATTTTACCTAACGTAAGAAAGCACCCTCAAGAATCCATGGTACATGATCAGAGTTCACAGCTTGGTAAAAACAGGTATTTAGAAAACTTAGATTTTAACTTAAAACTGTACCTTTCATAAACACCATGTTATATGACAGATCACACAGAAGTAACTGCTTTAGAAGAATGTCAGTGCTAAATGGACAAGTGACAGAAGAAACAGGAAACCATAAAAATTAAGGTTTCCTGTTCAACTTGTCTTGAGCGTGCACATGGCAGTCTTTATTCACTTGAAAACACAGCATTTCATCTATTTCCTAGTTTTACGGTTGTTTTTTGGAGTACAAAAAAAAGTAACACCATCACTCCATCACCTCATACTGACTCTATATGGACCATCAAAAGGGATAAAAATTCCACATTCACTGCACTGATCCCAGAGTCTCAGTCTAATATTGCTGCTAACTGTCTTCTATGCAGATGAGCACAAAAGGATGCTGCTGCAAATGCCGACAGCAGCGAAGTGGTGAGGCCAAGAAGTCTGGGTTTCGTTTCAAAGACCAACAGGTACATCACTCAGTCTTCACAGGCTCACTCTACTCCAAAGTTTGCTGCCCCTGCCCCATTCTCATGCTGCCTTTTCACTCCAGACTCTTCCTCTTCATTTAGCCAGTCCTCATCTCTCAAAAGTTTCCATTCCTAGTCTCCATTTTCTCTGCAAACAGTGACTCCACATCAGACACATCTCTCCTTGTCCATATCTTCTCAAGCATTCCACCATTCACACTTCCAGTCCTCCTTTCCAACAGCAATCTATGCTCCCTCTAAGATCTCATCAAACCCCCTCTTCCTTACAAACTCAGCATTTTCCTTCACTGTGCTGCCCTGGGACAATCTGTCTGCAGCACCAGGAGAACCTGTCTGTCCTTCTATCTGTCCCCATAACAACAGTCCACAGCCACTCTCAGGTGCAACAGCAAAAGCAGATCCAATCCTCAGAATCCCACTGTTAAGGGACTGAAGATTCTTTACAAAATACCTAGAAATCAACCTGCTATGCAAATCTGGGGACATGATACCCTGACACGCAGTTCATCACCTTACTGTCAGATGTCAAATATCAGTTCCAGAACAAGCAAGGTAAGCTCTTCCACAATCTTATCCTCAAACATCCAAACCACGCTGGCTGAATATTTGCAAAAGCACTCTTTCAGGTAGAGGCATGGGAATTCAAAAATTAAGTTCTAAATTTGGGCATGGGGCTAACCAACTGAAAACAAGAGCTTTTCTGAGGACGTGTCAGGCAACATTAATAATCCACAATGCTATTAACTCCACCTATAATACTGGGAATTCAGCATGTTCTGTCCTTTACAAACACTTAAGTTATACAACAGGCTACAAAGATTAACACGATGGAAGGTATGGACAAGGCAGGGCCTGTCACTTGACATAATAAAGGCTTTGATCTTGTTCAGACATCATTGCTTCATTCTTCCCCTGCCAAATTATCAAATTTGTTCTCAGCTTTTTAAAAATGAAGTCAGAGAGCCAGAAATGTCAGCCAAAAAGACTGTAAGACATCAACAACTCCTTGTAACAAAGAGCTACGTCATTATAAGATTAACACACACACATAGCATAGAGAGAAGACACTAAGTATTGAACGTTTGCTAAGAATACACAAGAAAATCACCAAATTATTCTTATAGCACAGTAATTTCACTGATTGGACTGTCTTCATCACAGAACAGCAAGTAATTCTCTTCACACCTATGCATAAATTCCCAACAGCGAACCACTGTAAGCCCTCATCCTCTTAACTTTCAGCGAAATGCTTCTTAAGTAGCCTCTATTCTTATCAAGCTGGACTGTATTTCATGCTACTCGATATATGCCATCACAGTTCCCATTTGAAACATTTTTCATGCTTTGGCATTCACAATGCAGGATACCGAGAACTTGAGATGAATACAGAATTCTTCCCGAGCAGCACTGGATGAAACTTTGAAGAAAGGATGCTATAAATGACCTGGCTGGTAAAGTTACTTGCCAATATACATCCCATGTGATCAGATACGTTCAGTCAACTCCAGTTTTAGCAAGTCATCTCATGGACAAGCAGAGGAATGAAGACATGAAAAACTGAATGTATCTTTTAATATCTCTCTACACATAATTCAGCAGAACTCCACAAATGTTCATTTCTTAGACCACATACAAAGGCACAACTTGTCTAGTGTCTGTGTATTTGGTTTTCCACATTTTTCCTTTTTTAACTTATGAAGTGCTTACAACATGCAATACTTCTCTCCTGGTGTACCAGATGAATGACTGCGGCAAAGCCAGAGTCTGGAGTTCTGTTTTATCATCCTCTTTGACTCTATTATCAAATGAAATGATAATGATAGATTCAAATGGTGACTGATTCCCCAAACAGATTTTAACATGTCATAACAAAATCATGTTGGTTTGGCTCTGGGTATTTTTGTTGGGTTTTTTTGTTTCATTTGTTTGCCTTTTTTTTTTTTTTTTTAATTGAGGCATTCATAGCTCTGTAAAAAGAATTATCTTGGATTCAAAAGTAAGAGTGAGCTAAACCTTTTCTCTCACGAGGAAGAAAGCATTTGCTTTATCCCCGATTATCATTAGTCAGAGGCATAATATGCATCTTATACCTACAATTATCATTTGCACAATTTGTATATACGAATGTATCAGTAGCACTTCTCAAAGCACTTATAAAAATAAGATGGAGAAATGGACGCCCAGAACACCAGAAGTTAAGCTCCTCAAGTCAAGACATGCTGAACAAACAGCAGGTGAAGATTTCCACACAAGAAGTCATCTGTTCTTACTTTCAGGGTATAATCAATAGGCTCTGTTTACAACTTTGGAAGTTAAGTGTTTTCATAATGTGATATAAATTACACCTACACAAGCAGCCCATCCTATAAATGTCAAGGAAATTGCAAACAGAAAAGGAAGAGGATAACAAGAGCAAGAAAATCCTCTCTTAAAAAAAAACCAAACAACTAGTTAGAGCAATGTATCTATGAAGACAGAACAGCATCACTGCCTGGATAAGACAATGTCAGTTCTTCATGAAAGGAAAAATTAAACCTGTGGGGAAGAAAATAACCAACTGCCCCAACATGACCTTTCCCGCTTTAAAGTTATGTTTGAAGAGTTAAGTCTTTTCAGAGGAATTTGTTTCAGAAGCCTTGAGATGTGACAAAACATAATTTAAAAGAGCAACTGTAATAGCAAGCCTTCCTCACCTCTTCTTGGATGTACTGTAGTAAAAATGGAGATGCTCTCAAGTTATCAACTGGAATATTGAAGAATCCCTGTATTTCCTTCTGATGTAAATCCATGGTAATAAGATGAGTTAGTCCTTAAAAAAAAAAAAAAACAAACCAAAAAAACAAACCAACAAAGAGAGATATGGAGAAGCACATCAAGAAAAGTAACAGAGAACACCACACGCACTCTTTAATTTGCTACTAAGTTCAACTGAAGTTTGTCCAGAGCAAAATCTCTGAGCTGCATTAGAACAAGAATACTATACTTAGTGAAAGTACACAGCATATTAACTATGTCCCTCTTAAATACACCAGCATTTTCATGTTTTGAGATTTCTATGGCATCCTTTTAAAAAGAACCTCAGAACACTCTACATAATTGGCTCAGTAGTGCCACACTGAGGCAGGTAAGGTCTTTCTCCATTCGACATGACAAAATGGAAGCACTACTAAAATAAATTGTCCTATGCCACATAGCAAGACCCTGGCACAGACAACATCAGTTTTGAACTCCTGAAAAATGGGCCCAAATTCTAATCATCAAAACAAGAAACCAGATCCCACTGTTCATCGTAATTGCTCATTTTTCCCAGGGACAGGAGCAAAAGCAAAGGAACAGAAAAGAAAACATGCTGAAGGCTGTGAAAATTGATAATCTCATTCTCCCACATCATCTCAAATGTAAAGTGCATTCATTCAACAGGTAAGAAATTAGCAAGACCCTGGCACAGACAACATCAGTTTTGAACTCCTGAAAAATGGGCCCAAATTCTAATCATCAAAACAAGAAACCAGATCCCACTGTTCATCGTAATTGCTCATTTTTCCCAGGGACAGAAGCAAAAGCAAAGGAACAGAAAAGAAAACGTGCTGAAGGCTGTGAAAATTGATAATCTCATTCTCTCACGTCATCTCAAATGTAAAGGACAGCTACAAAGTGCATTCATTCAACAGGTAAGAAACGGGCCAGAAATGACAAAGCACAACAGTTTGAAAGTGTTGGAAAGGCAAAGAACAGTACGATGAGAGATGGATACCATGGCCCAAAGCAGCAGAGTCCAGCAGACTTCATTTTGCCAGCTCTGTAGGACACAATGTAAAACGGCTGTTACAAGTTTGTTGTTTTTTTTTTTAACTCATCATTTGGAATCATTTCTAATTACATTCTCCTTTCTATGTGGGTTTTAAACTCACAAAAAACTCAGCAGTTCTTTTTAAACAAAGTCCCAACTAGTGCACAGACCTCTCTAAACCTGAAAACTGACAGCAGGAGTCCCCATTGCCCTGTTTATTTCATAACAGCCTGCATTCTTACCAGCTTTGCACATCATTGAAGCCAGTAATTTAGAGACAATGGAGCCTCTTTTCCTCATCTTGCACTGTTTGCTGTATGGGAAGTAAGGAATCACTCCAATAATGCTTTTGGCACAGGAGGTTTTACAAGCGTACACCATGATCAGGAGTTCCATGATCGTAGTATTCACGTCCCTGGAATGAGAAGCATCTATTTCTGTATCTTGTGCATAAAAATCCTATATTCACCACAGAATTCATACCCGTTCCAGGAGCTTCACTGCAGGGTAGCAGAGACTATGGTGACCAAGCAATCTTTACTAAGAATCCAGCTGTGCGCCTCAGAATGGCAAGTGCCTTGCACTCAGCATTTTAATTATTCACTAGAATTACACTTCATTATTTTTTTCATTTGGCTATCTGGGCAATTCAGTAGGTTTTGTTATACCACGTCGCTGTAACAAAGTAGTCCATAATTTATCTATTTCTACTGCGCACAAAACAAAATAGATACGTTCTTCAATATACATCAGCTTTTTATTTTAAAGTTTCAGACTTTACAATATATTCCTCTATTGTTCAAGCCAACAGTAGGCTAAATATTTAACAATTGCCATTTCCTTTCTGCCCTAAATTAAAAGATTGAGAGTGCATCTTTTTAGGTGAGAACAACTAAGAGATCTACTCAAATCTTATCATTTGTAAAGTTCTTTTTGCATTAAAAAAAATATTCTGTTTTCTGAATCACGGGACGCATTGCCTAGGAAATGCTCCTCCTACATTTAGAACTTTGTAATGGTGCTGGAGACCGGTAGCTGAAAAGGGAAATATTTAAAGAGAATGACATAAGCAAAAGAATGCAAAGACCCAGGGGAAGGTTTCACTGACACATTCACTGAAAATGAAAATTACTAAAGTTAGCTTATACTGAAGTCTTCTTTGTGCATATATCAAAAAAACCCCACCAATCTACCCAAAAAAACCCCACAGAGAAGCCTCTGTCTAGTTATTCTAAGCTTATTATACTGTATCATATACACAAAATGCAAAGAAAAACAGAAGCCTTCCTATGGACAGCCCATGTCAAAATGGTAGCAGTGTCTTTAAGCAGTTACTCACTTTGAAACTGTTTGGATGATAAATACATCCTTTCCTCTCACAGACTCCTGAATCTGCACTCTTGTTTCTGCCAAGAAGAGAAATATGTAATATTTGCAATAGCAAAATTAATAGAGTCTAAGAAAAGGGTAGCCAATAATGCACATCATGGTTAGGTAAATTTCCAGTTTGACCAATGAAATGCTCACCTCTGTTTGGCTCTTGATAAACCTGAACCTTCCCCATCTCAACTCCTAAGCGCCTGCAGGAGGAGAAAAAAAGGAAAAATAGAAGTCAACAGGGGAAAATGAAGGGCAAAACAAACACAAAACCCATACAATGCAACAGTTACTGAAAAGGCTTTATTTCACAGAAGACGACCAAAAACAAAACAAACACAAAACCCATACAATGCAACGGTTACTGAAAAGGCTTTGTTTCACAGAAGAAAACCAAAAAAAGAAAACCCAAAACCTTAAAAGCAGTGATTATAGCGGAAATTTCTTAACAAAGCATCTACAATTTCCAGAAGCTGCACTGCAGGCTAAGCTGAACTCATTTTCAAGTCAAGCTCAGAAGAACAAGCAAAGGGAAAAAAAACAATGCTTGATTACTAAATTATGTAACAATTTCTAATTTTTAATATCTATTTATATGTGTTATATATGTTGCCATTTATATAAAAACAATGCTTGATTACTAAATTATGTAACGATTTCTAATTTTTAATATCTATTTGTATATATGTTATATATGTTGCCATTTATATGTATCTACACATGACAACAACACAAGCACAACACTTAAAAGACCGCTTTTAAATCATTGTTCTCTGTAGAAAAAATGCCAATGTAGAGTGAATAGGAAATACTAGGGAGCTCTATTCGATGAATAATGGAAGACTAATGTCTACTACGTTTATTTCGCTTCAGTGAAAACCCCCATCAGTAAAAAAAGGAGACAACCAAGCACTCTATGCACTTAATGCTCAAGTCCCTACAGTTCCTTTGCACTTTCCTTTCTCCTGTCTCTAATTGTGGGTACATGAACCCGCTTCAGTGAAAACCCCCATCAGTAAAAAAAGGAGACAACCAAGCACTCTATGCACTTAATGCCCAAGTCCCTACAGTTCCTTGCACTTTCCTTTCTCCTCCTGTCTCTAATTGTGGGTACATGAACGTCAGGAAGAAACACAGCACATGCAATACTCCTGGTAATGTTACACATCCCAATACTGCTAGAGCAGCATGGTGAAAATTTCCTTAAGTCACAAAAGTTCTGCTGAAGCTACTCATGCATGTAAAGCTAAATGACATCCCCATCTAAAATACACACTGAACAGCAGCTTTGCCTTCTAAGAAAATTCTCCTACAAGGAGAATGAGAAAACGATGAAAACTGCTATGATTATTTAACAGTATCCAAACATCATTTTTCCCACATGTTCTCTACGACATACTGTAGTCAATCACAGCCTCCCGCCAAGCAATTTAAACACAAGTTATTTTCTTTGTTACTGGTCTGCTGAAACACGCTGCAAAATACAGTACATTAGACATGCTTGCAAACCGTGGCAGTTTTCCTACGTAACTTTCCTTAAACAGAGAAAACAGTCTTTAGGAAAGTAAGTCCCATCATAATAACACCAAGATCCAAAGCTGCCCTGCAGGATTTTTACTTACTCAGCAATCCTCTTCGATAGTTCCATGCATGACGAATTGGAATTAGCTGAAAACAGCACCAGTCCACCCTTGGTTATATTCATGATGGCCCCAAATTCAGTTGATGGCACACAAAACATCAAACCTAAGTTGTTTTTCCGCTTCTAAAAGACTGCAAGAGATCAAAGGTCTGTTAAAGCCACGCTGTTAAAAACAAAAAAAGAAACAAAATTTCTCTGTTTAGAAAGTGGCTTCCTATAAGTCTGTATTTTCCAGTATCTTTAATATCTGTTATCACCACTTTAATAGCACCAGGAATATATCCTTACAGAACGTTGTGACTCACAAACCACACTGCTTACTGACCTGGCTCAGCATAAATAATGAGAGGACACAAAGAAGGGGACTTGAGCCTGCCTTGCCTCCCTTCTCCAGCCCCCAAGCTGGAGTCTCCAACCCTCCAGCAGAACAATGCCCTGGAGACCTCCAAAGATCCCCCTATGACAACCTCCTAACAGGTTTTATTCTTGTCTTTTTTTTTTTTTTCTTGTTTGAAATGTTTTCCTCAGGCTACCATCCAGCAACACAGAGTCTCTTTTCCATCAGCTTATTCACTTCATTTTCCAGAACCGAGCAACATTTATTGACTTTTTCAACATCACAAAGCTAGTCAGAGGTAAAATTGACCTAAACAGAGCTCCTGGGTCCTGACTCCAGTAAATTGCCTAGAAAAGTCTATTTTTCCTAGCTGCGTATCTTTTTCATCACTTTGGAATAAATTATAAACTTACAAATAGGGATGAAATGTAAGGAAGAGTTCAATAAAGCTGGCAGCTGTAAATAATGACCTCTTGCACAATGTATCCACTTGCTGAAGCAGTTGTTGGCATTCTTTGATACTAATATTTCTCCTGTGAAAACAGGAGAAAAATATCAAGAGGAAATCTATACAACTCTTTTTTCCCCACCTAAAGGCACAAATCACTAATCCACCAAGGATTTAATGGGATTCCATCCTGACACTTTTTATTCTTCTGTGTAACATCACATTTTCGTGTGATGTACTTCTAGCACAAGTTGTACTTCTAGTACAACTTTTTGTTCAGATAAAAAAAAAAAATTAAAAAAAAATAAAAATCACATTGACCAGCAGCCACTGATAAATCAAAGTAGCATTCAACTCAAAAAGTCTTGGGCTAGAGCACTTCACTTCTCCTGTATAAATAGTCCAATCCTTCATCATCTGCTTTAGCGTTATGCAGGAGACTGAAAATATCAAGTACAAGTGGCATAATTCAAAACAAAGTAAATAGAAGTTTGGATATATCAATAACTTCCTTCCTGGCAAACTTCTCCCTGCTGAGAAACATAATTTTCTAAGTCACACGTAATCTGTTACAAAAAATTGATGGTAAATCAGCTATTAAGTACTCCAATAGCATCTGAAAGAAAACCAACAATTTTCATACTTACAGGAACAGCTGTGTAGCTCTATAAAGAAACTCATTCAGCCCCCCTTCGCAACTAGACATACTCTTGCTCAGTTTGACCTCACCACAGAAACTGTACCTGATTCACTCTCAACTAAGAGCCAAAGTCAAGTCAGGAACTTCCTAACATCATCTTCCTGAAGCATCTGTGCTATGCTCAATTGCTCTACCTGTCATTGAAACTTTCAAACTGTGCAGGAAGAGAGCACAAGCAGCAACAATTTCAGCAATAGTATTTGAACACCTAGATTTTTTGACTCCGCTAGAACCTGGTGTGCCCCCCTACACCACCAAAGCAAGACCCCACCTCTTTCAGCCTTTGCCTACAGAAAGGATTATTTAAAAAAAAAAAAAGAGTATCTCAGAAAGCAGTATGGTTACAGACACCCCCTCTAAAACTCAACTACATCCCTCCCAAACTAAGTAGTCAAAAATTCAAGAACTAAAAACCTATTTCTCAGCTGGTGCTTCTTCCTTTGTTCTGCTGCTGTGCACTTACTCCTGTTGACTAATGGCCATCATCTGTCAAATACTCCTAACAGTGTTAAAGATACATCTTAAATTCAACAAAGTGAGCATGACTAGAAATGCTTTTAGGTCTCTAACACCACCTGAAAACACTCTGCTTCTGCAATTAGATGGGAACAATGCAGAGGCAACTTTCAATGTTACTAAAAGTATCCACATGGTGTCCTGAAGACATGGGGTGTTTTTTTCCCCAATTGTGTTACCTTCTTTGCTCCATGGACTAGGAAATGAGGAGAGTTAAGAAACTGTCTGAAAGTTAAGAGCTGTTGGTTCCCAGCTACTGTTCAGGGTGCATTTCACACCACAGTGAGATACTGACATTCACAAGCAACACTGAACACAGCTCTCTACATAACCATCGGTCATGGACTTTCTTGCAGATGTACTTACACAGCAACAAGTGGGCTACAGAGTGTGTGTTGGGGGAGAAGGTGCATTTGTAGAGTAATATTGATGTCTCAGCCTCAAAACATGTGTTGGGATGACACAAGCTCACAAAACTTTATTAGACGTGTAAAGACATGACTCCACAAGGGTATATGGGACCATAACCCCCTGGCTTGAGGTGGACAAGTCTTCCAAGCCCGCATCAGATTTGGGAGAACACATGCACCACAGAGTAGGATGCAGCCCCATGAATACCTATCCTTTCTTTTGGGCTGCACACAATTACACAGACACATCATGATGAACACAACAATTACTGGAATGGCTACACATGATGCCCTGCTCCCACTGGCTTTACACCTCCAAGAACTGAGCATGTCCACACAGACAGCAACAGAGGCAGGAACAACCATGGTGCTCAAGAATTGATCTCCCCCGGCTGGAGGGAAACTGAATCCATCTCCCCACAGGGAATTTCCCTTGCTCTGAAGGGCCCTCCACACTAACCTGGGCTAAACGGCAGAGGGTCGACCCTTCCACCCCATGCCTCCCTAACAAGTCCTTCAGCTGCTCCAGGTGGGTTACACACGCCCTGGGAAGGGAAACCCGCCCAGGCACTCCAGGGTACCTGAGGATCCCTTCCCTCCTCCCGGGGGAGAGGCCTGGGCACGCCGCAGCCCTCAGCGTGGCAGCGGGCACGCCGCTCCCCTTCACCTGTCGGACCGGCGGATGGCGAGGAGCCCCCGGCAGCCCAGGGAAGGGGCCGCCCTGGAGAGGAGCCCCGCTCCCATATTGCCCCTAAAGGGAGGGCGACGAAGCCCCTTCCTCAGGCGGCGGCACCCTGTGTGGGGATGGGGAGAGGGCGCTGGGGAAGGAAGGAGGGGGATGTCCTGCCCTCACACAGCCGGCTTTGGAAGTGGGCTGAGCGGGCGGGCCTGCCCCTTTCTGAAGGCCTTACCTGCCGGCTCCGGCCCCCCGGCCCCGGGAGAAGGCAGCCCGGCCGGAGGGGAGGGGGAGAGGCAGAGGCAGAGGCAGCGGCGGAGCTCAGCCCCTCCGGTTGTCCGCTGGCAAGATGGCGGCGCCGAGCGAGGGAGGGAGGGAGGGAGGGCGCGCGAGGGGCGGGTGCGAGGCAACGCCCTCCCCCCCCCCCCCCCCCCCCCCCCCCCCCCCCCCCCCCCCGCGCCCGCCGCTCCCCCCGCCTGCGCCGGCAGAGAGAAAAGGAAGGAGGAGGCGCCGGGCCTGGGTCTCCCGCACCGAGCCGCCGCTGCACAACATGGAGGAGCTGGTGGTGGAGGTGCGGGGCTCCAACGGGGCCTTCTACAAGGTACCGGGTGCTGCGCGGCTGAGGGGAGTCGCCGCCGGCGCCATCTTTCCCCCTACCCCTAGTGATGCTGAGGGGGGGTATACTGTGAGGACCCCAGTACCAACGCTGGATTTCAGCATTCCCCCCTCCCCAAAAATAAAAGGAACACCGTGGGTGGGTGACCGCCCCACCAAGGTTGCGAGAGCTCCGGTGTAAAGGCTACAGGGGCATAAACCAGCAGGTGTCTGCGCAGTGCCCAGGTTTGGGAGCTCCCGCACCTCCATCTCTGCTGCTCTGGGCACCAACACCACAGCCGTAGGTCCTCTCCATCCCCGCCTTTGCCATCGGGCCAGTGTTTGTAGAGAAGGAAGCTTTTCTGGAAAGTAAATAAAAAACCCCCAAACAATTAGTGGTCTCTCAGTTCCCTTATACTGTCCAAGACCATATGCTGTTTGTCCAGAGTCCCCTATCGGCCCTCCTTGCAGCATCCTCTTTAAGCCATGGATGAAGATGCATTTGACATCTGCAGGCAAGATGCTGATTTTAGCCACCCGCTTCAAAGCCCAGCTTTGTCACAGGACAGCACCTGTGACAAAAGTTGTGTCCTTTCACTGCTTTGACAAAGTTACAGTCATCCCGTAAAGACTCAGGAGGATGAAGCTCTTGCCAGGCCGCCACCCCCTCCGCCCAGTAAATAAACAAGCACTGTTTTCCCACTAACTGGGTAGCTAGAAGCTGTTTTAAATTAAGCTTTTAAGTATGCCCAAATCAACAGCATTTTATGGATCAGAACTTTAGGGTTTAGCATAAAGCTACAAATCATTTCTGCTGCAGCATAAAAGAAAAAGGCAATTAAACTTCATTATTCCTGGACCACAGGGTGCACTGGAGCAAGACCTTGAGCACCCCGGTAGATACTTGTGTCTGTGCTGTCCTTACCGTGAAAGGGGAAGAGAAGCCACAGCTGCCGGGATGGCTCACCAAGCGTGCCTGCAAAAGGATGACATTTAGATTCATATTTCTGGCATTACGAGGTGTATTTTCCATTTTAAATATCCACAGGCCAGTGTTTCCCTGTATTTCACAACATTTGCATATTGCATTCAAATACTCCATCAATTGTCTCTCTTCCCCTCCCAATTTTTTTTCAACAGACAAGGAGGTGGGGAAGGAGAGTGATTTAACCTGGAGCCATGCAGCAGCTGCCAGATGTAGAGCATTCTGCTGGCAGCCCTCGCACAAAGCAAAGACATCTGTGTGAAACACACGACCAGAGAGGCCATGAGCCTGTTCGTACCCTTACAGAGACACAGCAACGTCCCTCTGCCTTTCCGAGAGTCCCTTCTAAATTACATTTAAGCATTAAAGAATAGACCTCTCCTACCACCTCTGGTCAGTCTGTATTTTTCTGCTTACAGGCTGGTGCTTCCACAGTTGATTCAGGAGGGGTCACTGACCCTACTGGCTTCTTTCTTTTTTGTTTTGGGTCTTTTAGGACAAAGGGGAAGTGGGTTTTGAGCTTTTTGTTAGCCCCTTGGCAGAGCAGCAGAGATTTCTCCCTTAACATCAAGCATTCATCGCAGGATTTCACTACAGAGCAGTGTAAGGCAGACCAGCTAGAAACAACACATGGTGAAGCACTGACCCATATTGCAATGAGCAGCTTTCCCCAGAAGCATTTTTCAATACCCCAGGGCACCCAGAATTTGCTGACTATTTGATTTGTGCTGCCCCAAATTCCTGACATTGCTTAAGCAAACCACAGGACCAGGAACTAAAAGATTCTGTCTTCTGATCCTTTTTAGAAGGCTAGTGCCTTTGTTTTCTTAGAGCAAATCAATTTCTTTCCCGCCTCTGTTTTCCTGGTCAGAGGAATGTAAGTTTAAAGCCCAGCTCCCAAGGGGGAGGGATTTGTTAATTTTACAATATGCTACCCAAATGCTAAGAGTTTAACAAATAGTTGCTGCAAAATGAGCACCCGGATATTATTTCATTTACAGTGATTCAATTAGCAGTCCTCTAAGGAATTCTGAAAAACTGCTGGGTGAGAATATAGTGGCTCACAGAGATTTGTTGTGAGATTTCTTAATCCAGATGCAGCCCTGGCAAGCAGAGATGAGCAAAAACAATCCCGCACCTAGTCCAGCCAAGGTGAAAGGCACTGCTCATCCAACACTCGGTGGGACGACAGCCTGCATCCATCACCTGAGAGAAGACAAATGCTGCTGTCATCCAATCTCCTGAGCTCCATCCATCACTGCTTAGCCAGGTTGGCTTTTTTTCTTGTGTTTTGGGTTGGGTTTTTTTGGGGAGGGAAAAAAAAAAAATAAAAAAATAAAGGATGTTAAAACTAACCTGCCAAACCACCTGACAGGGAGAATTATCAAAAATGGTACACCAAAGAAAACTTTTGATTTGATCCTAATGGAGCCCTGTGAGTAGTTTCGGTCTCTCCCAGTGGTTGGTCCTTTGAGGCATCCCAAAAGCATCCTCTACCCTACATCCTACAGCCCCTCTGAGCCCGCTGGGAGGTTCTGCAGTGCACAGGCACCTCCACACCGAGCACAGCCTCAAGGCCACCTCCTCCATCCCCTGCCTTCAGCTTTACTGCCTCGAAAGAGACTGTTCTGATTTTCAGAAGATGCTGGCTTGGATATTACCCAGCTAGGAAGGGAGGATTCAAAACAGCTGTAAATGCATTTCAGAAGCAAGGGAAGGAGGAGTAATTTTATCATTTCTTGGGAGCAGTCTGGAAAATAACATTCCCTGTGTCTGGGAACCAAATTGCCTTAATAAAGCCCCAGAGCAGAGAACATGTCTTATCTATGTGAGGGGCTATGTAAGTAGAGAGCACTCTGTTATTGTTTTTATCAAATATTACTGCCATGCCACAGCTTGGCTGTCTGATGGAAATAGGCACCGACTCATTTTGTTACAGCCCTCTTCCTCCTGAGTCACGAAGCTTTGACTGAAAGACTCACTGGGTTCAGTTTGTTTTCCTCTTTCTAACCACGCTCTCGGTTCCGGATCACTCTGCAATGACTCACAGATCTGCCACATCAGCTTCAGCGCGGGGTTATCTCCAACCAGCCCTCAAACAAAGAGACAGGCAGCTCGTTGGAATACACAGCATTTAACAGGCCACTGCACAGACAAACATCTCAAGCTGGATGAGAGGGCGAGGGTTCAAGCAAACACGAAACAAGAACCAGCAGTGGCACCTTTTGCTTTGTTTGCTGATTCCCTTCGCTTTGCTGTGTTTGTGTGCAGTTCTCTCCTGCAAAGCCTGCCTAACATCCAGTTAACATCCATCACTGCCTGTTTACAGATGTGGTTTGCCCTTCAAGTCGCCTTTAGACAGAAGTGGTTGAACTGGACAGGGAAGTCTTGTCATTTCAGGGACTTTGAACACAGTTAGTGCCAAACGACCCATTCCTCTCCATCCTACCTACTGGGTCCTAGTCGACTTGCTATTTACTGCACTGAGCTACAGCTTCTCTACAAACAGAAAGAGAGAGAATATGCACCATGCCCCATACAGGCACTTAGTGAACATACAGGAATGGCTTGAGTTAGTCACAGGTCACTACAGAGCAGGCTTAGAGAATTCAGTACAGGAGAAAACATCCCGTGCTTGGCATACACAGCTGCACAGGGATAGGCTGTGGGGGTGTAAAGAAAGATGTGGTACCAACCCTGCCCTGTACAGCTAAGCAGAAGAAGCTGGGAGAGGTGCAGGGAAGGACCAGAGTGCAACCAGCAAAGAGCACCCTGTTCCCTTCCCAGTTTGGTGCCCATCAGGGCTGACCCTAGATCAGCAACAGCAGGTTAACTCCAGTGCTGTGTGGGACCCTCACCTGGCTGCTACACCAGGAAAGGCTGAGGAGACCCAGGTAAGGTTTGGCCTACACCATTCACTAACGCTATTAGCAATACCCCTGCTTCACAGAGAAACTTTTACCAATACCAGTCCTCTAACTTGTGTTGTTTCCTGCCCGATTTCAGCAAGCTCTGGAAGAGGTTCTGCTGTCAGACCTCCACGTGCTGGCTGTTACCTGACCTTATCTAACAAGTCCATTCCCAAGAACAGCATACAAAAATTTTACTCACCAGGAAAGTTTCACCAGGGGGAAGGCATGGGGACTGCTAGCTTTCACAGAGGCTTTTATTGTCTCATTAAGCTCTCCTTAATGAGAACTTCCTCACCTGCTGCAGTCTCCCTCCCATTTGTTTGCACCCACCATCATGCTGCTGGTACTTTCAAGGCTCTCTCAGCTCCTGCTCCTTCCTCCCTCTTTCCTCTCATCTAATTCTGAGCCCAGTTTCTATTTCCATGCTCTTATCCAGGTCCTGAAGACAAAATACCTTCTCCTCTTGAGCTATTCCTGGCCACATCCTCCTTTGCCAGTTTCGTCCATGTTATCCCTGCAGCTTCTCCCAGTTCCAGAGTTACCTGCTGTACTTTCTCCTCTGAAGCAAGGCAGCGACAGCTCCTGTTGAGATCCCTGAGTTACGTGCTTGCTAAAACAGTGTGGAACTGCCGGGCACAGCAATAATCCACAGCTGTCGAGGACCTACTGCGTGCTGCAGTTCACCCCAGGCTTTAACTCCTTGAGATTCTTGATACATCTTCCTCTAAGGTCCTGTCTTCCTTATAAAAGCAGCGATGTCACAAAACCCAGTTACACCATGGCTGTCCCTCAGCATGGTTAAAACACCACAGTTATTTTCTCTTGCACTAAAGATCTAAGAACATCTTACCATCCTGCTAGACCCTAGTCTGACCAAAACCATAGCACTGACCTAGTGCCACTTAGGCCTGTGACTGAATCAGGACAGGACACAACTGGGCTGTAATCGGATTCTGCCAGTTCTCTTTCCAGCACACAGAGGTCTGTCATCCCTCACCCAAACTGTCCCCATGACATAGTTCTTCCCATCTACACCAGCTGGTGAAGTATCACCGTTCCTTGCTACTTTCCTTGGAGGGCAGCTCTGGACCACAGCTTCAGCCAGCGCAGTTTCTGCACACAGAAGGCACAGCCTGTGGTAAAACCTCTCACCAAAAATCACCTGCCAAGTCTTCTTGAGCTCATCACCAAGATGTTTTGGTGATTCCATATTTACCTTGCCCAACACCAAAGTATTAATGACCTTATCAGACTGCTCACCCTGCTCTGCTAATTCAGACCAAATGCTCTGACTATCAAAACTCGCGTATTCTCTCAGCTAAGGCTCCCCCATGCACAGCCTGAACCCCGCACGCCCCAATGGCTCTGCCTGTCCCAGCCCATCCCAGTTTGTAGGAGTGGGGCTGTCGGATCGGCCCCTCCATGGGACCAATGAGGACCTCACACCAACGGGGCAGCAGGGTCAGCACCTTTCTCAATAACTGCAAATACTGCTGGGTTCAGGCTGTTCCTCCCATCCCATCGCATCTGAAAGAGCCTTGAGAGCAAAGCTGCGTCAGAGGGGGACACGGCTGCCAAAAGAGTCGTTCAACCTCTTTGGATTGTTTGCATGCCTTTGGATAAAAATTTCCCTTAGCTTTTTTTCATTCAAGCTTTTCTAGATAAACGCGTGACAAACACAAGTGTCCAGAGAGAATGAACAGCCTGCCTGTTGGGAATGAGGGACTATCATAATTAGTGCTGTGATAATGAGATGGTCTGAACATGAGGGAACTCGATACAAGGGGAGATTTATCTTGGAACTGGTCCCTTGGCAGCCTGACCCCCTGTTGATGTCAGCATGGTTTCTTGTTGCAGAAAGACTAAGGACCAGACCCAGGATGACAGACCCATCTCTATCTCAAGCTCATCTTTTAACACAGCAGTGGCCATTACCATTGATAAAACATTCGCTTCCCCCTTTTTTTTCTCCCAACAGTATTTTGACAAGAGTTCTCAGGAATGGCTGTCTGAAAGCTTTCTCAGCCCCTTCCCCATCATGCAGGAAGACATTCAGCTTTGTAAAGACACCCTGTAAAGGTGTGTAATAACACGCCACTTCGAATGGAAGCAACTTCTGGGTGGGATATTGCAAGAGAGAGGGAGGGAGAGAGAGAGAGAGAGAAGCTTTTTCTTGGGTCTGGAGTTGAATGGTGTTAACTGGTGAACCAGAGCTGCTGTGCAAGAGGCGTGCTGGGCTTGGCTGGGATGTCAGGGAGGAGGTGGTGCTCTGTGGGTTAGTTACCTACTGGTATTCCAGTGGTAGTTCCTTAGGTCACCCAGACACTCTGCTTCACTTAAATTATGTTATCCCATGGCAATCCTGTACCCACCTTGGATGTCCAAATGACCCAGAAAATTGCTTTCCTTCCTACCACAAACCAGGTCAAGACTTCAAATCCTGACCTTCAAGGGGGCTGGTGTGAGGAGAGGAGCACGACAGGAGTCCAAGGCCTTGGTCCAACACTCTGGAAGACTCTTGTCACAAGTGGGCTCTGCAAACAGATAAGGAAAACCAGAAAGAGCAAACGCCGGTCTGCGCAACCTTGACACTGCAATCGATGTCATAGTTTACCACCAGGAGCAAGCAAACAGCCCCGGCGTTGCGTGCTGCACAGCAAACATTGCAGCTTTGTCTGGGTGACAGGCAGCAATCTGTGGCAAAGGGTAAATCTCTCTGTTCGCTCATGCTTGACATATGGACAGTCTCGTTACATTCCCTGTTCTCGGCGGGTTTATGCACGGATTTAAGGTTAAGTACATGCACGCCTGTAGGATCACGACCTTCACTTAATATCGCGTGACCCAGCAGACCCATAATTAATCCCTAACGTGTTCAAGTGACAGCTCTCGCTTGGTGGTGTCATCCGTGCAGAATAGTGAGGTGCATGTAAATTCGTACGTTCAGGCTGGGAGTTAGAGATTTTCCAGCCATCGGAGCAGTGAGGCTCCAAGGCAGGTTTCTGGCAGGATGAACGGGATAAATGGTAGCTCAGGCCATTTTGCAGGGAGACTGGGCAGGAGAGGGAGGTGTGATACTCACCTGCTCGCTCAGCTGCCTAGGATGGGCTGGGAATGACAGCACCTCAACGCTGCTGTTCCCTTTTACGTGACCAACATTTTCTACTTATGAAAATTAAAGTGGTTCAGAGGTTGATCAAGCCTGAGAAGACACCCCCCACCATCTTCATCCTGGGCAGTTTGCACATGTGAAACTTGACCAGACGCAGTTCAGCCCCACTTGCTCTTCTTTCTGCTCCAAACGACTGGTTTTCAAATTACCAAAAGGTCTGAAACCCAACCAGAACTTTGGTCTAGCAGTCAGGTCCACAGGGACAGAGTGCCCCAGGCAAATCCTCACACCCAGGTCAAGTCCCGTGTACTTCAATCATCAGAGTAGCTGCTAACGCCAGTGGTTCATTTCCAAATTCTGGGTATGTAGTCTTTTTATCTAGTTGTCCTTTTACCAAAGATGAGCATGTTTGGTCAGGTGTTGGATCAACAAGTGTTTTATCACACAGGCAGCACAACAGGCTGGGTATGTTTTACATAAGTTTATTGAGATTTAATATTCATTCACCAACAGTACAAAATTTCAGATCTCCACTAATTAAGGGCCAGAAACACGTCAAACATGACCACAGACAAGCCTTGCTCAGAGACAGTTATGCTGTACATCAAACCCGAGTAACTGGAGCACAACCAATAATTTGTCCTGCCACATATCTGGGGAGGGAAAAGATGAGTGTCCTACCAGTTATTACACACCCTACAAAAATACATACAGCCATTTCATTTAACCCTATTTCTTTAAAAGACGCACGTGTAAGAGTGCCTCTGGGGGGATCCCACTGCACGTTCAAGCTGCTTTTTGTAAATTATTTTCTCCTTAAGCTTTAGGATCCCATGCATCAGACTGGAGTGATCCATGGGAAAGGATCTTTGTTTTCTTTACTGATTTAATTACAAGGGAGTTATGGTATAGCTCTCCCCTCCCTCCCTTTCTCCTCTGGACAGCCAAAATGCTGGCACTGCTGTACTCCTCCAGCACAGCCATACACCTCTGGCACAGCTGTACTCTGCTAGTGCAGCTCCACCTGATTTTGCTCCCTGGTGGAAGCCCAGCAAAGATGAGTTGCCAGGAAAGTCTGGCAAGGGCAGGGAAGAAATTCTCCCCTTGGCTCGCCACGTGCAAATGCACTGCAGGTGAACCCAACGGAGATGCAAACAGGATTTGTCCCCAGATGCCTCCCCAGAGCATGTACAAGGTGACCCTGGGCTGGGCAGCAGCATGGAGAACATCTGAGAGCTCCCTCCTTGGGAGGCAGGAGGAAAGTAAAGGGAGCTCTGCCAGCGGAGTCACAAACCCAGCAAATTTTATAAAGGGTCACCTGTTAAAATCTGGAAGCTGTAACAGCTCAGCAGTGCCCAGGCAGGTCACCCTCTCAGCCCATCCAGCCAGTGGGACATTTTGCCAGGTATGATGGACCATAGGAGATGGAAAAGCTACAGGGAAACAAGGCAGCCAAGGAAGGGGCATAAGGAGCAAAACATACTTTGACTTTCCCACTCCGCTGCAGCTCCAGACGGATGTTTAATTTCCATAGTATATTAAGTCATTGTAGGTTTGAGATACCTCCAAAAGGTCAAATCACACTTCGTTAGCACAACCCTTTGTAGCCCGGGAAGTTGCAGAGAAAAGAACTGCCCCCTCCACACCAGGACCCACTCAGATCCTTGGGACCTCTGCTTCCGAAGCAGACCTGGACTTTCTCCTGCTGGTCAGGCTGCCCAGGACCGACTCCTCGCTGAAGGCCCCTTCGAAGGTCGAGAGGATGGACTGGCGAAACTTCTCCTTGAAATCCGGCCCCACAAATACGTACAGGATGGGGTTGATGCAGCTGTTGAAGAAAGCGAGGCTGGAAACCAAGGGGATCCCTATGTAAAGGGCCATTTTCATCTCATGACTGGTAGAGTTTTTGGATATTTCCAGCAAGGAGAAGACATGATAGGGGAAGTAACAGAGGAAAAAAGAGACTGTGACAGCAATGATGATTCTGTATGGTTTGGCAGAGCTGGCTAACTGCCTCCTCTTCAGCTTGACAGCAACGATGCTGTAGCAGATGAGAATCACGGTGAAAGGGATGAGGAACCCGCATAAGAATCGCGTTATGATCATCGCTTTGTGCCGCATCCTCCACAGCCTCCGCGTTGCCTCGGAGGTGTAGTCATCGGAGAGTGCAAAATTATTATAGCAGCTGGTGACATTCCTGGAACTGACCACAGTGTCCCGAAAGACAAAGTACGGGGAGCTGAGGAGAAGAGCCAGGACCCACGTCCCCAGTGCGATCCTGGTCGCCAGCTCCGGACTCCTGCGGTTGTGAGACCAGACGGGAAAGGCCACAGAAACGCAGCGGTCCATGCTGATGACCGTCAGGAGGAAGACACTGGCAAACATGTTGAGGAACGCCATGGTGCTGTTCAGCTTGCACAGGAGCTTCCCAAACGGCCAGTGGAAGCCCAGGGCGGTGTAGGCGATGCTGAGGGGCAGGAAAAAGGTGAAGATGAAGTCAGCAATGGCGAGGTTGAGGAACCAGATGGAGTTGACCGTCTTCTTCATCTTGAAGCCTGCAATCCAGATGACGAGGCCGTTCCCTGTCACCCCCAGCAAACAGGCGATGCTGTACACCACCATGGAGAGGACGTGCATGCTCTTCTGGAGGCCAGAGTAGAGGTCATGGGCAGTGTTGTTCTCAGGCTGCACGGTGGGGAAGCTGGTGGAGAAGGGCCAGGAGGAAGAAGAGACACTCTCCATCACCAGCAAGCCGGAGTCTTCAAATCCTAACACCAGACCTCGCTGTGATCTGCAGCTCCTGCGGCTCAGGGGAGGTGAAAATCTTTGCTAGCAGCTGGATGCAAAATGTGGATGCAAAGCCAGATGATATAAATTAATATACAATTAATATAAAGTCCTTCTCCTACAGCATCTGCACGTCACAGAAACCACCGCAACCAGGGAAACCACCCCAGGTTTTGCTGCTGGTGTGGGCACCATCAGAACATCACCTCCCTGACCAGCCTGCAACAGCCACCCGAGGTGGACCAGCAGCAGAACCAGGGGAACCCAGCTCCAACTGCTGTGATGAGTCCTCTTCGGATGACCGGCCACACGTTAAGATAAGCCAAAACCATCCAAAACCGATAAAGATTAAGTTAAAAGACTGTTCGACAAGTACCTTCCAGGGATGAGCGGTGCCCGAGGTGTGTCCTGGTGTAACCCTCAGCCCGTTACCCACCACCCCCTCACCCCCAGTGCCAGCAGGACTCACCGCCGGCAGGACTCTCCCTCGCCGCTCTGCCCGACCCCTCGGAGAGACGCTGCTCTTCTCCGGTGAGTGACTCAACGCCGCCTCGTCCCATTTTCCCCTTGGCTCGGGATCACGAGGAATTTAGTGGGATCCCTTATTCCCTAATCTTGTTCCTTAATTTGCAGGGCGTCGATTTAACCCCTGAGGCCCCGGCGGTCGCCCTGCCGCTGCCTGGCATGCCTGCTCCCCTGGAGACATGGCTCCAGCCACCCAAGGAGGGGACGGGAAGCGCTTCCTTCCCGCTGCAGGGTGGCCGGGGGGGGCTCCTGTCCTCCCGAGGGAATCCCCCCGTGGATGGTGGGAGCTGGGGACACCCCAGGGCTGGGGGCGAGGGCAGGACAGGCAGCGGGGTGACAGCAGGGTGATGGCAGAGGAGGGGTGACGGCAGCATGGTGACAGCAGAGGAGGGGTGACGACAGAGGCGGGGGGTGACGGCAGAGGGGTGACGACAAAGAAGGGGTGACGACGGAGGAGGGGTGACGACAAAGACGGGGTGATGGCAGCGGAGCCCCCGCCCACCCTCCCCGGGCCAAGGTCACCCGCGCCCCGCTCGCCACGTGCCGCCAGCGCCGCCGGCCCCGCCCCGGCGCGGGCCAATAGGAGCGCGGGGAGGGGGAAGAGCACGGCGCTGATTGGATCGAGCGCTGGGAGAGTGGTTCCCCGCCGCCAGCTTAGCCAGGCGCTGATTGGGCGGTGCGCGGAGGGGCGTGTCTGAGCGGTCTATGCTAGGCGCGCGGGCTCCCGCGCGGTGGCGGAGCGGGATCAGGAGCGGGACTCGGCGCGGAGGGTGGGTACGGGCCGTGCGGGTCCGGGGCGGGGGGGCCGGGCAGGCAGCGCTGTTCCCCACCACCGGTGTCAGGGCAGGGGGGAGCGCGACAGCGGGATATCTCAGGGATGCGGAAGGCAATGGAGTCGGGATATGCGTGTGTGTGTGTATGTGTGCGTGTGTGTATGTGTGCAGAGCTGGGATATGGGTGTGAGGGGGCCGGTGTGCAAAGCCAGGTGGGGATGGAGCCTCAGGACTGGGGTTCATCCCTGCAGCAGGTGAACTGCCAGGTTGTCCCACCACAAGGGTGGAAATGAGAGTCTCATCTTGGGTGGGGAACAGGGTGCTCTCTCCCCCCTGGCCCTTCCGTGGGTCTGTCAAAGCTCTGGGTGCGAGTACCGCTGCCACCCACGCTGGGGGGACACGCTGGACCCAGCTGTCCTGCCCAAAACCAGAGCACTGCACCCTGCCCTTTCCCTATCCCAGTCCAGTTTTCCTGCCAGTGGGGATTCCCTCCAGCCAGTGAGGTCCCGGGCTCGGGGAGGAGAGCAGCGGGGTGTCCCTGCTCAGCAAAGGCAGCAGGCAGCAGGCCTGCACTGAATGGACTTCAGCATCTTGGCACAAGCAAACCAAGTGCGATTGCTTAATAACCTGCTCACGGCCCTTTGCTGGCCTTGCAGGGTTAATGGGTAAAAAGATGCTTTGTTTTCAGCCAAGACAGAAGCTGGGCTGTCACGCCTGCCCAGGAGCTTGTGCTCTGCATTATAATGCAAGCAGCAGTTGCATGGATGGGGCTGGATGGCTGCTGCCTGGGCTTCACACATGCCATGGAGTCAAGCTGAGGCAAAACTGCTGCCTCTCGGTGCCCGGCTCCACAAGCCATGCTTGCTTCAATTAGGGTTTGGGGCAGGACTCTGACCTGCTGGTACTTTGCCCTTATGGCTACGCACCTCATGGCCATGCACAAGGGAAAGCAGCCGAGAGGTCTAAGCTTGGTGGTGTGTACAACTCGCATTAAAATTGAGATCTTGTGGGTACGAGCACTTCACAGAAATTAAACAGCAGTTTTAATAAGACACCCTTGTGTCCATGAGGGCATTTGCTAGCATCTCCTAGAAGCATAAGACTTACGGATATATGGGAGCAAGAAGGAAAGACGTGCTCATGTTGCTGATGCAGTCTGGTCCATGTGCAGGTTCACCACATCCAAGTATCTGCCAGGCACTGCAGAGCTGGGTCAGGGGAGCCCAGGCAGGGCGGTGATGGGAGACTGTCAGAAATGATCAAAGCACTGTAATTAATGAACTGGTCTTAATCAGTGGGGAAAACCTGAGAGCTGTTGGTATTTTCCTCACCTCGTGGGCCCCAGTCCGTGGCTGGTCCCTGTTTCCAGGGAAGACATGGGATAGGAGCAGGCAGGGTGCAGGGAGGCACCCAGCCCCACTGCCATCCCCCAAACTCCCTTCTCTGCTGGCAGGTGACTTTGGACACAGCAGGAGGATGGCAAACTCAGTGCAAGGTGATGGGACCCTCCCCAGCGTGGAGCTCTGGGCCTCCCACAACAAGATGGTAATGGAGCCTCTCGACAGCAACGACCCGGAGGTGAGAGCCCCTTCCTGGCCCCAGCCCAGCAGCTACTTTGTTCATCTCCCGGGGAGCTGTGGGGATGCTGACCTCCTTGAGCTAGGGATGTGGCAGGGAGATGGCCCAAGGCTGAGCCTGTGAGGTCCATCCATCCTCCATGCCCTCTCTGCCTGCAGCAAGAGGTGGAGAGGGAGGGCATCTTCCAACCGTGTGCCCATAACATGGTCATAACTTTGCATCTATTGCTCATACCCCTCTGCTGGAAGCTGTAATGCCCACACCAGAGCAGCTGGCCCATGAGGGCACATGGCAGTTGCTCTTGACTCCAACCCAAATGACAGCTGAGTTATCTGGAAGCTTTCTGACAAGTAGAAACCCAAAACCTGTGACTAGACATGAACATATGAACAGTTTGGGATCAGCTGCACGAAGAAGAGATCTCTCTCCCTTCTCCACCACCTTTCCAGACCCCTATCTGTGCCCTGTCCCCTCTGAGGGTGCATCCCCTACCATAGAGCATCCACGTCTCCATGCAGAACTGGCATGGGTGAAGCTGTTTCTCTTCTCTCCCAAAGGTGTACAGCATCATCAAGAAGGAGAAGCAGCGGCAGAAGCTGGGGCTGGAGTTAATTGCATCGGAGAACTTTGCGAGCCGAGCAGTCCTGGAAGCCCTGGGATCCTGCATGAACAACAAATACTCTGAGGGCTACCCAGGACAGAGGTACGGGGCAGGTGCTGAGTCCTGCCCAACCTTGCAGGGAAGGGGGAGGAACCACCCACGCTGCCAGACCTCACCTCTGGAGAGGAAGCAATGTCCTGGTGCTGGCAGCCAAGCTCCTCCAGGGCAGGATCTGACCTTCTCAGCTTCTATCCTTGGCCACCTATGGGACAACCTCAGCAGGGTCACGTCTGCTGCAGCTGCTGTCCTGGTGGCTGCCACAAACATGGCATCACCCCAGTTTCTCCTCAGCTTGGTCACAGGGACTGTTCTCTGAGTAATGAGTTTGGTTTTAACCCCTGCCCTGTCCTTTACCGGCAGGTACTACGGTGGGACGGAGTTTGTGGATGAACTGGAAAGGCTGTGCCAGAAGCGAGCCCTGCAGGCCTACCGGCTCGACCCCCAGAAGTGGGGCGTCAACGTCCAGCCCTACTCAGGTAACAGGGTGCTCAGGAGATCCAAGCCATCTGCCTGGCCTCTCTGCATCCCAGCACCCGTAACCGGCCCGGTGTGCTCTCGCTGCAGGGTCTCCCGCAAACTTTGCGGTGTACACAGCCCTGGTGGAGCCCCATGGCAGGATCATGGGGCTGGACCTGCCTGACGGGGGCCACCTCACCCATGGATTCATGACGGACAAGAAGAAGATCTCTGCCACCTCTGTCTTCTTTGAGTCCATGCCCTACAAGGTAGAGAGCTGCTCCAGCCAGAGCCACGATGTGGTCCTCATACATCTTGGTGCCTTTTAAAGTTAAAAGCACCAGCAATCAGACTTGTGGCACCCTTAACTGAAGGATGGCACTGCGGCTGATCTTCACCCATGCCAAGGTGGCTGAATCCTCCTCTTCCTCTCCCAGGTCAACCCCAAGACCGGTTACATTGACTATGACCAGCTGGAGGAGAACGCCCGCCTCTTCCACCCCAAGCTGATCATAGCAGGTAAGGATCAAACCCCTACCATCCTCCCTGGGTTGGGGTGGCTCCCTGAAGCCAGTAGCACCCTGGGAAGCCCATGGACACCCATGGATGCTGCAGTGCCAGGAGGGAGACCTCAAACACATCCACACTGGCAAAGCTCGTGTGCTGTCCCCAGCTGGGCTGTCCCCATCACAGGGCTGGACCTGGGTCTGTCCCAAGGTCCTTAAGCATCTGCTCCTGTCCCCTCCACGTGCCATCTCCCTGCAGGTGTCAGCTGCTACTCGCGCAACCTGGACTATGCCCGCATGCGGAAGATCGCCGACGCCAACGGTGCCTACCTCATGGCTGACATGGCCCACATCAGCGGGCTGGTGGCTGCCGGCGTGGTGCCCTCCCCCTTCGACCACTGCGACGTCGTCTCCACCACCACCCACAAGACCTTGAGGGGCTGCAGGGCTGGCATGATCTTCTACCGCAAAGGTGCCTGACTTAGCCAGGGAGCCAGGAGAAACAATCTCCCCAGGATGGGGGGCTGCCAGTTAAAGCTCCTTCCTGCTCTAGCTGGGAAGGAGGGAGGGCAGGAAGGTTTGGGACCTCCTGGGAGCATCTGGAGAACTTCCCAGGGCCAACTGTGGCCCAGATTTGAAGAGGAACAACCACCATCCTTGTTCTGAGAGGCCAGGGTCTGAAAGCAGCTTGTGGGAGAAAAGAGGCTGAAGCTGCCTCGTGAGTGACCCTGCCCTTCCCTCCCACAGGCACCCGCAGCGTGGACCCCAAAACGGGAAAGGAAACACTGTACAACCTGGAGAGCCTCATCAACCAGGCGGTCTTCCCCGGGCTGCAGGGAGGCCCACACAACCACGCCATCGCAGGTACATGTCCAGGCTGGTCGCCAGCTCCAGGATGGCAGAGGGAGCCAGCAAAGGTGTTCTGGCTGGGGCTGACCCCCAGAAGCAGTGAAGGGGGCTCCAGGTGCCACAAGGGTCTTGCAGCCTCAAGATAACACGGCAAAGAGCAGCTGGCTTGATCCAGCACTGCTCGAGGAGCAACCAGGCTTGTCCCATCCTGCCTTCTGGCTCATGGCACTGTCACCAGCCTGGTTAGGGGAAGGGACTGTCTGTCAGTTTGCTCAGCTTCCAGGATGACTTCTGCTGGTGGTGCCACGCATCCCCACCAGTTCTCCTGGTGGGAACCCCCAGAAACTCACCCCTCTCTGCCTTCCTCCCCAGGGATCGCCGTGGCGCTGCGGCAGGCCATGACGCCCGAGTTCAAGGCCTACCAGCAGCAGGTGGTGGCGAACTGCAAGGCGCTCTCGACGGCGCTGATGGAGCTGGGCTACGACATCGTCACTGGTGAGGACAGGTCTTGGCTGTGGGAAGGGGCTGATCCCTGGGGCCCCACGAGGGCAGCAAGGGCAGGGCTCTGCCACCACCGTTCCTCAGGACATCCGCAAAACTATTTTGAGGCAGCCCTCCCCTCCCGATGGCAGGTCCCCTTCTGCACCCAAAACTAGGGATAGGCCCCGGGGCAATCCCAAGCCTGATGGCAGGTCCCCTTCTGCACCCAAAACTAAGGATAGGCTCTGGGGCAATCCCAAGCCTTTTTTGCTGAAGTCCTGTGCAGGAGCAGCATTTACCCCGATCCCACGTCCTCCACCAAACCCTTCTCTTCACAGGGGGCTCTGACAACCACCTGATTCTCCTGGACCTGCGCAGCAGAGGCACGGACGGTGGCAGGGCTGAGAGAGTGCTGGAGATCTGCTCCATCGCCTGCAACAAGAACACGTGCCCCGGTGAGAGATCCCACAAGCTCTGCTGTGTCCTGCCCCCACGTGCTGGGGATCTCCTATGGCCTGTGCTGAGCTTCCTGCAGGGTTCCCAGCTCCTGGTCCACCCTGAGGACTGGGAACCACACCAAGTTGCCACAGGTGGCAGTTTCGATACCTGGTTTGGTCATGCCTGTCTTCTTCTGGTGCAGGTGATGTCAGTGCCCTGCGCCCCAGCGGCCTGCGGTTCGGGACGCCGGCTCTCACCTCCCGTGGCTTCCGACAGGACGACTTCCGCATGGTGGCTCGGTACATCCACAGAGGTGAGGCCCAAGGGGGTGCGTGTGGGGCCCAGTCTCAGCTCCAGCAGCAGCCCTGGAGCCAAGGCAGCCCCTCTGGTTGAGGAGACACAATCTGGGATGCTTCCCCAGCAGCTGGCGAGGGAGCACACACACAAACACACACACACACAAAGTGAGGACGAAGTGCCCCACCTGCACATCTGTGTGGGGGAGAGGACATCTTGGCCACAGCTGGGACCAGCCAAACCCTCCCCACTGCACTAGCAGCAGGTTGAAGGCCTGGATTAAAGCCCAGCCTAGTTCCAGTTGTCCTTAGAGGTCCCACACTGGTTTCCTGGGACAGCAAGCCCCTCGCAGCCCTGCTCCTACCCTCCTGCGTCTCGGGGAGCAGCCCCAGCGCTGCTGGGGGGTGCTGCAGGGATAAACCCACGGTGCAGCCTCGCAGGCTCCCTGGGGCAGGGCTGGAGAGGTGCAGGATGCAGCAGCTGCCCGCTGCGGGCACAGATGGAGGTGCTGCAGCCACCAGGGCTGACCAAGACATCTCCCATCCTGGCAGGGATCGAGCTGACGCTGCGGGTGCAGAAGGACATGAGCCCCAAGGCCACGCTGAAGGAATTCAAGGAGAAACTGGAGGAAGACAAGTACCGTGGGGAGCTGAAGGCCCTGAAGGAAGAAGTGGAAGCCTTCGCAGCGACCTTCCCGCTCCCCGGGCTGCCTGTCCTGTAAGGGGAGGTGCTTGTGCCCGCTCCAGGAGCCATGAAGTACCCAGGATCGTGGCACACTCGCATCTCCAGCCCAAGACCAACACCCCAGTGCCTTCTCCCAGCACCTCCCCACTGGCCCTGGCTCCGGTGCTCACCTCTTACCTCTCCCTTCCCATCTGGGGCACAGGACCCCCCAAGCACACCCCCTCCGGGAGGAAACCAGCCCCTTCACCACTCAGTGTCACAACTGGGACCGAGCACCAGGGAACCCTCAGCCTCACAGCCAGCCTGGGGTTTGATCCAGCTCTGGCTGTGGGAGCAGCAGATAAGGGTTAGGCAGCCCTGCCCACTGTCACCCCAACACCCCCTCACACAGCACTGGGGGGGGACCTGGAGGTCCCACCTGCCATGAGCCACCCCCTGGGGCCAGGCGCGCTGTGCTTGGCTCCACAAGAGACTTCACAGCTGATAAAAGCCTCCCTGGATTCTGCCTCAAAAATTTCCTTTTTGTGCCTTCCAGCCTCCGCAGGCTTTGACAAGGCCCAGCCTTGTCCCAAACCCACAGAGAACAGCCCCCCCGGGATCGCCATCCCGTCCTATCCAGCCTCTCTGGAATTTTCTCAGACCTCTGAGTACAAAGCTTAGGTAGAACCATTTTTTAATAAGCACGGTAAAATTAAGAATTTAACCACAATGTATGACAAGAATTATAAGCTTTAAAAAATACAACCGTTTTTTTTTTTTTTTTTTGTATTTCAAAAATATCTGAACCCAAATAAATAATTTTTTTTTTTTTTTTTAAAAGTACATTTCTCAAGACTAGTCATTTGGTGTTAACATCTGTTAAACTCTTGTGCAGTTAACACTTACGGCACGACACTTAAGACATGCTTCTGGGGTTTCTCCCGGTCACACTCGCCCTAACTACTGACGCAAGCATTCGGCACGCACAGGCACACACACGGAACTCAACATGCAGTAATAGGATACAGTGCTTTAAAATAAGATGAGAATCCATCGCAGCCTCCTCGCAGCCCTCAGAGGCAGCTCTGAGCCCAGCCCCGTGCCGGTGGCCAGCGGGGCCGGGTACCCTGTGTTTCTGCCTTCCAGTTAAAACGTGTCTCGGGGACCGGTGGGTTTGTCACCCCTTCCAGTATGGGGGTACTGGTGGCTCTGGTGTTGTGCTCCTGGGAGCTCCAGCTCGGGCAGCTCGCCGCGTTTCCAACCCCACTTTGGAGCTTTCTCACTGCGCTGCCACAAGCCCCAGCTCCTGCCCAGCTCTCCGAGATGCTGAACTGGCACCGTTGCCACCAACCTGGGGGGCTCAGCGTCCCCCACGCTCAGTGAAAACCAAAGAACAGGCCTGGGGGCACGGAGCCATCAGCTCCCCCCCGTTCTAGCACCTCTCCCACCCCTGACCACTGGTGAATATTGCTAGAGTAGAGGCAGTACTTCCCTAGGCAAGGCTAGACAGCTTCGGAGCTGCTTGGAAGTGATTGCTACTGGATGAAAGTAAATCCGAGCACTATTCTCTGAGAAATGAGACCTGTGTAGGGTTAGTTATCACCTACTCCTATGGCTGACCCTCCTCGGGGTGGGATCGGGAAGCGCCGGGGCTATTGCAGCGTAGAGCAGGGGCTGGCGGTTCGTCTCCAAGCGGAGGAAGAAAAGGGAGACAGAAGGCCAGGGGAGACCTTCGCTGCGACGAATTCTCCGTCGGGCTTTAACGCCTCCTCTCCCTGATGGCCAGAGAGAGAGAGAGGAGGGAGCTGGGGACCACGGGACACGCCAGCAGCACTGATGGAAGCCACGCACAGCACCACGGGCTCCAGCACGGGGAGGGCTGGGGTGAGTATTGCACTGCGGCTGCGAGGAACCTGCCCTGCTCCCGGTGGAAAGGGATGGCTGGAAGGGCGGCGCGGTGCGGGGCGACAGGACACACATGCCAGGGTTGGTTGCAGGAGCCGTTAGTGCGAAGATCCTAACTTGCTGTGAGTCTGCGAGTACCAGAAAGTAGTGAGGTAACACAGTGAGGATGAGGGGAAAAAAGTCTTAAAGTGCCGATATAGGGATCTTTACTGTACAGATGGCAGGTCAGACAGAGAAATGACTGAGCGAAGAGGAATTCAGCTCCCGAATTGCCAGCTCCACTCAGACTCCCCCCTAAATTCGGCCGCCGTGACGGGCGCCACAAGCAGTGAGGGCAGCTGGGCTCTGCCTGCACCGAGGTGCCGCAGCCCGATGTCATTACCCCTTTCCCCCAGTCCGAGCTCAGAGGTGACCTTGCCACGACTTTCTGAGGACAAGCACCCCACGGTGCATTTCCCCACAGCTCCTGCTTAATTGCCGAGTGGCAGATGGCACAGAGCTCCCGTTGGGAAAGAGGTGAGGGTCCCAGCAAAGCCCCCAGGGCACCCTCCCGAATCAGAGCTGCTCTGTGGGGGAGATGAAGCAGGTCAGACAGGTGGTAGTGCAAGTATTGCTCAACACAGCCTGGAACATCAGATACCGCCGGTTTGATAGAGGGAGCGACGAGAAGCGAGTTATTTATCAATTTATGAGCAGAGCCGAAGGCCACAGGCAGAGACTGCTGTGACTAAGAGATCGGCCAACCCTCATCGCGGGTCCTGCTCCACCGCTCTGCGCTGTCAGCCCGGAGGAAGACGTGAGTGAGTCAGCAGGAAAAAAGTCCGTCCCTCCCTCCTCAAACCCAAACAGCATCGGGTTGTTTTCCAGCAGGAAAAAAGCTCCTTCGCCAGAGCCACGGGTCAGGCAGGACACAGGGACCTTCGCTCTGCCCGGTGTCACCTGCACTACTCCTCCACCGAGGAACCTCTTCCTCTGGGGAATCTCACCTCAGCTGTAGAATGGAGGCCGTTTGGGTGCACACACATCGACACGGGGACACCTCAAGTCACTTCAGAAAGCAGGTATTTTTGATGGACAGGGAGACCTTTCACCAACAGACCCAGTTCACATGCGACGGGAGGACACAGGAAAGGAAAAGGCTTTTCCAGGCGTGCAGCCCCACGCACGGGCACACCACCCACCTTCAGCGAAGGCGATGCCGCTGAAGATGCCAACTACGATCTAAAAACACCATCACGAGCAACCCCTGACCTCAGAAATCCCTCTGGAGACTACCAGGAGCTCAGCGTGCCCGGCCTCGCTGCCAGCCACCAAGCAGCACTGACATTTAAAACAGCCTTTCTGCCCTCTTGGTTTACGCCTCCCGCAATACCCCAGGGAGCCCTTTCCAGGCAGTGCAGATGCCTCCCCAGGGAGTCTCCTTGCCTTCGGGGGACAGGTTTCGGAGCAGTGCAGTTCTCACAGCAAGTTTCAGGGGGGTCTCAGCCACGCTGACAAACCCCAGTCCCCACACAGAACCTTCCCCAGGGGTGGAAGGAACGTCACATTCATCTCCAGCACCACCTCACACCAGCACAATAAACAGAGGTTTAAAAAAATGCCCAAACCAAACGCTTCAGCTCGTCTTGTGACAATCAGAAGAGTGATAAAAAGAAATAAAACCAAGGCTATCTTTTCCCAGCAAGGCTTTTCTTGCTTAGAAGTACCACGGGGGGCTGCTACCACCACACGGCACCAGGCAGAGCAGCCGGGGACCGGTGGCCAAGGAGCAGCATCTCCTATGAGACTCCGGAGGGAAGCGCTGTGCCCGGGCACAAAGCTTTTGGCACTAACAGGAATAATCTGGGAGTGTCACCACACCAGTGGCACAACCTTTATGGCACAGGCAGCGGCGTAGAAGCTTTGAAAGGAAAACTCCTCAGCATCCAGGCTCAGATTGTGGCAGTTCTGCCCCGTCCAGAGCTACCCAGGGGCGCCCCGGGAGAGGTAGTCGAGACGCGACAAAGGCTCGGCCAGAAGCAGCATGCGGTGACGCTGACCCTGCTTTACTGCAAAGCACAAAAGTCAACTACCCAACAGAAAAAAAAAAACAACCCAAAACAACTAAATTATTATGGATACGACATAGAATCCAGTACATTCATCCCCGCTCTCTCCTGAGCACTAGTAACCCCCCAGCCCGGCAGCCTGCTCCAACACCTCGCTGAATTGCACTGTTCGTTTCCCCATCACAAAAAAGCACCCAAAAATGAGGGTCCTTCCCCACTCTGCTCAGTTCCCCTTGCTCCGTAAAAGGCCACCCTCGACCTCATGTGATCTGAGGATTCTTGGTCTCCCTCCCACCCTTCTCAGAGGCTGTCCACTAGACGCTGAATTGCACTGTTCGTTTCCCCATCACAAAAAAGCACCCAAAAAGGAGGGTCCTCCCCACTCTGCTCAGTTCCCCTCGCTCCGTAAAAGGCCACCCTCGACCTCATGTGATCTGAGGATTCCTGGTCTCCCTCCCACCACCCTCCACTAGGCCCCCAGCCCGGCAGCCTGCTCCAACACCTCGCTGAATTGCACTGTTCGTTTCCCCATCACAAAAAAGCACCCAAAAATGAGGGTCCTTCCCCACTCTGCTCAGTTCCCCTTGCTCCGTAAAAGGCCACCCTCGACCTCATGTGATCTGAGGATTCTTGGTCTCCCTCCCACCCTTCTCAGAGGCTGTCCACTAGAATGTGACAAATTAACAAGGCACAGTGCTCTACATTCACAGCAGCGGGCGCCTTGGGGCTCACCAGCGTCAAGGAGTCCTTCCACATTCCAGGTTTTAACAAAGCTGAGAGAAACCAGCAAACGCTTTCTGCAGAGAAGCACACATTCCTCCACTGCTCTCCCACCCGCCTGGGGACAGCCCGTCCTGGAAAGCCCCAGGAAACACAGAAAAATGCAAGAAGGGACACCATCCACTACCGCTGCGCACAGATGGGTAACTGCAAGCTGCCACCCTGCCAGGGAGCTTCTGAGCTACACTCACACGAGACACTGGTGGGTTAAAAAACTTCATCTGGCCTTTATATCTCCCCTCTGGTCTCAGCCCTGGCTCCAGGGAAGGGACCAACAGCATTTAGGGCTCTGACAGAAGCGTGTGGAGCACTGCGTTATTGTGGGGGCTGCACACTAGTTAAGTATTGATCCCCAAGACAGCCCACCTCTCCCTCCACGCCATAATCCCCCCTGGGATGCTGCCATGATATGCTTTACAAATTTACAGTGCCCCTTCTAACATTTAAAAACAGAGTGCCCAGTGTTTTACGTGATGGAACATCTAGGTTCTTGGCTAGAGGGAACCGCACAGAAATCCAGCCCCTCAGACCCCGATTTCTGTGGAGCAGAGACAAAACACATCAGCTTCTTCGCCCCTTCCTGACGTATGAGAGCTACTGCAGACAGCATCAATGTCAAGCACGGATGAGCTTTGTCAGACTCTGAGTACGCAGGCAGACGGCCCACACGCTGGGCTAGATTTTATACAAAAAGCTGGGGACATAGTCAAATCTGAGCAGAGGGTTCACCCCCTGGCCGGGTTCCTGAATGTACTGCAGCTTCAGCAGCTCAGCTAAATACTGTACGATTTTGACATCTTCATTGGCGAGGCCCAGCTGGAGCTTCAGAAAGTTCATCCTGCGATTCACCACGGACTCCTCCGGTTCCCTTTCGCTGATGGGAAGGTGCAAATGATGGCAGAAGGTGAAGAGGAAGGCTTTTGAACACAGCTGGGTGAGGATACTTTGGACGTGCATATAGTAGGTGCTTCCTCGTTTGATCTGCGTGCGGTGGTCCGCCAGCCGGGACACCAAGCTGCCTTTGTAAAGCGGGCAGCGCAGAGTCTTACTGTCGGCGTCCAAGATGCTGACGTACCGGCTGTACCGGCTCAGGGCGTGCAGCACGTTCACCCCGGCAGGTGACACCGT